TTACTTTATTTAATTTTAAACCTTTTAAATTTAAATTTATATTATTAATTTTATAATAAATATTAATATTAAAGTTATATTATAAAATTTATTTTATTTTTAAATAATATAAAGAATTATATTTTTAATATTTAAGTTCTTTTAAATTAGTTTTAAATTATTTTCTTAATTTTAATATTTATATTTTTTTAATAATAAAAAATATAATTATTTTAAAATAAAACTTATTTTATAATTCTTTTAATATATATTAATTTTATTAATTTTTAAGTTAAATTAAGTTTATTAATATATTATAAAATATTTAATTTAATTTAATTTTAAATTTATTAAATTAATAATAATAAAAGTATAAATTTATATATATATTTTAAATAAATTATTTAAATATTTAAATTAATATTTTAAAGTATTTATTTTATAATAATAAAAAACTTTATAAGTAATTAATATATTTATTTTAACTTTATAAAAGTATAAAATTATAATAAATATATAAATTAAATTTTTTAATAATATTAATAAATTTTTTTTATACTTTTCTTAATAATAATATAATAAAATAGTTTTTTATATTATTTTAATAATTAAAAATTTTAAATTTAATTTATATTTAAAATATTTTATTTTTATAATAAGAAAAGTTATTAATATTATAATTATAATAACTTTATTAAACTTAATTAATAGAAAGGTATTTACTTATATGGCTTTTTAAGTAACCCTTAATAGTTAGTTACTAATAATCATTTTAATACTACTTTTCTACCTTATATATATTAACTAATAATATATAAAATTATTCTTTTATAAAACTTAATATTTTAAAATATTTAAAGTATATTTATAATTATTAATATATAACTTTTATATATATATTAAATTTATATATATTAATTAAACTTTAATATAACTTTTATATAAACTTTTTATTAATATTTAATTTAATATTATTTATACTTTTTTATATAATTAATATTATAAAAAGAATAAATTTAATTATAAATTATTAAATAATACTATTTATTAATAATTAATAATAATTAAATAAATTAAAATAAAAGTTAATAATTATTAAATATAATTAATTAATAATATTATAATTATAAAATAATATATAAATATTAAAGTTTTTATATAAAATTAGAATTTTATAATAAATAAAAATATATATTAATAATAAAACTAATCTCTTTATTATAATTTATATATATTAATAAAAAATATACTTATATTATTTAACTATTTTAATATATTATATAAATATAATTTAAATTATAATAATTAAAATATTATAATAAAATTATATAATAAATTTTAAATATATATTAATTTTAATATAATATTAAATTTATATATAAATAGTTTTATATATTTATTAATTAATTATATAAAATTAAATTAAAAGTATTTAATATTTTAATATTTATATACTTTTAATAATAATATTTAAAATTATTTAAATAAAATAATAAATAAATATTATTAAAAATATTTTATAAAATATTAATTAAATATTATTAAAAATATATATAAATATTTTTTTAATATTAATTATAAAACTTCTTTATACTATTTATTTTTAAAAACTATTATAAATAGTTATACTATTATTTAATTTTTTAAATTATTAATAAATAATATTTAGTTTTTAAATTTATTTAATATTATATAATAATAATTAACTTTCTTTATAATATAAAATTAAATTATTTAAAACTTTAATAATTTTAATTTAGTAAAATATTATAACTATTATTATAAATTAAAAATTAATAATTTAACTTTATAAAAACTTAATTAAATATTTTTAAAATAAATATATAATATAAACTTTATATATAAATATTATAAAATTATTTGTTAAAAAATATTAAAAATATAAATATTTTATTTAAATTTAATTTATAATTTATAAATAATATAAATTAAAGTTAATTAATAATTATAATATTATAAGAAATAATATATATATAAATAGAAGGATAAAAGAATAAAAGAGAGAAAGAAAGAATAAAAGTAAGAATAAAATAAAGTAAGTATATACTAATATATATATTAATTAATTAATTATATATTAATTTACTTTATAATCTATTAAATATATTTAATATATTTTAAATAAATAAATAAATAAATAAATAATAAATAAATAATAAATAAATAAATAAATAATAAATAATAAATAAATAAATAATAAATAAATAATAAATAAATAATAAATAAATAAATAAATAAATAAATAAATAAATAAATAATAATAAAAAATAAATAAATAAATAAATAAATAATAAATAAATAAATAAATAATAAATAAATAAATAAATAAATAAATAAATAAATAAATAAATAAATAATAAATAATAAATAAATAAATAAATAAATAAATAAATAAATATTATATAATATTATTAAAATTATTATTATTATTATTTTATTTATATATAATTATATATAATTATATATATTTATATATTTTTATATATACTTTTATATATTTCATATAATTATATATAATTATATATATTATATACTTATATATAGCTATATATAATTATATATATTTATATATAATTATATATTATATATAATTATATATAATTAAAATATTATTATTATTATTATAAATATTTAATAATTTAAAATTATTATAAAAATATATAATAGAACTTTTATTAACTTATTATATATCTTTAAATTTATTTAAATTTATTAAATTTTAATTATATTATTATATATATACCTTTATAAAAACTTATAAACTTTTAAATTAATTAATAATATTATAAAAAATTTAAATATTAATAACTTTATTTATATTTATATAAAGAAATCTTAATAATAATTAAATATAATTTTTTTAATTAAATAATATTTATATTTAAATTAAAATACTTTATTTATAAAGAATTAATTTTAATTATTAATATATAAATAATATTAAATTAAATAATATTAATCTTTTATATAAAGTTTTAAAGATTTTAATATTAATATAAACTATTTAATTATTATTATAAATTATTATTTATATTAAATAAAACTATAATTAAATATATAATAAATATATAATAATAAAAAATTAAAAATAATATATTAATATTTAATATTATAAATTAAAATAAATAAATATATAATAAATACTATAATAAGTTTTATTATAAAAACTTATTTAAAAATATAAATATTTAATTATACTTTATATATTTAATTATAAGTTTAAAAATAATTAAACCTTTTATATATATTTATTAAAAGTTAAATAAAATTTATTATTAAAATTATTATTAAAATTATTAAAGTTTTAATTAATTATATATTATTTTAATTAAAGGTTTATTATTTATATATATTAATATATAATCTTAAATTATTTAAAACTATATAATTATATACTTTTATAATTATAACTTTTAATATTTAATTTTATTTAATAATTAATATATATATCTTTAAAGTAATTAAAATTAAAAAGTAAATTATAAATAATTAATTAAACTTATTATAAGTTTTATATTAAATCTATATAATAATAAATATTAATATAAAAATATATATAATAATATTTAAAACTATTATTAATAAATAAAATTAAATTTATAATATTAATTATTTTAAGTTTATTAATATAAATAATAATTAAAAATATTAAATTATTTATAATTATATTAATTAATATTAATAAATATATATATAAAGTTATATATATATTATTATAACTATATTATTTTAAATTATATAAATAATATTATTAAAATATTAAAAAAAACTTTATTTAAATAATAAAAGGTAATTTTATAATTTATATTAATTATATTAATATTATTTAATATTATAAAAAATAAATACTTTTATACTTTTAATTATAAATATTCTTTAAATTTATTTAATATTAATAAAGGTAATTAATATTAAAAGAGTTACTATAAATTTTTAACTTTATTTAACTTTAAAAACTTTATTAACTATTAATTATAACTAATATAATCTTATTATTATTAAATAATTATTTATAATTATAATTAATTATTTTATTTAAATTATTAATATTTTTTAATTTATTATTTTTAATTAAATTAATTTTATTATTAATAATAATATTTTTATTTATATATTTAAGTTAAATAATATTTATATTTATACTTTTAATTAAATAATATTTATATTTATATATTTAAATTAAATAATATTTATAATTATATTTTTAAATTAAAAAGTATTTATAATTATACCTTTTAATTAAATAATATTTATATTTATATATTTAAATTAAATAATATTTATAATTATATACTTAAAATTAAAAATAAATACCTTAAAATATAATACTTTAATAATTTATAAATTAAAGTTTTTATTATAATTTATAAGTTCTCTTTATTATTATATAAAGCTATATAATATTACTTAAAGCTATATAAATTTATAAAAATCTATAAAAATCTATAAAAATATTAATTAGTTTAAATATTTAAAAATCTATAAAATAGTATTATAATTAAATAAAAATAATATTATATATTAAAAGTTAAAACTATAAAACTAATATTAATTTTAATAAAAAAGTATATATTTATATACTTTTAAATAAATTAAATTAATTAAAAGTAGTTATATAAACTAAATAAAATAAATAAAAGTAATTATAAATATATTATTTTAATAGTTATTAGAAGATAAAAAGGAAAGAAAAAAGTAAGTAATTATAATTATTTATTAAAAATAGTAAATAAAGTTTACTAGTAATTTTAATACTCTAATTAATTAGTTTCTTTATAAATTTATTAATAACTCTATAATATATTTAAGTTATATATATATATATATTCTATTAAATAAGCTAAGGTATCTAATTAAATAGGTGTGGTCCTAAGGGATTTTAGGGTTTTTAGAAAGTTGCCCCTGTCGCGCACCATAGAGGGTAAGGGTTGTCTCCCAGACGACTGCTCGGACCACTGTTGTCGCTGAGCTGAGGCTGATCCCCAGAGGACAATTCCCTAGGACAACTCTGCGCCCGCTCGCTGGTCGCTGTATTCGTCCGCCGCTCCGTAGGGATCCAGCCGCCGACAGACACACCAGCGCCGGACTGGCCCAACTAAAATGGCCGTCATGGGCAACGGTCAGCTCGCACTCGGATCCATCGTTTGGTTGTCATCACGCTGGTTACATAAGCTAAGATCATCACCGCAGGCAGCGGCAGAACCTCATCGCCCTCGCTCGCTGCAGCCCACTGCCTCATTTGGCCGACGGCGTGTGGCAGAACGGCCCTCTACGCTCGTTGCAAGTTGCAAGCTGCAAGCTGCAAGCATTTAAGGGCCGATGCCCAGCCAGAGGCGTGATGCAAACAAGCCAGATTTGAAGCACACACATGTTCATGTATCGCATCGTAACATTGCTGACCTGCCTTGGCTGACCTCTGTCCGTCACCATCGTCATTGACCATTTGCACTTTCCATCGCTTGGGACATGCCCCAGTAAGCCGCAGCCCAGGTGATAAGTAGCCCATCATACCCAAACACCGAACCTGTCTAGACTTAGAAACCCTTCATCTCCCACCGAGCCAACCGCCTCGACAACCCGACATCATGGGCATTGTGTTCAGCGCCATATCACAGGCGTTTCCGCCCAAGCCCACCTTCACCGAGAAGGACATTGGAAATTTGAGCGGCAAGGTGGATCCTCCCTCCCAGCTGCCAGTCCGAGAAGCCACACCGGTCCAGGAGCAATGCTGACGTCGATCAGGTCTACGTCGTCACCGGTGCGAACACGGGTCTCGGGAAAGAGATCGCCCAGATCCTCTACTCTAAAGATGCCAAGGTCTACTGCGCAGCCCGCTCGAGGGACAAGGCCGAAGCCGCCATGGGCGCAATTGAGCAGGCTTGGCCACACTCTCGCGGCAAGCTCATTTTCCTGCCGCTAGACCTGGCCGACCTGAGCACCATCAAGGCCTCCGCCGACGAGTTCCTCGCCAAGGAGGACAGCCTGCACGTCCTTTTCAACAATGCCGGTGTCATGATGCCGCCCAGCGGCTCCAAGACAGCCCAGGGGTACGAGCTGCAGCTCGGCGTCAACAACCTGGGCACCTTCCTCTTCACCAAGCTGCTGACCCCGACCCTCGTCCGTACCGCCAGCCAGGAGGACCCCTCCTCGGTGCGCGTGGTGTGGGTGAGCTCGTCGGCCGCCGAGTCGATCCAGGTGCCCAGCGGGGGCGTCGATATTTGCAACCTCGACTACCACGTCGACAAGAGCCCCTTTGAGAAGTACTGCGTCTCCAAGGCTGGTAACTACCTCCAGGGCGCCGAGTTTGCCCGGCGACACAGGGAGGATGGCATCGTCTCTGTTCCGCTGAATCCTGGAAATCTGAGCTCTGACCTCTGGCGCTCATTCGGCAGCGGGGCGCAGAGCTTCTTGAAGAGCTTTGTCCTACACCGGCCCATCCTGGGTGCCTACACCCAGCTCTTTGCCGCCTTCTCACCCCAGGTGTCTATTGAGAGGTCTGGTGAATGGGGTATGTCAATTTGCTAGCTCTCTGAATCATTTGCGGCTTCCGACTGATCGTTGAATTTGTCTAGTGGTCCCTTGGGGTAGATTTATGAAAATCCGCCAGCATCTTTTGGATGGGAGTAAGCCAATCTCCGAAGGGGGCAAAGGCACGGCAGAGAAGTTTTGGGAGTGGAATGAGGAGCAGGTCAGGCCGTTTTTGTAGACGAGAGAGTGGTGGAATCGGAATCCAATGCCGGCTCATCATTCTGTCGACCTGTCAAAGTATCTTGTTTTGTCTCGATTATATATCTCCTGGAGGAGATGGTCGAATGTATTACAGAAGATACGATAGATTTTAGGCTGTCCACATTGATCTAAATGGCCTCACGCCTACCCCTCTGTCCTGCCGGCTGGGCCATGATTTATAATATGTCTCTGAGTTTTCGGGATTGAATGTTTCAGGACCGTGGATGAAGCCTAGAGTGCGGACCAAATTGCATGAGTTTTGCGCCATCTTGTCTCCTCAATTGCAGAATGAACGGGTTGATATATAGGTTCTGGGTTTCCAACCTCCGCGATGATGTTGGCAACCTTGAAAGATCAGGGAGCCATGAAGAGTACTTGAAGAGCACAGGGTCGAGTTACACAATGTAAGACGGCCTTGGGTGTCCTGTCCGATTACGCACCCCTTCCCCCCCTTTTTTGTCGGAGGGCCTGAGGACGCGTGTTTGTTTGACTCTTCCTGGACTAGATAGACTACATATATCGTACCATATACGATCAGGATTTTGACCGGGCCGTGAAATACATGCACTTTGATCTAGTACAGAAGAATTGAGACATCCTGCACATTTGGATGGTTCACCGCCAAGCAACTTGGAATCTAATGGGCAGGTCTATTGTTCGATATGGGTATATGCTCTCGTTCAAAGCAAATTCCAAATCACACGTATTTACCCATCAAGCGGTTGGCCAGTCGGGGTGCGCCAACTGTCATCATAGGCCCGGCGACACTCATCGGATGCCGCGCCCTATTTCGGCAGTCTATCCGGAGCCAGCAGCACTGTTGCGAATGTGAGGCTCGCGGGGACCTTTCCGGGTGGCCGAGGCATCCAGGTTGACGGGTTGTGACAGTTTCACATGCTCCGCGCGTCTCTTCTCTTTCCCGTCGTACGGCAGCGGGATAGGGAGCCAGGCGCCCGACGACTTCTCAAAGGATCGACCAGATCCGGAGCACCTCCAAGAGTGTGTCCAAGAAAGCTGCAGGCGGGAGAACTGACAGGTTGCTCCTCGGCGGTACTCGGTGGGGCGAGGCTCTTCCGCGCCATGGCAGCAGCAACTTTATTCCTCTTCGCGTGGTGGTCCCTCACCGCGATACTGCCGAGCCTTGTTGGCCTATCTGTATGATTAGTGAATGGCGGGTGATATAGGTAGCGTTTATCGATGGCTAGGTCAGCACCTGAGTATCGATACCTAGGTACGTACCCGGTTCACCTTGGCGGACTGGATCGAGGAGCGTGTCCAACTAGCACATTCTGTTAGCACCTCACTCTGCACGCTTGTTTTATATGAGCTCTAGGGAGGCTTTAGCCGGCTCACGCAAACAGCACAGAAGCCATTGTGAAGGCTGCTAACGGGGCCATGACGGTCTGTCCGCTGGCATGTCAGCCCACCTGTAGACGCGATTCGAGATGGAGAGGGTGGGCGGATAGTGCGCACCCTTGGGTTGATGCTGCCTCTTTGAGGTGCCATGGTGGCTGTAGACAGGCTGGGGTTGGAAACCGGAGGTCGAGGCACGGCCGTCGCCAGGAAGTATTGCGTTGCTGTGGTGAGCCAAAGGCACAGCACGGAGGGACGGCGTTGGATGGATTGATTATCCTGTGGTCAGGCCACTCACTCACTGAAGGGCAGATGGGGTCCTAACCCTCTCGCTGGGCAAGAAGTACTGTACCCAAGTACCTACCTCTTAGGTACCTAGGACAGCCTGCATCCGGCCTGATGAACCATCCTCCAAGTACTTGGCCAGGCAAGTGATGCACATTTCATGAATTGACCATGTCGTACCGAGTACAATAAGACGTACGGAGTACACAGCACATCAAATGGCGCGGGCAGTTGAACTTGCGGCACCCACAACTGTATGCCGATGTAAGGCCCCTCCCCTCGCACCTGCGCAATGCGCGACCCCCCCGGCCACCTACTAAGTACATACTCCTTCACCGGGTGCGAGTGAGGAGAAGCCGACGACACCGGAGCAAGCTCCGCACAAGCTATATACCCCCATCCCGCAACGCCCCAGACATGGCAGCCCGCCTGAACCTCATAGCGAGAACAGTAGCAGCATCAGCTCCACGACCAGCAATCACTGCCACGTCGGCTTTTCCTCATCTCGCAAGAACGCAATCCAGGATGGCTTCCTCGACTCCCAGGACATATGAGTGGCTCGTGGTGATCCCTGACAAGCCCGGCGCTCTCGCGAAGCGACTTGAAGTTCGCCCGTGAGTTCCTGGGCTGACTCTGGCCCAACTGGCCCCTCTATACAGGAACTCATACTGGATGCGTATGCTGACACGTCCCAGACAACATTTTGAGGGCCTGACCAAGCTGAAGGAGTCCGGCAAATTCAAGATGGGAGGTAATACAGATCCACCAACGACCCCACTGCCCGCCCTCCCCGGCGCTATCTGGCACGTGGAACCAGACACTGATGGCTTTCTAGGTGCCTTGCTGGAGGAGATGCCGCCAGATGATGAGGTCTCGAGCATGAGGTTCAGCGGGTCGACGCTCATGGTCGTGGCAGACAGCAAACAGGCCGTCATTGACCTGATCAAGGACGACGTCTACGTCAAGTCCGGCGTTTGGGACCTTGAGAAGGCCCAGATTTGGCCAGCTAAGATCGCCTTCAGATTTCCTTAGAGCTGCGCACCGCATGTGACGTCCCGTTAAATAGAGGCAGGCGCGAGATTGGACAAAATGGGCGGACCAAGGCATCAGATAGAGGCTGGAGGCACGGTAGGCCCTCAAGTTGCCGACTTGCATTCAATGAAACTACATGTCACCACGACGGAGCTCCTCAGGCACACAAAGCCTGCGGTACCGAGCTTGATGGACGGGGATGGAAGGTTGTCGTGCAGTCAGGGAATCAATCATTCGTGGAAACATGCGTCCCAGATCATTGCCAATGCCCCCCTCTGTCTCGAACCCCATCTAATTGCGCGGCACTACTACCAAAAGTACAGTGAAGAGGATGGCCCGGCAAACCCGCCATCGTACCAATGTGATATGGTCCATTCTGTTCCAGACGCCAGAAAACCATGCGCCAGTCCCAGGGCCGTTTCAGAGCCCGCTGGCTCGTCGAGATGTGGCCCCTCCAGGCAACAGCCAATATTCCGTACTCCGTTTCAAGCTGGCTGCCACACCCAGGGAGCAGTTTCGAATCGCTCGTCCGTTCCTCGCCACCGCCGAATACAATGAGCAACTGCATATGGAAATGTGATTGACCCGAGGAACCGCCTGTTTTGCACCGCGAGGCTGTGTGGAGCGCCGCGGCATCGCTTGCGAATCCCCTCGGGTCTGGCTCCCTCTGACCATCAGCTCCTGCATCATCTTTCACGCACTCAGCGAAGTAAAGTCCGGCATCCCAAAGTCCAGCACGTGTGGGTTCACACCTTGTGCGTAATGCGCATTCGTTCCACTCAACCAACTCTGATATGCCATTGTTTATGCTTCGGCATTCTCCGCTTCAGCGCGAGACTCGGCATCCACTCGCAGTTCGTAATTGAGCTCGAAGCATTCGGCCAGGAGGTCTGCAACTGCTGCCTGGCCCTCTGGGATGTCGCCGTTGACCTCGAACTTCCCGTCGGTGCGCATGTTGTCGATAGAGTTGAGCTAGAGTCTGTTAGCAATCAATCTGGTATGTGCATCGGAAGGGAAGTTCCATCTCACCTTCATGCTGTAGGGGTACAACTCTCTCACTGAGCTCCCTCCCCCGGAGTTCTTGACCTCGAGCAGACACCGTTTCAAGGTCGACAGTTGGTTGTAAATTGGCAAAAGTGCTTCCGATACTGGCTCCGAAAGGACCATGAGATGGTAGATGTAACCGTAGCTTCGCCTAATCAGGTACAGCAACGTCTGGAAGCCTCGTCAGCATTGGAGCTTGCACATGGAGAAGTGAGTGATACGCACCCTTTGCACGTAGAGTTCCGCCGGCTTGCCCTCATCGTCCAGCCAGTTCCCATCTACTCTGGCCTCGTCGATCTTGTCAAGTTGCCGTTGGTAGTCGTACAGATCTGTCTCTCTGAGCGACCACGCCGGCGTGATCGAGAACTTATCGAGATCATTGCGAATGCCGATCAGGACGTCGTAAACATTCCTCCACTGCTCTGGGATGACGCCTTTCCTCTCCAGAACAATGTCGGACCACAAGAGAACCCGATCCAGAAGCCAGCACACCTGCTCGCTGCCCTTGGCAACTTCGCCGCCCGTAGTGAGGAACTTCCCGTCTTGCCGCTGTGCGTCGATCTCCTTTAGCTGAGCCTGGAGCTTCTTCACCTCGGAAGTGTTAAACTGGGCAAGTATCAGTAATCTGCTGTGACCACCTCAACTAAGCCGACTCACTTTTGCCTTCGTATTTGCCAGTGATAGAGACCTCAAGATTGAGATGATCTTCTCGTGCACAGCGAGCAGGGTCTCATCCAGGTCGTCCAGTTTTTTCTGCAACATGGCCAGTGATGACTGACACAGCTCGACCCTTTTCGACAGCAACTTGAGCAGGTACGGCGAGTGCCTCGCGTCGGCATCGTTGACGGTCCTCGAAAGCTGGTCTAGCGTCTTGGCCATACTGTCCAAGTCCTTCGCAGAAAACAGGTTCGCTTCCGTCAGGTGCTGCAATAGGCGCTTAATAGTCGAGGTGAGTGAGTATGCCGCGGGTGCCTCATTTGTCCTCCCGATCGTCATGAAGAAGAGCGACAGAAGCTGGAAGCAGCTCTCGATGATCTTGTCGAGGCGGTTCTCCCCGGCCTGATCCTTGGCATCTCCTCGAATCTCGTTGACCTTGCGGATCTCCTCAATGGTCTGCTCATACAACCCCATCACGTCCTGGGACCGGATATATTTCGTCCGGTCCTGTTTGAGGAGCAGTAGCTGGTCACGAATCGCCACGAGGCGTTCCATGATCTCCTGCTCCCTTGCATCCTTGGGAGGTGGTATGACTGGTGTGTCCATCACGGGCTGTGGGGACCGGCAGGCCCTCTTTCGGGAAGCTGAGCAAAGATGGCGAATGTGGTGAGGGGGGGCCCAGATTGTTGGAGCCCTGGCGTAGACAGACAGGCCGAAGACGATTGCTTGGACGGCCAAGGAGATTTCTCAAAAACAGGAGGACACCACGTGATGGGAATCTCAGCTATGTGAGATACGACGTCTGCAGTTTCGGCGCCGCTGGGAGTGGATGAGGGTCTCGTGCTCCGTGGCCCTTGGCTCAAAGTGGACAGCAGCTTTAGGTTGCCGCAAAGCTCAAGGTCGTGTCCAGGCACAGCGGAACGCACGGGTCTATGACAAAGGACGCGCAGGGTGGCAGGGCAAGTTCCCGGTAGTCTGGGGCCAGTGGCACTGGGTCTCACTCAGATCTGCACCGGTAGACGGTACGTGAAATGGTAGGTTGTGAAAACTGCTATCACGACGGCCTTGCAGCGAGCAGAATGGGGGTTTGCAGTTGCATTGACTTGAGAATGGCCGAACTCTGTTCAATGTTTCCAACATCCCCTCCCCTCCCTCGGAGCACCTCAGACGTCAGTGTATAGTGGGGTGCACAGGGAACGTAGGGGTACACAGTGGGCAGGTGGCAGGTGGCAGGATGCGCAGGGGCCAAGCTCAGGGTGGGGTCGGCCAGCAGCCTGCCTAATCGATAAGCGCCTAGGCCCAGTCGCCTGGGCCCCCACCCAGCCTGTCGCTGATCGCAGGGTACGTACCGATCAAGCTCGGCGAAAAGATTTTCAAGGCCGACCGCTCACAAGAAAAAAATTGGAGGAGGACTTAGCACCTCTTACATCGTCAACCAACGGCCAGCGCTGAGAACCGACGACAGTCAATAACCACCTCGCGAGATACCCTCGATCGTCCCCCCGCAGCCCACAACCACATCGACACTCACAATGTCTAACGCTGAGCTGGTTTCTTCCTACGCCGCCCTCATCCTCGCTGATGAGGGTGTTGAGATCACCGTACGAGAAAAGCCCAGCCCCGGACCCGACCCACAACCGTTTCCGCGATGTTGTCGCAAACCGTCCTGATGCCCGCCAGGCTTGCTGACAATGAGGATCACAACAGGCCGACAAGCTCCAGACAATCATCAAGGCTTCCGGTAACGAGATCGAGCCCATCTGGACCTCTCTGTTCGCCAAGGTACGACGGCCAAACCCAGCGACCGACATATGACGAAGACCCACACTGCAAATGCTTCGAGTCGCAGGATCACCCAGGGATCCAGTCACGGGAATGAAATGCTGACGAGGACGTGCCCGCAGGCTCTCGAGGGCAAGGATGTCAAGGAGCTCCTGACCTCCGTCGGTTCCGGTGGCGGTGCTGCCGCACCCGCTGCCGGTGGCGCCGCCGCCGCCGGTGGTGCCGCCGCCGCCGAGGCTCCTAAGGAGGAGGCCAAGGCCGAGGGTTCGTACATCCCGTACCTGGGCAACAGTGCTGGTGAGCAGGGCATAACCACTAACATTCGGAACAGAGAAGGAGGAGTCCGACGATGACATGGGATTCGGTCTGTTCGACTAAGCGGTCTCAATCACAATTCCAACTGCCGAAACAAAGATCACCACTGCCACCTCTACGACGACTTCCTCGCTGTACTTCCTTTGAAATCTCTCTGCATTGGGTTGCGGGTCTTTAAAATACCATCTACGACTAAGGGATGGAGGCCACGGTATATGGTCGCAGGGAACTGGAGTAGCGCGAACTTGATGGAACCGGGTTTTGATGATCAGATGCAAATCAAAAGAGAAATTTGCGCCCCATGATATTGGTCCCAGTCATAGCTACCCTCAAGGTCGTGACATTTTGACATCCCACAGAGTGAGCATCTACCCTTGGGAGGGCATTGGCTACAAGGAGCCGTAGCCATGCCAACTTGTCGCAGAATTCCGTCTCTGTGCTCAACAAATACGGTATTAAGGCGGCTTGCAGTATCCGTCGTAGAACCCGAACAACCAAACCCTTTACTCATCGTCAACCAAAAAAATGCCCAATGGGCTGGTCCCAATAACCTTCTCTTCCGATTGTCAACCCAAGATCGGCAAGTGCAGCGATAATGTTCCAAGATAATTATTCAATGACACAGCGGCCCGTCCTGGCGAGCAATTTCGCCCGGCTATTCAGTACACTCTTCAAATGATGAGCTTATTGCCTAGCGAGCACGGCTAGATTTTCACATGCCAAAGCATGATTCCGCCTTGATGATTACAGTTCTTATAGACATTGCGGAGCCGTGCTAGACACTTATCCAGAGGCAGGTTTGAGGAGTGGGCCGGGAATTGGTCCGCAAGGAACAGTCACGTCATGCATTGCAAAGAAGCCAAGGATAATAACAGGCATGGGAGCTGGTGTGTCTTGACGCTTTCTGTCTTCAATCACTGGCCCTCTCGCCTAACTCTACGTCTGAGAGTACCTTTTCTTGCTGTGTTGGGGCCTGCCGGTCCCCCCACTTAAAATGCTCGATAAACAGCTCGCGCTGCTTTCATGATGTAGCTTTGAAGTTCATAACAGCCCCCCCCCCCGGCCCATAGTAACAATGTTGACGTGATGACCACAAGTTCCACCATGGCTCTGGTGCGGAACGCTAACCTCTTAATCTCATGAAATCCAAGCGCTTTTGGCCATCACTAGTTTCCATCAAGATCCAGATTATGTAGCATCTCATCTATGCTCCTTTCTCGACTTCTTGCCTGACGCCATGGTGGGTCTCGCACATACTCCTCCCAACCCGGCCCCGATACCTACTTGACGATGAGCACGCCGCTGGGAACGAGTCCCACCTCCCGAAGAGTTTGGCCGAAGTCAACGCCCGCCTCAAAAGTCTTCCGGGGAAAAGTCAAGGTAAAGCTGGCCACCGCGCCTCCCTGCTCCGCCTCGATCGCCTGTGCCACCTCAAACAGGGTCGTCTCCGCTGGGAAGTTCTTCTGCAGCACTCCGCCGGGGGTCTGTAGCCTCAGTCTCGCGTCGGTGTAGCTCGCGCTTGGCTTGGGCTGTGCCGGAGCGGCTGCGGCAGCGGGCTCTGCGGCAGCTGGCGGCGCCTTTCCCTCCCGGGCGGCCTTGGCCTCCTCAGCTTTGCGCCTCCGCTCTTCCTTGTCCGCCTCGATCTTCGCCTTGATGCGCTTCTTGGCTTCAAGGTCGTCGATCTTCTCCTGGCGCTTGCGTGCGGCCTCCTTGATCTGCTCCCTGCGTTGGAGCTCCTCCTTGGCGTCCTGGGTCTCCCTTGTGGCCTTGGCCTTGATTTTGTCGTTGCGCTTCTGCTCCTCCTTGTCGGTGACGGCCTGTCTGGCTCTCTTCTCGGCAAGGGCGGCTCGCATCTCGTCGAGCTTCTGCTTCTTCTCTTCTTCAGTCAGAGGCTTGAGTTCCTCAGTCGACTCGGAGAAGTTCTCGTGGCCTGTCTTGGAGGCATGGAACTCGGCGAGGGCTGTTGTCCTGAACTTCTTGCCGCAGTCATCGCAGGCGAGGGACTTCGCAAGCTGGCCCTCCTCAAGACCCTTGATCGCCGCCTGTGTGGCTGCTTCATCGTCATCTTGGGGAGCCTCAAGCTCCTCGATCGGGGTGTCTTGGTTCTTCTCGAGCCACTCGAGTGCGCCTTGCAGCCCGCCGGATTTCTTGATGGCCAGCTCGGCGCGAGCCTTCTCGAACCCCATTTCCAACAGGGCGTCGAGATCCGATTGCGCCATTCTGTCGCGAATAGGGTGATGAATGATACAAGGTAAAGATGTAAGATTGTGCGAGATCGGAAGATAGGGCAAGGGCGAGGTGGCGTGTCCCTGGTCCAAGGCGATGAGTCCGCGGCCTACCTCGAGCTCTTTCGTGGGTGTGGGTTTGTAGGCAAGAAGGACACACAAGTACTCACTCAACTCCGATCCGGGGCGCTCACTTGAAGGAGACCTGATGGCCGGGTCTGGAAGGTTGTGGAAGACGATTTGGCTTGTTTGAAACGGACAGACGGCACTTGAGGAGGTGGCGGGCAGTGGACTTGTTTGTGAGCTTGCCTGGGTGTCTGTCTGGCAAGGCACCCAACAGGGTCACGTCAGAGGGGTAGCTACGGTGGGGTAAGTCTCTGGGATGTACACATGTACCTCCGTATCCCCCCGGCCTGAACACGTCCGAGCACTTGTATGTAAGCAGGACGCGAGTCGCGGGTCGCCAGTGGTTCATGTGAAAGGCGTTTGAGCGAGGTGAGACATTTCATCCTCCACCTGATCGTACACTGCATATACACTGCAGAATGCAGAATGCAAGAATGGATCGCTCAATTCGTAGAGATATCCATGAGACAGACATGCACCTTGCTTAGTCTGCTGTTCGGGGTGTCGTCTCCCACCTAGGTACCTAGGTACCTAGGTACTTATTAGCTGCTAAATCCTCAGGCACAGGCTGGGTGGTCAGGCCTGATGTTGATAATAATAAGCATGCACAGGATAAAATACGGCAAGGTGGGCGTGGTCTTTGTACGCACGCAGCAGTCCAAGCACCCACGGGCGGCCCTCAGCGATGATGATCCCGAGGGAAATGGGGGTGCTGCAAGGAGATTGCCGAGATGCGCTAGAGTCCCAGGCATGGGCCACTTCACATTTGGGGATGGCCCGAGTTCATCAGAAGGAGGCCAGTTGCAAATTGAAACTTGGCCTTCAGCCGCTGGCCAGGCCTGGCTTGTTCCCCGTCGGCCTCCCAAACCAGTTCTCCCCCCAGTCCACCTTGCACACCCAAGGGACGGGATTGCCTCTAGCACCATTCTCGTAACACCTGTGCCGTCATCCACCTTTTCCTGGCACCTTTGCGCAGCCCATCTTGCATCTTTTGTCAGCTTCGCGTCCATCTTGCATTGTGCTGCCAGCGTCCGCCGTCGACAACCATCGCATCGCACATCAAAGACAACACTCGGCACCCCTGGAGTCATTATCCCCCGACTCGGATCTACTCCCTTTCTGCTCTGTCCAGCCGCCATCGACTTCGTCTCCGAGCCTCCGCCCGTTGATCAACCTCCCCCATCCACATCCCAGACCCGCTCCTATCGTTGAACGGCCACGCGACCGCAGCCCGCAGATTCGCCATCCTCTCCTGTGCCCGAAACAACAACCATGTCTGTCGAAATTGATCCGCAGGAACTCGGCTTCCGCCGTACGTCACCCAATCTGCTCTCAGGCTTCTCGCACGCTGCTGCCATGACGGAGCCCGGCTGACCAATCCCCCAACCCAGGGCCCTTCACCGTCGAGGTCTCCCAGCTCCTGAAACTTAAGAACACGAACAAGTCCCCTGTGGCTTTCAAGGTGAGCACCTCTCGTGCCATGTGTCGCATCGACATCCTGCTGACAAGTTCAGGTCAAAACAACCGCTCCCAAGCAGTACGGCCCGCCGCCGCGACTCCGAGATGCATTGTAGAAGAGAAGGCTCACGAGACATACAGGTACTGCGTGCGGCCGAACTCTGGTCGCATTGAGCCCGGGCATGAAGTTGAAGTCACTGGTTCGTCACCTATGCCGAGCTTGTCCGGCATGTCACATGTCAAGTACCACACTGACACGCGGTTCCTGCAGTCCTCCTCCAGGCGATGAAGCAGGACCCTCCTGCGGACACCAAATGCCGAGACAAGTTCCTGGTCCAGTCGGTCCCGATCTCTGGAGATCTAGAGTTTAGTAACGTGCAGACGATCGTGAGTCGCCTGATCATTCGTACATCACCTTGCTCACGTGCAGATACTGACCACACGCTACCACAGTGGGAGTCTGTTGAGAAGTCGCAGGTGCAAGAGAAGAAAATACGGGTCGTTTTCCTGCCAGCTGGCGGCGCAGGCTCAGCTGGCGGCGTTGCTGCTACCCCCATCAGGCAGCAGAACTTCACCAACGGCGTAGGTACCCCGGCCAGACCCGTCACAGGGAGCACAAACTGATCAGGACCAACACAGGCCGAGCAGACGCCAGACACCGCCCCCCCTCCTGCTTACTCCTCGCCGGACGAGCACCGACCGACCAGCAGCAACGCTCCACCATCCGAGCCAGCATCCGAATACAAGGACGACGCCGAGGTCGCAGCACCCGTTGCCGCGGCCCCTCAGGCTGTGAACGATACCCCCAAGGACGAGGTGAAGCGTGAAATCGCAAGCTCAGGGGCCAGCGGTGCTGCTAGCACGGAACAAGAAGGCCTGCGACAGCGCAAGGGCCCTGCCGCGGCCGACATTCCCGCCCAGATCGCCACTGCCGCGAGGCCGCAGGGAACAGAAGGCGTCCCCATCCAGATTGCCGCCATACTGTGTCTCGTCAGCTTCCTCCTGGCGTACTTCTTCTTCTAGTGGTAGACCACACGCGGACCGCTGTCGTTTTGCTCATAAAGTCGGCTACACCAGTGGAGTACGGCAGGCAGCGAGACAATTTTGGAACGGTATTTCATAACAACCGATTTGGCTTGTTTTTGGAGTGGAGATACCATTGGGAGCAAGTTGCGTCTCGGGCCGCCCATGGGTTTCGACGACTGCGGGCAGGATGGGTCAAGGACGGTCATCGAAACACCATGATGGCAAGTGATACAGATACTGGAAAGGGAGCGTGTGTTCCGACGGCCACAAAGATCTTGAGAGAGTAGTCTATCATGTATTTATGTTGCGGCGTCAACCGAGGCGCTTTTAGCAGTAGGGGGTTCCCTTTTAATGACTGTCTTTGCTCGATTTTTAATTATTTGAGAACTGACCGACGAACACTTTCTAGAGGACGAGCAAGGTAGACCGCGGTAACCGGCGCTGTGCCTTGCAGCTTAATTTAATTAGTGCTTAAAGGCGTCATGCGCGACCTCAAGTCCAAGCATCCGGCCAAAGACATTCTAGGGCCGATCATTGAACGTACGAAGGACCCAAGGGAAACGATCAGCGACGACATCTGCTCCACGGATTACGCTGCTTCAAAATGCACATAGAAGTACTCTAGAATGATGTTATTCGGCATTGCACAAGTTTCGCAACAGAGTCGCTGTAACTACCTGGGTAAGCAGGCCGGCGCCGAGTAGTCTTAATCTACTCTATCCTGTAAAATCTGAGCACCTACAAGGGCACTTCTTCATAACTTCGCATCCGTGTTCGCCGTGTTCCGCGCTGCAAGGTTCCGTGCTGCGGGAAGGATCATACACACGTGGTGACTCAGGGCCACAACATCACCAAGTTCGTCCATGACGACCACCTCGAGGTCGTAGCGGCCGTTCCTAATCTGCTTGGCCCTCGTCCTGACGAACAGCCACTCGACTCCGTCCTCCGGCAACGCCTTCTTGATGTCCAGGTTGAGCAGCAATGTCGGGTACCAGAACTTTGCCGCGCCCTTCTTCCTCGCCGCTGACGAGTCTGTACCTCGTACGGCGTACGGATCAGACCGCGCCCTGAACGACTCGGGGATCTGCGGGAACATGTCGGCAACCAGGCCGAGGCTGGCATCGGTGAAGCGCTCGCCATTGCTAAACGCCATCCACTGATCCGCGATTCCCGGGGCTGGCTGCCCCTGAGCGGGGAAGAAGAAGCGCACGTTCTGAGCCGCCTTCCTAAAGTCGGCGAAGGGCATGTTCTTCTGCTCGCGCCATCCAGGGTCAGATCCGGCGGCGAGCGAGGCGGTACTGCCGCTGCCGCTAAGAGGCACCGGGGGCGGTTCGAGGCGCCACCGCGTGTCGTAGGAGGGGCCGTTCTCGCTGGGGATGTTGGAGTTTGTCAGATATCCTATGACCTCCTCGCGGCCGTTCTGGAACAGGGAGACGTGGATGGTCGAGGTCAGCCGGCCGACCTTGACGTCGCGGACCTTGAAGGTCGCGGGGCCGACCTCGGTCCGCCTCACAAACTCAAGGTGCAGCGTTATCGTGTGCGGCTGGTTTTGGCCTGACAGCGTCTTTGAGAAGTGTGACTTTGCCACTTGCAGAAAACATGATGTGATGTATCCGCCGTGCGGGACTGGGCAGTGAGGGTTAGCCGCGTCGTCAGTGTGTTTGTTCGTCATGCACCTCGGCAACTTCATACGGACCTGAGCCGATGCACCAGTTGTCATGGAAGTAGGCTTCATACTCGTGAGATGACTTTGGCTTTATTGCGATACCCTCCCGGAAGGTTACCATGGCCGCAAGCGATGAATGTAGCTTTCGAGGAAACCTCGGGTGACGCTTGTCTTGGACAACGGTGCATGTGGGAGGGGGTGGAAGTGGGTGTGTCATGCTTGGGCCGCTGGGAACTTGGAGATGCTCGATCCAGAATTGGCAGCTAACACGGTTTCATCGCTAGGCCAGGACACGACACTGATCCTTGAGCATTATTCATCAGATCACATACATAGATGCTTGTTGATTGCTAGACGTGTCACTCGTATCGGCCAATATTCTATTCCAACACCATTTAGATGCTACCCTCCATCCTTTTGTCTATCATGTTCGCGTAATTCCACATAGCCATTCCTCAACCATTGCCGCGTGGGCATATTATATAACGGGCCAGAGATGCATTTACAGCCAGTCCATCACAGTCATAACAAACAGGTCCACCCCGCCCAGGTATGCCACGCAGCCTCACTCAAGCCTCGATCTCCTGGGGCGTCCAATCCGCCACCTTGGCAACTTTCTCTGAGGAGCCGCCGACCTTGCGACCGCCGTTCTTCCTCTTCACACGGCTGGTGATGCCGACATTCTTGTCCCAGAGGAACCGCCAGAGCACCAGCACCCAGCTATCATGACGCGGTAGCGGGGCGTAGAACTCGTCCGCAATCTCCCTCAACTTGGGCAGCTTCGTCCACGCCACGGCGGGAAAGTCGTGGTGCTCGTTGTGGTAGCCAACGTTGTACGTCAGGACGTTTAGTGGGCCGTAGTAGCTGTAAGTCTCCGGTACTGGGATGTTGTTGTCGGGGTTCCTGGCCTCCGGGGCGACGGTCTCGTAGACGTAGTGTTCTGCGATGAAGTGGCCTGCTGTGGGATGCCACGACCCAGCCAGGAACGAGCTCAGTAGGAGGTAGAGGATAGGCTTGTAGCTGTCCAGGTACGCGATCGCCGCGAAGTCAAATGCAAGTTGCACGACAAGGTTGAGGAGATGAACCCAGGTGAAGGTGATCTGGAAGACGCACATGGGCCGGATGGCGTAGAAAAAGATCTGGAAAGTGCAGAAGAAGGCCTTGCCCAGAATGGAGTCGAGAACCACAGCCTCCAGGGCGGTCGGAAGGTCGGTATCCAGCCCATCCACGCCAAGGCTCTTGTGGTGCGTCAGGTGGTAGGGCCTGAAGCTCGCGCTGTAGGGTAGCCCGATGGGCAGGTTGGCGAAGATGGCGAACAGCCTGTTTGCCAAGGGCGATCTGAAAGCAAGATTGTGGCTGATCTCGTGGATCGCGAGGAAGAGGTTCTGGTTTGCGGTCGCGCCAATGACATAAGCTAGCGCCCAGAACTTCCATGACCAGAACGAGGTGTCTCTCAGGGTGTATGCACAGAGGAACTGGAGTCCGACAACCAAGGCGACGACATATTTGGTTAACGGCTCGGGGCCGCAGAGCTTCGTGACCTGTCAAGAAGCTCCAGCGTTAGCATTGCGACCCGCCACGACGAGTGGGAAAACTGTCCCTCACCTCTGGGTGAGCCTTGATGATGGCAAGCCGTCTTGTCCGGTGGGGCTCCTCCGTATAGGTCCAGAAGAAATCATGCTCCTTCTGATCCGACCCCGCCCGTGCCCGGTCTGCGGCGGCGGCGCCATTGAGCCTGATGTCGCCATTCGGGGCGGCCTTCCTCCTCTCGGCGCCGGCACTGGTCGTCGTGGTCGATGCGTTTGCCATTGTGTCTGGCCCTGTTGTGGTATGTTCAGAAGGTGGTCAATGTCGTCCAACTTCTGAAAATCCCAGCGGCTCTAGTAGGCGAGGCGATGCCCTAGGGATGGGCTGAGACTTCGGGAAGACGCGTTCCAGATCATGCGATTTGGAGACTGGTTGGGATGACTCTGGTCCGGCCGGGCGGTGAGTTAGTGGGCGATTGGCGTCACAGCCCAGAGATATGGAGGCCACGGCCGTATCTGTTCTGTTTGAATCTTCCCTTGACACAGACAGAATAGGGCAAAATGTTCAAAATTCAAAATTGAGAGTTCCAATTAAGGTGCCTACACCGTCAAGGTAAAAGCAGTAAGTCGTAGTGGCATTGGAACCCTCGACAAGAGCGAGAGGCCAAGCTACCCAGGAACCCAGGTACCTAGGCACGGCAATGAGGGCCTGCACTACAGCGTGGTTGCCCATAAATTTGCCTCTTGGCGGGGAAGGACCCTTAAAAGCCTGGAGCCAATCACTGGCAGAGGACCGTGCCACAGGGCGAATGATGTTCAGGGGTGTCTGTAGACTACAGTACCAGTAATCGAAAGCTTCCTTGGAGCTGGGTACTTCTTAGTGGCGAAATGAATGTTAGAATCTGCATAGTCGCGAGTCTTATTAGCCTAGTATCTGCTCAAGCCACCGCGATGCTCCGTATACATGATGATGGGTGTGAAATAGCTTGTGTGTTGTGTTCTTGGCGAGAGAGAGAGAGAAAAAAGGTCTCTACGAAATGTCAACGGCTGTCTCCTAACATGCCGTACTCCAGTGATGATGCAACAGTCAACTAGGACTGGAATGAATGCGTACCGACACAAGAGTGAATGGAGGGCCTCACCATAGGAATCCTCAACCAAGCCCTGCTCGGTCCTACAATACTTCTACGATCATTGGAAATTTCCAAGTCTATGGTGCATAATTTCTTGACCGTCGTGATGCCCGAAAAGGAAGCCGCGAGCTGCTGGAACAGCATGTCATTCTAATAGAATGTGGCCGAGAGACCAGCTGCTTGAGGGAGAAACCTAACTTGCGATCATGGCTTGAATGACTTGCTGAGGAGGTGGAAAGAAGACAAAGATACTTAAGTACCTATTCCCTTGGACATGCGAATTGGCTCACTCCTGGAGCTCCAACAGCGAGGAAGTCCACCGTGAGAACCATCCCATGAGGCCCCATCTATCTGCTGTCTTTCCCTTCATGTAGCCGTCCCAGAAGAGTACTGGGCTGCCACATTATAGCTCGTGTCTACATTGCAACTGAGCCAGGAACAGATGGGGACTAAGTGCTCTTGTGTCCAAGGACATGCTGAGATGCCTAGGATACCCCCTCCCAGAATTTTGAAAATATTGGCATCAACCTCACTCCAAGCAGGAAGAACGGTCGATTCCGGCGTCTCTTGGCCACTGCATACCCCTACTTTATGTGCGAAGGGTGCCTGATGACCTCTTCAAAGCCAGTCATCTTCAGCTGCAATACCCTTCCCCTGGGCCAAAAAACAACGGTGGGCTCCTTGAGCACAGGATTCCTGTGAGCTGGTCTGAGAAGAGGCTCGTCAGCTCTGCCTTCCTTTTCGTCCTAACTTCCACAAGGTAAAAAAAAGTTGGCAACTGCATTTGCCTCTACTGGCACCTTCCCTCCTCCCACATTTAGGCTTCCGTGCCAACCAGACCACGTCAACCCCGTGGGCCAGGTCAACAGAAGACGTGCCTTCCTTCCCGTTCAATTTCTTGTGCCCCAAGCATAGAGATCAGTAAGTCTTCCTTCCAGACCATCTCCCCCTCGACCTTCGATCGTGCCCTCGAGCAACTCCCGCAGCCTACACAACTATCAAAACTGTCCCTCCACAACATCGTTCTTGTTTCTTTCAAGCTCAACAACTACTTCCCCTTCCCCACTTGATCCTCCTCGATAACTGAAGTGCCTTACCTTTGTCACCTCAACAGGATCTGAAACACTGCAAGCTGATTCTGCAATCACACACACAAGAACCCTTTCTGGTAAGCAGCATCTTCGCCTTTGTGTCTAACCTGATGGCCTTCCTCTCTCCACACCTCGTCTGCTCGTGTTTTCTCTCCTCTGCCTCTGTCCCTCCCAACCAGTTTCGCTGCTGCTGTGGCATTGAGTGGGTTTCTGTTCAGACCCCACCGTCATCAGTACTCCCTGGCTTCTCAACTTCCGTCACCAGCTCTTCTGTTATCTCCATCCAGCATCCACCAGTCCCCAAAGCAGCAAAGACCCATACAAACAAACCTACCACTCTACACGTGTGTCTCTGCTCATAGTCTTGATCTAAGCCTTCCCGAACAGCCAAAGCTGGTAAGCACATCGTCCTCCTGGTACATAGGAGTACCAGAGTTTTACTGAGCCTCCTGGGAGTCTTCTCCTTCCAAGACACCCGTTTCTTGCCCCCTTGAGTTTCATCACATCTTCACCTCGTTACGGTGGTCTATTCTTGCCAGTTCCATCCTGTTTTCAGCCTCTGAGCTTGTTGACCCCGGCCGGTGGCCACCAAAATTTGGTGTCTTGGGGCTCTGGGCTACTGTCTTCTCTCCTTGCCACACCAATTCTGCTGATTGTTGGCCAAGATTTCCATTCCATACTCTGACTTATTCCCCCACAGACACCCCAACAGCACGTGAGTCAGCAAGATGTCTTGGAACGGCGGAGGTGACGACTTCGGCGGCGGCGGTTTTAGTGCTGCAGACAACGACTTTGGAGGAGGCGGTGGTGGCGGTGTTGCCTCTGGAGGCTACGAGAGCAACTTCGGCGACAGCTTTGGCGGTGCTGAGGGCGGTGGCGGAGGAGGTGACCGCCAGTGCTTCAACTGCGGTGAAGTTGGGTATGTTTGACTTCAACGATCCACGTGCGCTCGCGATGGTGGTGCAGGCTAACGACAAATACAGCCACAACAAGGCTGACTGCCCTCAGCCTCCTGCTCCGGTCGAGTGCCGCTACTGTCACAAGGAGGGCCACTTCGCCAAGGAGTGTCCCAACAAGGGCCCTGCTCGCTGTGGCAACTGCAAGAAGGAGGGTCACTTCATCGCCGACTGTCCTGATCCTCTGGTCTGCCCCCGCTGCAAGGGTTCTCACATGCTCAAGGAGTGTCCCGAGCCCATGAAGTGCTACCACTGTGACGGTGAGCACATGGCTAAGGAATGTCCCTCCTATGTCGCTACCTGCAAGAACTGCAGCGAGACTGGTGAGTTCACAGACCACCCCAGCTTCTTTCCAAAGCATCATCACCCTCATAGCTGACATTTGTTTAAGGCCACACTGCCACTGAGTGTCAGAATGCTCGCAAGGTCGACCGCAGCCACCTTCCTGACATGACCGGTGAGGAGGCTTGGAAGCTTTTGGAGCAGGCCATCAATGACAGGGATATGGACGAGGTCAAGGAGAAGATTCAGATCTACGCCAAGGCCCAGCCTACTACCACCTTTGTCGAGATTGAGAAAGCCCTCCGCTCTCAGGGCTACGGCCTTTACCTGATTCCCAAGGAGCGTACGAATCTGTCAATTACCTTGACCAACATGGATCTCCAGGGAAACCTCTACAAGAAGTACACGGTGAACTACCGCTTCTCGGACAAGCCTATCCGCGCGGCTGAGCGAGAGGGCTGGCCCGAGAGCCACGAGGTCGTGATGGAGCGACTAGCCGATGCTGGTGACATTGTTCCGGTGGGCAAGCCCAAGTGTAGCAATTGTGCGAAGCTTGGTCACATCAGCAAGGAGTGCCCCGAGGATAAGATGGAAGCAGACAAGATCGTCGTGAAGTGTTACAACTGCGACGAGGAGGGCCACCGTGTCCGCGACTGTGAGCTCCACTTGCAGCACCATAGTCACGAAACCACTTGACTAACATATGCAGGTCCTACCCCCCGCGTTGACAAGTTCGCCTGCAAGAACTGCGGAAAGGGTGGTCACAAGGCTGCTGACTGTAAGTTGCATCCTCAGACGTCCATGTACTGCTCATTGACTGACTGACAACTCTAGGCACTGAGCCTCGGGATGCTTCCAACGTGGAGTGCCGCAAGTGCAACGAGAGTGAGTTGATACATGGCTTTTGAACAAGCTCTCTGTGCTAATAGACACCAGTGGGACACTTCTCCAAGGACTGCCCTACCGGTGGTGGTGGCTCGAGCGGTTGCCGCAACTGTGGCGAGGAGGGTCACATGGCCAAGGAGTGCGATAAGCCGAGAGACATGTCCAAGGTCCAGTGCCGCAATTGCGACGAGTACGGACATACCAGCCGCGATTGCCCCAAGCCCCGTGACTGTAAGTCTCGTTTCTCCTGACCCCAAAATTCATTGGCTGACATTGTCCCAGATTCCCGCGTCCAGTGCCAGAACTGTCAGGAGTACGGCCACACCAAGGTCCGCTGCACAAAACCTCGCGTTGATGAGGATGGCGAAGCCGGTGCCGGTGCCGATGGTGGTGGTTTCGACCCTGTTGACGCCCCTGCCGATGTTGGTGCTGGCGGCGCGGGCTGGGACAACAGCGCCGGCGGTGCTGGTGGTGAGGACTGGAACAACAACCCAAGTGGTGGATGGTAACTCAGTTGCTCTTGTCTGGCAGCTCGGGTTGACCCTTCTGCGATGACATTCGAGGTAACTGTGATACCTCTGGGCTTCCACGGCCGATCTTTGCGAAACTGCGTTCCTTCGTCTGGGACATGGCATATGGAGGGATGTGCTAATGATTGTGGACTTCTGGCAGCTTCTCGGGTCTTTTTGTAGCAGTTGAAATGGGTGGGGAAAAAAGGCAAACAGAACCCGAGTGAAGCAAGAAAGACCAGATATCATCCGCTGAGATAGCCTTCCAAGAAATGAGACGTGATCTCCTGAAACCACCCACTAGCCTCAAGGCCTTCGCTTCATGTGTCAAATCACTCAACAGTTAAAGCCACAAACGTGCTGCGGTTGTTTATTAGCTTCATCTTGGACACGCGCGCATGACGGCTGAATCGTTTTTGTTTCGGATCGCAAAGTCACCAACGTTACTAACCGCTTTGCCAGCATCAGGGAAGCCATGTGTCTAAAAAGCTCTTCCCACGGTCGTCCCAGGGTTACTTGGTGTTTTATGGAAATTCGCAGCTGTCCCCCACTGTTGCTGGTTCTGGTGTTTCATTAAACTCAAGCAGTTCATCGAGGTTTGACAGATGCCGTGCTCTGGGCCCAGATGAGCAGAAAATATGGGACAGAGGGCGTGTTGCAACCATGCGGCATCTTGGACGACGAGGACTTCTCTGCCGTGCAACGTCCAAGTCCGTGAATTACCGCGTACCATTTGACATTCGAAAAGGTCCTTCCTCCAGCATGGAACCATTCCTCCTCGGTCCCAGACACGGGCCTTTTTGGCACAATTTCCATCTTCGACTCGAGTTTTGACAGTCGATACAAAAGCCGGCCGCATGCAAAAACTGACGGCCAACCTCGGAAACCTGGCAAGCGAGGGCCATCATGAGACCGCAACGAACAGCCAGGCCGTCGTCTGATGCCCTCCGCGAGGCCATCACAGAGCCGAGCCTCTGGCATGCGGCTACTAGCCTTGGGCACCGCACTATGAGCGGCCTAGGTGCAGGAGAATCTCATTTTGTTAAAACGCCCAGAATATGAGGGAGCGGGTGATACCATGGCTCGCCACCGGGCTGCTCGAGGTCGATCTTTGTCCACGGGCCGGCTTCTCTGAGCATCCTTGGCGTGTTCCGGCACAGCTCGCAGCCGCCTATTACAGTTGGCCAGAAGATGTTTACAAGGGCTGACAAGAATTAGCACACATTCATTCATACATGAGGGAGATTGAACAACGCGAGCGCTGTGCAAAGACAAGGTCACATATGGCTGGGGGTCATGTCACGGTCAGGCGAGTCGGACTTACCTTGGTACACCCGCATAAACAAGCCACACTCCCTCATCCTCTCGCTCTCACACCGGACATGTTCATACACGTACCACCTGCCGCCAGGCTTCAGATATCCAAACAGCTCCTTGATATTTTGTTCAGGATCAGGAATACTGCAGAGGCACAATATTGACACGATGCAATCGACGCTCTCCTTGGGCACGCTCCCAGACTTGGCCAGGTCCTCGATTCCGTGGGGCACAACCTGGTACGTGTCCTGCAGGCCCGCAGCAGCGGCATTCTCGCGCAGCGCGGCATGGACGCCCGTGTTAGGTTCAACACCATAGATCCTGGTGATTCCATTCCCCGCGGTGTGCAGCTTCGAGAACACCGACACCCACATCCCGGTGCCCGGCCCCACCTCGATCACCGTCCCGCTGATGCTCTCGTGCTGCCGCTCCGTAACGACGTTCCCCTTGGCGACGTGGCCCTCGAGCAGGGGGATCACGCGCGCCTCGCCCGTCTCCCGGACGCCGGGGCCGGCTGTCGCCCAGAAGGTGCTGAACCAGGCTGACTGGAGCTTGGACGGGGAGAACAGAGTGGTGAACTGGCCCTGGCGGACGAGGTGGAGGATTGTGGACGGGAGGACTAGGAGAGCTTGGGACATAAAGAGCCATGGATCGAGGAGGAACCAGAATATTTCACCCAGAGAGGCCATGGTGTGCAAGACGGAAGACAGGGGCCTGACGATGACGACGGGATGCTTGATGCTGTGAGAGTACTGGGATATTCAGGCTAAGTAAGTATGTACTGGCCCCGATCCCACTGGCATTCAAATGTTTGGAGTCTATAAACAGGGCTACTGGGGCTGGAAATTATGAACGGGACCCATTCTTGCCCAAACGGGTCAGTAGTAATCTGTAGCGTTATAAACGGGGGGTTTTGCCCTAGACCAGGGTCTCCGCGAATTCTGAGGGGCTGGGGCAATCCACTCCGTTTTGACTGGGTCCTGATCACAACACCTCCAAGTGTTGGTGAGAGTTTGGGGGCGCTTGACTTAGGCAAGCACTTGGGTAATTAACTCAAAGCCATACATATGTTTTGGGCTTAAACTTGCTGCATACAACCCGTAGAAATTGTTCTCCTGAGCCACCAAGATGAGCGCACCCATTGTGCCAGTTGTGCGCGACCATTGTAGGGGTGGCTTATATGGTGGACTGTTCTCTGAAGCTACCGACTAATCTTAAACATTAAATGAGGGCGACCTAAAGTTTATGTTGTAAAATCTGGACATATCCTCCGCGGTGTTTTTCTTGGATCGGAATATTGAATGAGGGCTGAGAAGAGGGACTGCTTTGGATTTGATAAAGTGTTTCAGTAAAAAGTTGATGGCCACATCTACTGATTTTCCAAACGAGGGAGAATATTTCTTAAATCTTTTCAAGCGGAATGCTACCTGTAACCCTCCATGTAAGCATGATTTCAAGTTATCTAGCAATGGGTGATGGATTTGATATGACGCAATGTGATTCACGGGGCTGGCCTAACTTCCATGACCACATCGTCCTACTGGCCTCGGGACTCAACCAGAACATGACCACCACCGTGAGGTGTCCAAAGTCTCCTATCTTCACGCGTCGCCCCGAGAGACTCTGTGGCAACACATGACAGACGACGCTCGAAGATCCAGGAATAGAGTTTGAATTTTGCCAAAGGCGCTTTAATTATGCGTAATAAACACTATTCGTCACCCGTGTCTAGCAGGTCGCGTAAGTCGCGTAAGCGTTAGAGAGTATATAAGGCATCAATAATGGTTGAAACCGTTGACGGGGAGGATGGGCGCTCCTCCCTATAGTCCCGGGTGTATATCGCATCTTGGAGGCTTTTTGTCGGAAACATGAATGTATCTCAGCATCAAACTCAATCTGCATTTTGGAAGCGAGGTGGCGCTCAGCAACAGACATTTTTATGGCAGACATCATGAATCAGGTACAGTATGACTAATGTTAACGTAGCTGGGACAGGAAACATAGAGTTGTGCTGACCAAGTCTGTAATTAGTTGACCATTGAACAATTCCACTCGAAGGAGAAATACTATGGGCTTTTGCCAGTCTAGCTTTATGTACTATTGCCTCATTCACCCGTGGCTGTTTGCGCCCAGTCATGCAACCAAGCTTATCAAACTATAGGCTAGTGGACAGCTGGATGGGTGTTCATGATGGATTCTCCAGAAGTCACATGTGCAGTCCCCTGCCAGACAACGAATTACAGTATGTCATCAGACGAAGATCGCCGAGCAACGACATCTGGATGCCCCACTTGGAACACACCCGATGGTCCATTGCGAGCTCTCCACCCACCGGACCCATATCGTCATATCAAAGAAGCGTTGACCGTGAAGCCTGGCTCTGAACAAAGACTTAAGGTATTCGTTGCCCAGCAAATAGAAGCAGGCAGTCATAGCTGAAAAGAAGAAGCCACGCAAACCCCCATAGAACGCCGTCTTCGGTAGGTCCTCGCCTGTAGCAATCCATCTCAGAAAGGAAGACCCCGGTTCCTCCCTGCCCGTTGCCGGATCGATCCCGTACCTGATCTGGATGCCAGGGATCAAGTTGTGCAAAATCTGTCCGGCTTTTTCAGCCTCCCTAAAGGAGCTGAAGTGGAATTCAACTCTTGTCCGTGATAAGCGTCTGACTTTGACCCAAGGACAGTTGTGGCCTTCCCGGCGCAGAATGTCTCTCACAGTACGCGAGTCCATGTCGGGCATCTTGTCGTCACGAGGATCCGTGACCACCAGGACCCGTGAGGCAGTTGGGTCCTGTGGAATAGGGAGTGCAGAGATATGCAGGGTCATACCCCGAACCTTGTTCCCGTTGACGATGAACCTGTCCTGTCTGGACACTTGATGCACCTTGCGAGCGGCATCGGCGGTGAAGAAGTCGAGCTTGGCCGTTCCGGTCGGCGAAATCTGGATTCGGGCTAATGATCCAACCGCGGAGAGGGCAAGAGCCTCTATCACACCTTCAATGGAAGCTCCAGCTCCGACGCCGAATATTGCGACTCTTAACGGCTCGGTCTTGGCCTTATTTGCAGGCGACGTTGTATTGCCCCTCGCAGCTCCTGTTTGGTCCGGCTCCTTGGGCTTGTCGCTGGCTCTGAGAGCTGCCTCCCGGCCACGCCGTTCACGATCCTGCCTTTCGAGCATATCCCTTTGCTTCTGAGCGGCCAAGTCCCTCCTTCTCCGAGCGGCCAAGTCCCTCTCTCTCTGAGCCGCCCTTTTAGCTTCCAGTTCCTTCTCTTTTCGGGCCTCTGCCTCTTGCTTTGCTCTTTGATACCTCTTCATCAAACTCGAGGATGCTCGACTGACGGGCTTTGCGGGACCTCCCGGCGACGTTTGGCTCTTCTCGGGCTTCGGGCTTGGTTGTGCTGGTGGCGGTGTCGCGGCGGCATCCTGTGCTCGCCGCGCAGCTCTCTCGCGCTCGACCTCGGCATCATGGATCTTTCTCGCTTCAGGGGTTTTTATTTTTTCGTAAGCCGCTACGAGCTATACCGAGGATCTGCGGGTCAATGTGACTGGTCCTGTCGCGGCGGAGACAATGGTCGACTGACATCCTGGAATTCGGCTCTATCTTCCTTGGACGCGTCGGGGTGGAGCTTCTTCGCCTTGTTGTAGTAGGCCTTTTGAATGTCTTTTTGAGAGGCATCTCGGGGCACGCCGAGGACCTTGTACGGGTCTCCTTCCTTGCCAGTGCCCTTGGGGTCGTTGGACGCGAACCGCCACTGATGCGCCGCCCATGGCCGGCGTCTCGTCGTGAGCTGGTAAAGAGCTGTACATGGTGGCGTGTAAATGACACTCGAATCGAGCAAAAGTCTCCTCAGGGTGGAGGAGGTGCGAGGAAGGCGCATGGCGCGACCACAACCGTGACTTGCGCGTGTTGCCCGGATCGTCAGCGTGCCGAGACTTGCAAATTGCAATTGAGTCGAGGCAGTTGGGGTCGTTCGGCCCGCCTGCCTGTCTGCCATTGTGGAGATGCGCATGCAGGGGCCTGACGTACGGGACCAGCCGAGCGGTGTGGGGGCGACATTACTTCAACTACAAGCCGTCCTGTCGCCGTGCTCAGCAGGCGGGCTGCGCGACGCTTAACACGTCCTGGTGCCAAAGTTGACCATGCCTCCAAAGTTTGCTGCCGAGGGGGCCTGTAGTGAGGACAAGGCAGGAAATCAAAACAACATTGGGAAAAAAAGAAAAGAAAAAAAAAAGAGGGGCCACGGGCCACTGCCAGAGTCGAACTGGCACCTCGGCGCTCAAGACACCCGGCGATACATCTGGATTTGGACATTTAGAGATCAAGCCCGACGGAACACCTGAATGCTAACCATTACACTAAGCAGCCTGTGAGTTGTTGGGAAATGGTGGCACTCTTGCTATATCAAGAGAAGGGGCCATCCACAGTTGTGCCCATGCATTCATCCAACAAGTGCAATCTCCGTTTGCATGTTCGCTATGAGGATCAATTCAACCAGCCAACCAGCATGCTGGGTTGAAAGACATATCTACTTCCTTGCCTTTGGCATTTTCTTGTCTTCTATCGCATCAATCTCGTGTTTCTTGTAGAAGTGAGGCGCCAGCTCCCTCAACCAGCCCACCTCGATCGGCAGGCAGCTTCTCATGTACTCCTTGCTGGTCTGGACCAGTTCGTGGTAGATGACCGTCTTGGGCGGCGGGTGTAGCTCCTTCAGCACACTGCTCGGGTGGACCCAGACACTCGAGTTGTTCTTCATTGTCCTATATCCATCACCCCTCCTGTCCATGCGTGTTGCATTGCTGAAGAAGCCCGCCGTCAGCGCGCGCTGTATCGCGCGGATGTTGTTGGCTCCGCAGCTGGACAGTTGAACCTCGACACGGTCACACAGCTTGGCAAGCTGATCGCGGACATCCCGCGCGCGGGTCAGACTTCTTTGCTGTAAGAAATTCTCCCTCGACCAAATGGGACTGAAATCACTCTCGACCCATTGGTTCCAAATGTTTAGCAATGTCAGATGGTCTCCGCCCTCCTTGACCGTAAATCTTCTGCGGGCAGAGTCCGCATGGATCTTCTTGTCCTTGGGCCGGAAAAATAGTGCCGATGCCTCATCGAGCATGGCGACGATGCTGAGTATCTCCTCCACTGCACCCTCCTTGTCCGCTGCTATGACAGCCTTGGCCACCTCAGGTGCAGTCGGGAACTCGGCCATTTGTCGACCAAGGCGAGTCATTTCGCCCTTGTGGTTGAGAGCTTGAAGAGCATAGAGATTGTCAAGGGCCGAAATGAGGGCTTCTGTGGGCGGCGGATCGATAAAATCGAAGTCGAGAAGCTTTTCGATGCCGAGGGACTTGAGCTGGAGGACGACGCTATTGAGATTGGTTCGCTGGATCTCTGGCGTGGGTGACTCGTCCATTTCGTTCATATATGAGAACTTGGTGTACAGACGGAAGCACTTGCCAGGCCCTACACGACCTGCGCGCCCACTTCTCTGATTTGCAGCCGCCCTGGAGCATGGCACGACATTCAGAGAAGACATGCGGGTCGCAGGGTTGTAGTAATTTTGCTTCTCGTACCCGGTGTCTATGACATAGACAATGTTGTCGATCGTCAGGGACGTCTCCGCGATGTTGGTAGCCAAGACAAGCTTGCGTGCGTTATCTGGAGTAGGCTCGAAGATCTTGGCTTGCATGTCGCTCGGAAGATTGGCATAAATCGGACATATGATTAACTCCTTGATCCGACTTCCCAGTTTCTTTGCGATGTCGCCGATCTGCTGCTCGGCCGCATCGATCTCATCCTGACCGGTAAGAAACACCAGGATATCGCCCTTTCCTTGGGTGGTGTGGATCTGAAATACAGTTGAGATCATCGCTGCGACGTAATTGCTTTCTGGCTGGGGTGTGTAGTAGATGTCGACCGGATATCTACGTCCAGGAATGTTGAAGATGGGAGCACCGTCAAAATAACTGGCAAACTTGGCTGCGTTCATAGTAGCCGAAGAGATGAGTAGCTTGAGGTCCGGCCGTTCTCTGGCCAGGTCTTTGAGCAAGGCCAAGAGAATATCCGTGTTGACACTTCGCTCGTGAGCCTCGTCGATCATGATTGCAGAGAAGTCGTTGAGCATGGGATCTGTCATGAAGTGACGAAGCAACATGCCATCCGTCATGTACTCGAGAATCGTCTTGTCGGACACATTGTTCTCGAACCGGATGGAGTATCCCACTTCACTTCCCAGCTTGACTCCCATCTCCTCGGCGACACGGGCAGCAACACTCATCGCAGCAACTCTTCGCGGCTGTGTGCAGCCAACTTTGGCACCATCCTTCACGAAGCCTCCTTCTAGAAGGTACTGAGGCAGCTGGGTCGTCTTCCCACTGCCGGTTTCTCCCACCACAACCAGGATCTGGTACTCCTCCAGCGCAGCCAGGAATTGGTCTCGGTAAGAGTAGATGGGCAGGGTCTTCCTCGTCTCTTGTATTGAGAGTTGTTTTTTCTCGGCAGCGTCGATCTGAGCGGCGAGATATGCCTGTTCCTGAGTCAACCCCGGATTGACACCGTCCAGCTTGGCAGCCTGGATCCATTGCACGTATTGATCCTCGTCGAACAGATGCTCGTACGAGCCATCGTCCTCCAGCTCTGGCCTCAGGATCTGGGCCTTAGCCTTTTGGGCCTGTTCTCTCTCCCATTCCTCGTGCTCTGTGACAAATTTCTCCTGCCCGTACTCGTCTCTTTCGACGTACCGCTTGTACAGCGCCTCCTCTTTCTTCTTCCTGTCGATTTTGCCCTTTTGCGTGATATAGTCCTCGGGCATGGAGTAGCCCTCCCTGTGGTCGTCGATGCGTAACCTCTCCTCAGCAAGACGTAGCAGCTCCCGGTTCCTGCGGAACTCCTGCCTTTCTTTCTCCGTCAGACGTGGGTTCGACCGCTCTTCCTCGAGCTCGTCAGCGACCTGTTTCCTGAGCAGCGCGATCTTCTCCGTTTCTCGCTTCGCCACATAACTCTGCCTCGAGCGAATGCGTAGGTCTTCGACATCCCGCAGCTCATCTATCCTGCTTTTCGATGCCTCGGGTTTCTTGCGAGAATCGCCTCTATCCTTTTCACGAAGCCGCTTGTCAAGCGCGTCACGCTCCTCCCTGTCGCGTTCTGCAGAATCACGATTGCGGCGGTCTTCGTCATTACGGTCGTCATCATCTCCATGGCTGATTTTGACTCGTTTGGATGCAGACTCTTTGAAGTCGGCGGTCTCAGCCTCTTCCTCTTCTTCGACTGGCGACTCGTCAGCCCATCTGTCCTCATCGCGGTGGCGGCGGTGGTGACGGGACGACCTCTTGCTCTTCTTTTCTTTCCCCTCCTTCCTCTCCCTTGGCACCTCGGCCGGATCATCCATGGGGACGAAGGCGTATCTTTTGGAAGCCATGGTGCCTGGCGTGGTATACGTGCGCCTCTCGCTGGGCAAGGTAAGCTGTGGCGGGTGATTATGCGACAGCGAGGCCTTGATTTCCCGATCGCGAGAGAAGAGTCTCGATTCAAGATGGGTTCGCAGCCAACGTGCTGGTTGGAACCTGCTTCATGGCAGACGGGTGGTGGAGGAGAACATCGTGGGACGTCGCACCGCTGCCGAGGAAATTATTGTGGGGGTCCTGGCAGGCTTAGAGTACTTCAGTGGCAGGCAACGCGGCTGTTCTCAGCTACCTAGGTACTTAAGTATGGGGCGAGGTGCCACCACCCGCGGACTGAAGCTTAGGATTAGCACCCCCAAACAGATGCGGAAAACGATTCAAAGTTGACAGTAGCGTAGACTACATGCTGAGTTCTAATTTCAATTTGGATCTCATATCTGCATATGGTGTATGTCTTTCTTCCCCAAGTGCTGCCTGCCATGAGCAGCATTTTAGCACCGAGGCCAAGCCCCTTATCAGTTAGGGAAGAACCAACTCAAACAGCAGACAAGGCCACACGTGCTGGGGTCATCACTATCAGCGGAACTCTTATCTAGACCCCTGTCTACCAGACTTACACCCATCTTTTTAACACGCTGGTGTTTTCCACCCGTGTAAATCGGAGCGGCAGTCTACTGGAATAAGAACACCTCTCTCAGCCATTTCCTCTTCCTCCCTCGACTCGACCCGACCCGACCCGACCCACCCATCGTCACTCCTTGGAAGACCAGCTGCCTCCTCGTGCTTTCTTCTCACATGCTTCCCCAATTCGTTTAAAGATTGCTATCACTCGGCTGGAGAGGCAACGAAGCCGAGATGTTCATCAGAGGGGCAGCTTTGCTGCTCCTGATTGCGCTCCTGCAGCTTGTCCTTTGCGCAGAGGACTACTACAACGTATGCCAACCTGATCCTGCTACTTCCGCACTTTCACTGACATTTTGAAGCTCCTGGGAATAAGCAAACAAGCTTCCGACAAGGAAATAAAATCAGCATACAGGAGGTTATCGAAGAAGTACCACCCTGACAAGAACCCGTAAGTTCAGCCAGCGCAGTAGACAGTACTGCACCCAACTCTCAGATACTGACGTGTCACAACGCATAGGGGCGATGATACCGCCAAGGACAAGTTTGTTGAAGTCTCCGAAGCCTACGAGGCCCTCATCGACCCCCAGTCTCGCAAGATCTACGATCAGTACGGCCACGAAGGCCTGAAGCAACGGCAGCAAGGCGGCGGTGGCGGCCATCACGACCCCTTTGACCTTTTCAGCAGGTTCTTCGGCGGAGGCGGCCACTTCGGCGGCCATGGCGTGCGGCGCGGCCCCAACGTCGAGGTCAAGATCGGCATTTCCCTGCGCGACTTCTACAACGGCCGGACGACCGAATTCCAGTGGGAGAAACAGCACATCTGTGAGGAGTGCAGCGGGACGGGATCGGCCGACGGCGTCGTTGACACGTGTGGGCACTGCGGTGGCCACGGCGTGCGGATCACCAAGCACCAGCTCGCCCCGGGCATGTACCAGCAGGTCCAGTCGCAGTGTGACCAGTGTGGCGGCAGAGGCAAGGTCATCAAGCACAGGTGTCCCGTTTGCAACGGCGCCCGCGTCGTGCGGAACCCCACGACGGTGCAGCTCAATGTCGCCCGTGGCGCAGCGAGGGACTCCCGGCTGGTCTACGAGAATGAGGCGGATGCGAGCCCCGACTACGAAGCTGGCGATTTGATCGTCATGCTCACCGAGAAGGAGCCAGATCTGGAACATGAGAACCCCGACCGGGTCGATGGGATCTTTTTCAGGAGGAAGGACGATGATCTCTTCTGGAAGGAGGTCATCAGCCTGCGCGAGGCATGGATGGGTGACTGGGAAAGAAACATCACCCACCTCGATGGCCACGTCGTCAAGATCGGTCGTAAGCGGGGTGAGGTCATCCAGCCCGGCCACGTGGAGAGGGTACAAGGCGAAGGCATGCCCAAATGGCACGAGGATGGTGACAGCGTCTACCACCAGACCGAGTTCGGCAACCTCTACATTGAGTATGTGGTGGTCCTACCTGATCAGATGGAGAGCGGGATGGAGAAGGAGTTCTGGTCGGTCTGGGAGAAGTGGAGGAAGAAAGTGGGCGTGGACCTACATGCAGACAGTGGAAGGCCGGACAAGGTCGTGGTGCAGGAAGATGCGCATCCGCATGAGGAGTTATAAGGCGCAGATGGATCTTTCTGATGCCTAGATAGCGATGTTCTAATGCTGTAGAAGATTTGTTTGGTGATGGTGCTTATGCTGTTCTGGTGCTTAGCGACCATTGGCAAAGCGTGACAAATTATTTCTTGACTGACGCTCCATCCCATTTGGTGGTCTGTAATGTTGCGAGAGCGGTTTCACCTGGATTAATTAAGCCTTGTTGGTGATCTGGAGCGAGCCTGTTCGCGTGGCAGTGCTTAGTTATTTTCTTTTGGCATGCTTCAAGGTCAGCAACGTTTAGCCTGCCTATAGATACAAGACTAAAGCCTCATCGGCTACCCTTCCACATATATATTTGTTTTGTCATACCATGCCCTTATGTAGCGACCGACCTCAAATGCATCAGTCGGCTGCTGTCGGAATACACTTGAGCACATACTCACCTGACACACCGTTACACTCAACGTCATTCGCGATACCCACAGACATGACAGATTTGTTGTTGGAAGCCACAAACGGCTCCATTGAGTTGAATTCGAGCGGAAGACCGCGGCCGTAGTTGGTTACTGGGCACAATGATTGATTTCCTGGGTGGAAATATCATAGTCCAGTAAGGGAGGGAGAGAAACATAGGGATTGGATGGAAGCTAAGTATAGGTAAAGCGAACTAAGATTGAATGAAGATCTAGTATAGGTAGGACTAACATAAGATAGTAGCTAGGCTTTAGCTACACTATATTCTTCATCTTTCCTACTTATATATTTATTAATTTATATTTAAATTAGCTATTAAATAGTTTCTCTTCTAATGTATTTATAATTATTTAAGTAATAATAATAAAAAGTAATAAAATTATAATTTTATATAATAAAAAGTAAATAAAATATATAAACTTATTAATAATTTTAAAGATTATATAATAAATTTAATAAAATTATATAATAATAAATATTTAAAACTTAATATTTAAAAATAATATAATAAATATTTATAACTTTAACTTTATAATATATAAATAAAATTAAAAGATATTAATTATATATATATATATATATATATATTAAAACTTTAATTATTTTTTTAAATTAATAAAAAAGTAAAATAATTAAATAATTAATTATTAACTTAATATTATATTATATTAATTTAATTAAAAAGTTATTAATTATATTTTATATATTTATATTAATTATAAAACTATTATACTCTAAGAGTTTACTATAATTTATATGAAAATAGACCTCTCTTTATCTTAAGAACCGCTATTATATCTTACTATTATTCCTAGGGACACCTTGTGAGAAACTAGTACCTATGGGTAAAGTTGCCCCGTGTCACTTTGTAACCGAGGACTCTTCAATTCATCAAATTCAAGAGATGCTGTGGGGACGGACCTACTGTTCAATTCTGTGCGATCGAAATGTGACCAGGCATTAGAAGAGAAACGGAAGTTCCTCGCCGTGTGGCTCTGTACCGGGAACCTTTGCTTGCCACGCAGAACAGGCTAAGGTGAGATGTAGAAGGCCAAAGACAAAACATGCTCTTCGTTTAATCCCAACTTGACTATTTTCAGCTCCCGAGCTTCACAGCCGGCCAGCCGGCCAAGCACCGCGGTCTGTCAGATTGATTACCCATGGGCCATGCGGCACCTGTAGACCACATTCCGAAGACTGGGTGGTACTAATGTTAAGCTTCTTTCCATGCGGGTCCGGAATTCATGCAACATTCCTACCGCTGGCAGCCGTCAAGCCAAGCCTTGGCCTGCCTGCGGTCCCTGACGATCGGGGCTCGTCCGGAGTCGGTCAAACCTGAGTGGTGGAATCCTTGGCGCGCCTGTCACCCTCGTCCAATATGGCTAAACCCACTCACAGGGGCCCTGCCGATGCAACCTTAATCAATTGCACCCCAGACTTTGCGGCTCCCATACGTTCTCACTTATATTGACGTCGTTTCTTCCTGAGCGAGCACTGTTGCTTGCGACTCACGACCGCTCGCAAGGGCAAATGTTCCCTTGCGCCGGGCTGATTTCAAATGTTGCTGAATAGTGCCTGCTGGACTTTCGATGCTGACGCGGCTCCCTGCACCTAATTCGGCCGTGGCTGAAGTGCACATCGCTCTCGGGGGTTCTCTCCAGCCCGCAGGGCCGGTGCGCCTCCATACTTAGGTACCTACTTAAGTACTTTGATATTCTTGTTTCGCCGCCGAGCCACGCATGACTCGGCTCGAGGCTGGCCACGTTTATTTCCAGATCAGCAGCCTTCAAATAGAAGCTCACCAGTCAATTGGGTGCGCCCGCAGATTGAAACCCCAACATATGCACAATAAAGAGCCCAATGGGCCAAGACCGCCAGCCTCTGCTGACAGTGGCTTGTTCGAGAACACGCTCGAGGATGATGTGCTCTGGCGTCACCGCGCCTTGCAAGTGCAGTCACCTGCCGGTATAGGATGAGCCGCCACGGAGGCTTTGGCGTTTGTCCGGATATTTGGGTAGCACCCGTCCCTCAATCATGTGTCGAGGATGGGTTGCACGCCACCCAAGCCTTTTAGACGAACGCGTCGTCAATGTCGATCTGTGAGTCTGAGCCATCGGGGGGCTACGAATTCTCAGCCATTGGCCCCCAAAACCCGCCTCCCCCCTGCTTGTTTCTCACACCCGGCCAGGACTAGCCGCGGGTGCCAGGACACCAGTTGCTTTAGGGCCCACCCACTCGCTGTTTCATGCCGCTGTCTGTCTGGCCGGTCTCGGTAGTCATGGACAGGGACGACGGCTTATACGTGCGCCATGTATTAATCAATCGCGGGCCGCTACGCCATTCTCCCAAAGACCCTTGCCGTGTCGTCCCCTCAAGTGCTAGCCCATCCAGGACTCGTCACAACTTGCTCCATGGATGGCAACCTCGGACGCCAGGCTTGCCAGGGTAAATACCGCGCGCCTGCGCCATTGACCGCATCTTGGTCGAGATCACATCGGATGTATTAATTATTCGCGGTAGGAAAAATCCCGTGGTTTTCCCCCTGTTTGTAGCCGTGGGGGGATTATTCTTGTCTTGAAGTACATGGTTCGTTTGACTGCACGATGGCAATTCTCAATCTAAATTAATATGTGAATGCTGGGTAGATCGAGCTGTGTACAGTTTCAATGTTGGTTGGGGTACTTCCGGCTGAATCACCTCCGATCGATGGAGTCACACAAGAGTAGTATCCTCGAGATGTCACATATATAAGAAGACACAGCTGCGCTCGCTTCGAAGAGCTTCTCACCTGTCAACAGTCAAATACTTTCTAAGAGTAATTATCAAACCTTTCTCCCTCTTTTACAGCCACGTTTCGACAACATCAAATCGTTTTTGACACCACATTCTCTTCATTCTGACCACATCTGCCAAAAGCTCATACTATACACCCACAAAAGAACAACCACAAAACACATGTATACCGACACCATGAAGTTCTCACTTGTCGCGCTCTTTGCTGCCTCCGCCATCGCCGCCCCTCAGTTTGGTGCTGGCAAGGGCAAGGGTGTTAGCAGTGTGCCCACCGGATTTCCCATCCCGACGGGCCCCGTTCCTACAGGATGGCCGCTGCCAACTGGTGGATGGCCTTCTGGACTTCCATTTCCTACAGGTGGCTCTGGCTTTCCCTTCCCCACTGGGGGCTTCGGAAACGAGGATGGTGCTCTATTCAACGCTGAAGAAAACTCCCCTTCTCCTCCCACCCCGACCGGCAAGGGCAAAGGAAAGGGCAAAGGAAAGGGCACAGGATGGCCTACTGGCTTCCCTACTGGCTTCCCTACCGGCTTGCCTACCGGCTTCCCTACTGGCTTTCCTACGGGCTTTCCTACAGGCTTTCCTTTGCCGACTGGCGGGCCTCATGCCAACGAGTAAACGCTTAAACTATCTGTAATGGAGGCTGAGTTCGGAGTGTGGAACGGCCACAGATCTAGGCGGGCGATAATGTGCGCACACATGTCATTCACTTCGCCTGGAAGCCACGACTCAGGCTGGGCAATCACTCCTCAGCTCGACCTTTCTGCGGAGGGCGAGGGTTGGGTACCACATTGTACAAATGTTGCAAATCAATTAGTGTCATGTTATCCCTTTCACCCTGTTTCGAGGCTTGCTCTAGTCATGAGACAAAGTATGTACTCATTCACCGGTATCTACGTATTCTTCTGTACATATGAGCGAGACAGTTAGTTAAGAAAATTCAACAGTACTTCCAAACTATATTAACATTCCGGTCGATAGTCCTGTAACACTTTTATGAGCAGTAAGATGCACCAGATAAGAGTTTACTCATTAAAGCATTCTATAAAACTAACACTTTAAGTTAGAAAGTTTTTAATAAATATATTATATATAATAAACTTTATAAGACATTACTTAGACTTTATAGTATAAGGGTTTAAAGTTTATATAAAAAAAGTAGATTTAAAAAGTAGGGTTATTTAAAGGAAAAAAAGGAAAAGAAGGTTACTTTTTAAACTTTAAAGTAAGAGATAATACTATAGTAACCTTATTAATAAAGGGACTTATAAGAACTTTTATAGAACCTATTTATTACTTTTAATTTTAAATTTTAATTCTTTAATTAAAATTAATTATAATAATATTTAATATATAAATCTTTTAATATTATATTAAAATAAAATAAATTTAAATTATATTTTATTTATTTAAAATATCTTTTAATATTTAAAATAAACTTTAATATTATTTTATTAAAATAATACTTTTAACTTTATTTATATATTATAAAATTAAAGTTAAAAATATTTATTATATTATAATTATTAATATTAATATTATATTCTTTAAATATTAAAATTAAAATATTTATTATTATATAAAATATTATATATATTTTTAAATATATATAAAATAAAATAAAATTATAATTATATAATATTTTATTAAATATATAATTAAATTAATATATATTATATTTATATATAAATTATTTATATATTTTTATTTTATTATTAAATTAAAAATAAATATTTAAAGTTTTAAAAGAATAAAATATAATATATTTTTAAAATTAATTTAATTAAATTTATTATATAAAACTTTTTATAATAACTTTATATTTATTTATAATATTATTTATTATTAAAAGATATCTTTTATATTAATATATTAAGTTATATTTAATTAATTTAAATAAATATTATTTACTTTATTAGTTAGCTTAGCTTATATATAAGTGGGTGGGTGAAGTAGTGTGTATTAATATTTGTTAAAAGGTCTATTTAGTAGGTATAGAAGTGCCTAGTTAGGTTAACTAGACCTTACTAACTAAGTAGTTAACTTATATATATATATAGATTACTATTAACCTAACTTATAGTAACTAATCTATTATAGCTTATTATTCCTATATTAATATCTTTTTAGTCTTTTAAAATCTTTTTTTTAACTAATTAGAAAGCTTTATTTACTAATAAAATAGTTTTTAACTAAATTACTTTAATTATTTAGAATTACTACTAAACGTATAATTATAATTTATTTAATTTAAGCAGTTTAAAACGCTTTAAATTAATGTTTTATAAATTATTTAAATTACTTAAATTTAAATTACTTTAGTAAGTAAAATTAAGTTTAAATTACTAATTACTTACTAGACTATTTATTAAATAATTACTAATTATAGCTATATCTAATTAGTTAACCCTTCTAGTAGTTTCTTCTTCTTTTATAGTTAATGCTTTAAATTAATGTTTATAAGTTACCTAGTTACCTAACTACTAATTACTTATTGAGTTGTTATTAGTTACTTACTAATTATAATTAATTATTAATTAATTTATAATTATTAATTAGTTTAATTAATTCTTTTAATAGTTTCTTTTCTTATAGCTTAACTAGTTAAGGTGCTTTAGTATATATTAAGTAAGCTTTCTTTAATTAAAGTAGTAATTATTAAAATTATTATTAAAGTTATAATTATTATAATTATTATTATAGTTGAAATTATTATTTAGGTAGTAGTTATTACTTAAATTAAAGTTTTTATTTAAAGTAAAGTCTAGTTTACCTTTATTTAAGTAGTAGTTTTTCTTTTTTTTATAGTTTTAATCTCCATTAATAATATAGTTATTTTAGTTAAGCTTAGATTAACGGATTAGAGTAAAGCCATTAAAGCCACTATTATTATTACCACTACTAGTAAAACTAATTAGGGTGAAGTTACTATTTATAATAAACTTAAACTTAGACTTAATTAATCTACTTATAGGGTTAATAATATAAAGTTAGTTTAATTAAGAAATCTATTTAATTTAAGTACTTTTTATATAGTAATTAAAGTATTTTAGTTTAATAAGGTATTTCTCCTACTTATTATTATAAGTATTATAAGTTTAGATTAATATAATTTTAAACTTATAATAGGTAAAGAGCTTATTAATTAATAGGGTAGGAGTCCTTTTAAAAAATTTATACTAGGTAAGAGGGTTGTTAATTAATTAAATAAAAGTCTTTATTTAAGGTATTATTTATTTAAATACTATTTATTTAAGTATTATCTACTTAATTAGTTTAATAGAGGGGTTAATAGGTAGTTTAGTTACTTAGATACTACCTATTTAGTTAGTTATTTAGGTAGTTTGGGTAGCCTTTTAAGCCGCTATATATTCCTTTTTATAAATATTATTAATATACTTTTTTATTTTATTTTTTAATTTAAACTTTTTTTAATAATATGAGTAGGAGTACTATTAGTGTATATTTATAATAGCTATAGATAACTTTATTATAAAAGATTTAGAGGTTGTAAATAGTTATAATATTAAAGTATTTTTATTTAAGTATTATAAGAGAGAGAGAGAGAAGTTAAAAAAGTATATAAAAGTTATTTATTTAAGTAATATAAAGTAGGTTAGTAAATAGGTTAATTAATAGATAGCTAAATGGATTAATAGATATATAGCTAAATATTAGTTTAAAAGTAGGCTTGAATTATTAATTTATAAAAGGAATTACCTAATAAATAGAAAAGGCTGTTATAATTATTTATAATTTAATACTTTTTATAAACTATTATAAAAAAGGTTTATTATAAAAAAGAGTGTTATTATTAAAGTTATAAAATTTATTTAATAAAAAGGTCCTATTTAATAGTTGATTACACCTAAGTAGCTTAGATAATTTACCTTTTTTAAGCTATAATAATAATAGTAGTATTATTAATTTATTTTTTTTAAACTTAATACCTAAATAGCTTAGATAATTTATTTTATTATTAAAAGCTAGTTAGTAACTAATTAGTATTAATTAGCTTAACTTATATATAAATAGGTAGGTAAAGTAGTATATATTAATATTTATTAAAAGGTCTACCTAGTAGGCGCAAAAGCGCCTAATTAGGTTAGCCAGACCTTACTAACTAAGCAGTTAGCCCATATATATACACAAACCACTATTAACCTAGCTTATAGTAGCTAATCCACTACAGCCTACTATTCCTATATACTTTAATATAAATTAATTTATTAAAAGTTAAAATTATTATAAATTATAAATTATTTAATTTTAATATTATTAAATATTATATATAAAGTTATTATATAATTTAAATAAATATAAATTAATTAAAATAAATAAAAATAAAGTTATTATTCTTTTAAAAAATATATATAAGTTTTAATTCTACTTAAATAAATATTTATTTAATAAACTTTAAAGACTATTAGTTTTATAAATAAAACTATTTAAAAGTAATTATTTAACTAACTTATTAAATTAAAAGACAACCTTTAAATAAAGTAACTATACTTTATTATTTAAATTTATAATTTTAATAACTTTATAAAAAGAAATAGTTATTAATAATTAAATTTATAATTATATAAAGCTTTAACTATATTATATTTTTCTTTTATATTATATAATTATTTATTTCTTTCTTTTAAAGCTTATATATAAAATCTTTAATAGCTTTATATATATCTTTATAATTCTTTTAAAAGAAATTTTAAATCTACTTTTTTATTATACTTTTTATATTATTAAAAGTTAATAATTATTAATAATAAAAGTATAAACTTAAAGGAAAATAAATTTATTATACTCTTTCTTTATATTTTTATAAATTACTTTTAAAACTTTCTTTAAAAGTTTTAATACTTTATTATAAAAGTTTTAAAATAATATATTATAAATTATTTTTTATTTTAAGTTCTTTTAAAATTAATTATATACTTAAATAAAAGTTATAATATTAACTTTATAAACTTATTTAATAAAGGTTTTATTAATATATATATATATATATATATATATATATTTAAAGGAATAATTTTAATTAAACTTCTTTTAATATAATTTATTTATATAATAACTATTTTAAAAACTTAATTTTATTATATAACTTTTATAATATTAATATTATTATTAAAATAATACCTCTTAACTTTATTTATATATTATAAAATTAAAGTTATAAATATTTATTATATTATAATTATTATTATTAATATTATATTCTTTTAAGTATTAAATTTTAAATATTTATTATTATATAAAGGTATTATATATATCTTTAAATATATATAAAATAAAAGTAAAACTATATAATTATATAAAATAAACTTTTATTTTAGAAAGAAGTTATTAATATTTAAAATAATTAATATATTTTAAAAAGTTAAAAGATTATAATTTTAATTTAAAAAATTAAAATTTATAAGAATTTTAAATTTAAACTTAAAGGCTTTTTAAATTTAATTTCTTTTAAAAATATTAAAAAGTTTAAAAGAAATTTAAATAAAGTTAAAAATTAAATAAAGTTATAATAATAAAGCTAATATTTACTTATTTAATAATTATATCTACTTATTTAATTCTTATTAACTACTTATCTAATATTAATTTTTTAAGTAACTCCCTTATATTTATAAATATCTTTTAAGTTAATATTAAAAGACCTTATAATATAATTTCCTTCTCTAATTTTTAATACTTTTAATATAAACCCCTTTTATACCCCTTCTATACCCCTTCTATACCCCTTTTAAAACCTTTTACCTTCACCTTTTAAGACTTTTTACCTTTATCTTTTAGGCCTTTTAAACTATATATATTTAAATATTAATTAAGTATTTAAATATTAACTAAATATTAAAAGGTTAGAAGTTTAAAGTATTAAAGGGCTAAAAGGGGTATTAAAAGGTTAGAAAGAGTATAGTCTTTACCTTTACCTTCTTAACTTCTAGCCTTCTAGTATTTAGTTAGTATTTAAATACTTAGTTAATACCTAAATATATATAACCTAGAAGGTCTAAAAGGAGTGCTAAAAGGAGTGCTAGAAGGGGTATTAAAAGGGGCACTAAAAGGGGTTTAGAAGAGGCTTATATTAAAAGTATTAAAAATTTAGAGAATTTTAATTAAGTATATAGTTTTATATAAACCCTATATATAAATTCTTATATTAGGTAAGTAGTTAAAAAAAATTAAGTAAGTTAATATAATTACTAAGTAAGTAGATATTAACTTATAATAATATAATATAATTAAATAAAAACTAATTATAAAATTATAATTATAAATTTTTAACTTTATATTTAAAGAAGTTATATTTATATATAATATAAAAATATTTATAATTATTAAATTTAAAATATTTATTATTATAATAATATATTAAAAATATAAAAGAAATTTTAAAATTAATATTATAATAATAATTATAATTATTTTATTTATTAATATAATAAAATAATTTTATTTAATATAATAATTATTTTTTTATTTTAAAAATTTATAATAAAATAAAAAATATTAATTATTTATTTAAATATTTATTTATAATTTAATTAATAAATTATTTTAAAATTATATATATTTTTATATAAAATAAAAATTTATTAATAATTATTTAATATTATTAAAACTTTTAAAAACTATATTATAATAATTAATTATATTATTAAAAGTTTTAATTATTTAAATATAAAAAAATTAAATTTAATATCTTATTTTTAATAATAATATTTTTTAAAATAATTTTAATTAAACTTTTTTAATAACCCTTTTTAATATAACTCTTTATTTTATAATTAACTCTTCCCTTTACTTTAATTAAATTAAAACTCTCTTACTAAGTCTTAAATACTTACTATTATATAAAGGCACTATATATATCCTTAAATATATATAGAATAGAAGTGAAACCACACTATGCAGACTGCTTTACGGCTTTCCGTGGACATGGTGGCTACCACATTCCGGATTCTTTACGCAAATGAAGCAGCACCAGCTGTAGAGACTAGCGCCACCATCAAGAAGATCGGAGGGACATCTGGAGCTTGAGCTTCATCGCCGGCCTTCGTTCCGAGATACTGAAGATGCTGTTCCTGGACATTGTGAATAGGAGACCTTGGAATGTACTTCTTTTGTGAGGTTGTCTACAATGGATCCTTGTAGCCTGAGAGCGGACACTATGGTGAAGATTGTCCAGTTCTTGTCGTTTGCAGGTTGTTCTAGGCCGAGACAGAGCAACCCGTATTCGAGATGCATTTGTACCGTTAATTCTTAACCAGCCAGCTGATTACCGGACGCCAGTTGCTAGGTTTGCTGCACCTTCTCCCCGGTAGGCTGAAACAGCAGCAAATGCAACCGAGGGGCTGCCTTCACTTATGGTTGTGTGTGCCTGGCGGAATCAAGGCTCACCCTACTTAAGTAGTGATGAGTTTCTTGAAAATTCTGGCTAGTGCCTAGCAGCAGGTGGTGTGCTGTGGTGTGCTGTCCGGCAGGGTGTTGCCTGCTGGCTGTGGCATAGATTCCGGTCTATGTTGGAAATTGCCCAGCAGTGGCAGAGCTATAAGAAGGCAGTAATAAGACTCGTTGTGAGCCTTGTTGCCTTGGTATTGGAGCTTGCTAGGCTACTCCGTACCAGGTTCGGAGAGTACCTAGGTACCTAGATATCGATAAGGTTCCACCTCGGTCACTACCCTTTGACGTCATCACAGGGGATGAAGATGTACGGTATGCTGTCGTTGCTCTTTCTTGCCCAGAGCTCAGGAATGGCTCGAGGAACACAAGAATGTGCTCGAGAGGGCCTAGGTACTGGCCCAAGCAAGTGAAAGCCAGGCACTCTGCGACGGCTTCTGCAGGCTATGGCTGAGCCTGCGGGTAAAGAGCCGGTCTGACACCTGGAGAGGGGGCGGGGCAGAAGGCGAGCGGGACATGTGAAGTACCATGTCCTGCGCCCCGCCTCTGTGATGGAAAAACCACAAGCGGTCACAGGGCTCTTTGGGGGGGGGGGCTTATCTGCCCAGGTGTTGTCTGAGACGAGCCTTGGTGATTGGGCAGCGAGCTCACCCGTGGACTCGTCGCTGCCGCCATAGCCAGCCAGCCCTATGGTCCTCCTGGGCTCCCCATCAGCCAGAGGCGGCCAAGCCTCGTGCAGCAGTATCCTCGCCGCCCCCCGAGATCGAGCTTTCTGTACCGCATCCACCGTGCTAGAGATGTGGCAGAGCAGGAGGCCATCGGACATCGGACATCCAAGGCTGTGTGGACTCTGATCTGGATTCTGCAGAGTGGTTGCATATGCCATGCAGCAACAAGCCACCCTTGTCTCTGTATGACAGGCCCTCTCACCAAAACAGCACGCAGATGGTGTGGAACCCTGACCTGGAGCTCCACCCGCCTTCCATGTTTCCAAAAAAGCATATGCCGGGACAGATCACCCAGGGGACTGGGGGGGAACACAAGAAACCAGCCGCCCTCGAGGCCAGCAAGAGAGGCCCGCCCCAAAAATAGTGGACTTGTCTCCGAGCTGGGCCATTTTGGCCCAGGCCTGGGGGCATGGGGTCCGTCTTACACTCTCAGCCTCTGTCACTTGGGCATGTCTGCGTGTGATGTCCAGCTGTGCATGCAGGCAGAGGCGCTAGACCTCTTGCTGTGGTGGTGCATGCCATGGCCACAGGTTCTACATGGTTCTGTTGATGTCGTCAGCTGTGAGCCCATCCACCATGCACCATCCCACATCCCACTGTGTTGTGCGGATCCCTTGCACCACTAGACCACATACACACCGGGCTGCATGCGGCACAACAACTTGCAGAGCACCTGGGCAGTCTCATCAAGAGCAGTCTGGAGGGCGGTCGGTCCCCTCGCTTCGCCCCGACTCCAACCGCCCTAGCTCGGCCCTGTCTCGTGGCCTACGTCCCTAGCAGGACCCAGCCAACCTACCGACAATCGTCCTTGTTCAACCACATGGGCAACAAACAGTCACTTGGGCCCATCATCTAATGCTAGCCTCGTCTGGTGCTGGCCAACGTTTCCCCTGCGAACCCGCCAGCCAGATCCTGGACGGGGGGGACTCGACGGTCGGTTGAGTCCGTCATCCTGCCAAACGCCCGCCCAGCCATCTTAATTTTGCACCCAAAAACCAGCCAAGCACTTCTGGCACTCCAGCAACACGCCCCCCCCCCCGCCGCCCGCCAGCACCAACACCAATACCACCCACCTGTTCTCCCGAGCTGACCTCATCCGGCCTTTTGGAGCCCATCTTCTCTCCCGAGTCGTTTCCCCACCTCATCTTATACATACTTAAGTATATACACAGCCTTCCCCATACCACCTGCTTCTTATCCTCCACCCACCCCTGCTTCTCGTCCTCACCTCGTCAAATCCTCACCCCGTGTGCGCCCGCATCTGGACCCCCAAGATGCCTGACACGGTCTACCGCGAGTCCCGCAGCTACGTGCGGGAGCGCGACGACCCGGATTCCGACGACGATCGCTACAGGGCACCCACCGTCCGCCGCTACAAGGTCACTCAGACCCAGCGCGCCCCGGCCCCTCCCCCGCCCCCGCCGGTCGAGCATGTAGAACGGATCGAGCGCACCGAGCGCGTCGTCGAGGGCGACTTTGTCGAGGATGATCGTCGCTCCAGGTTCTCCACCCATTCTCACCATCTGCACCCCGGCCGCTCATCCGGCGACTTGGTCGAGGTCGATACCACACGGCGGGTAGAAAGGACCTATCTGCCCGAGAGGCCGAGATCCGCCTTCGATCCGCCTGCCCAGAGGAGTACACATGTCGTCGAGAAGGTCACGGAAAGGGAGCGAGGCAGATCGCCAACACCCGAATTTTACGACATAAGCAAAACGAGGAGCGTTGTCCACGACGACGGCCGTACTGTCTACGAAAGGGAAAGGACCAGGGAGGTCGAGCGCGAAGAACCGTGGCCCGCGGAACGCCAGCGTACCACCGTCGAGACAAAACGCGTGGTTGAACGTGACGACGACCGCTGGTATGACGACCGAGGGGACCGGCAACGAACAACTGTAGAGAAGAAGGTTGTTGAGCGGGACGCCGACCACTGGTGGGACGAACGTGAGCGCCCTAGGGACCGCGAGCTCGTCTACGAGAAGACAAAGGAGATCGAGAGAGACCCGGGCCCGACCTCCCCGCGCGACTGGGACCGCCATTCGCACTCTCCATGGGACCGTGATAACGTCGACGTCCGGGTCGAGAGACGCACTGAGAAGCGCGACGATGGCGTGGACGTTACCGTACAGCGCCGCGTCGAGGAGCGCCGTGACGAGACACCTTACGGCCAATTAGAGCGGTACCGTAAGGAGACCGAGTACTACGAGCCGGCACCCCCAGACCCCGCCCCAATCATCATCCGCCAGCGCGCCCCGGAGCAGAGGATCATCGTGCAAGAAGCTCCTGAGCCAGCGCCCATCATCGTCCCCTACAGGCAGCAGCAGAATACAGTGGTGGCGCGGCGGGAAGAGCCTCGCGAGGATGAGTACTACTACCGCCGCAGGGAAACGGACAGGTATGGCGATCGTCGTGATGATTATACTGTCGCTGAATATCGCCGTTCGCACTCAAGAGACCGCTATTCTGACGGCTATAGATCTGACGATGACGACTACTACGTCAGGAGGACAATCATCCGGCGTCAACGGAGCAAGTCGCCAGAGCATCACCACAAGCTGCACCTGGCAGAGGGTGCGGTGGCTGGCGCGGGTCTGGCCGCTCTTGTGGCCTCTCGGCGCAATGGCGACGGTGACCCTCCGTCAGGTCGGGGCCGCAAGGTCGTGGCTGGAGCCGCCCTGGGGGCCCTGGGCACAGAAGTATTCAAACGCGCGCGCTCAGCTTACAATGAACGTTATGGTGATGACGATGATCGCTACCGGGATGACTACAGGCGCGGTCGATCACGGTCGCGCGGCGGTGACTACCGTGACTATCGTGAGTACCGTCGTGATGACGAGTATGAAGAAGAGCACGACCGCCACCACAAGATCAAGACCGGGCTCGGGCTCGCGGCAGCGGCCCTGGCTGTGGCTGGAGCAGCTAAGTACTACCAATCCCAGAAGATCGAGAAGGAGGAGCTGCGCCGCGGACGCAGCCTCCACCGCTATGACAGCGACTCGGGTGGCAGCTACTACAGCCGCTCCCGCAGCAGAGGGCCGGGAGGGCGGTCACCGTCTCGAGGCTCAGGCGTCGCCAAAGCCGCGGCTGGGACCGCTGCCGTCGCAGGCCTAGTTCAGCACTTCCGAAGCAAATCCCGTGCCCGCCAGGCTGGTGGGTCCAAGTCGCGCTCCCGTTCGCGCCTCCGCACCGGCGCCGAGATCGTTGCGGCAGGGCTCGCCGGCGCAGCGGGCAAGAAGCTGTACGACCGTTCCAAGGACAAGAAGGAGGAGCGTGAAAGGGAGCTCTCGGATGAGGAACATGAACGCGAATATCGGGAGCGGGAGCGGTCCAGATCTCGGAGGGATAGGTCTAGATCGCGATCCCGCTCCAGGTCGCGTAGCAGGTCGCGCTCTAGACCCCCCATCCCGACATCTGCCGCAGCCGCTGATCCTGAGCTAGGTTTGGTTGAGTATGGCGGCCACCCCCTGTACTCCGACCGAGATGGACCGGGTTACGAGTCGGCGGAGGACAGGAGAAGGCGGCGCAGGGAGCGGCTGGCGAGGCAGAGGTCGCAGTCGAGGGGATTAGATTCCGACGATGGAGTATACGATGCGAAAGAGGACAAGAAGGATAAGAGGGCCAGGAGCAGAAGTCGCTTCAGGGACATGGCTGCTGGTGCTGCTGCTGCAGGTGCCGCGGCAATTGGGTTGAAGAAGTATGGGGATGCCAAGAAGGATAAGGAGAGGGCTGAGTCGAGGACCAGGGAACTGAGCAGGGAACGATCGAGAGAGAGGTCCAGAGATAGGGAAGACAGGGAACGTGACAGGGAGGCCAGGGCGAGGGACCGCGCTGAGAGAGACAGGGACCGTAGGGAAAGGGACAGAGACCGCAGGAGTGAGTGCAACCTAGCCAGGCCGACTGGTTGTCAAGCATATGTTCTTGCTAGACTCACATCTCTAACCACTTCTGTCAGGTTACGAGGATTCCATTGCGGGTGGACCTCAAGACGCCTATGACGCGCAACGGCCTCCGTCTCCACCGCACGCATCCGGCGGTTACTTCGACCCTCGGCCACCAGGTCCCGCTCCTGGCACCGACACATACCAGCAGGGTTTCACACAACATCCTAATATGGCCTCTACGAACCTTCACGACACGTATACGCCGTACAACCCTCAAGAATACCAACCTTTCCCCCCGCCGCCGCCACCACCAGGGCCCCCGCCAAATTCTGCATCGACACCGACTGGAATGCCACCGCCGCCAACGGGAGGGTACCGGCGAAACGACCCGGATCATGTGAGTAGTGAAATATCTGATTCTTCTGTCAACGCCAATGTCAACTTAAAGGATGGGGACCACGGCCACGACCGTGAACACGGGCGACCCAATATTCGCCGCGAAGCTGAGGGTGCGTCTGGTCTCGGTAATATTCCTCCTCAAAGCACAACAACACATCAGGCGCAGGCACCACAGTCTTCTGGGCCCAGCCAGCAACCACCTTCGTCGGACACCAGGAAGGATGGCGGAGGACCTGCGCCTTTGGCCTAAGCGGGCTCCGCATTTTTCAAGATGATACTCTCTCACTCTCTCTTTGGAAGCCGACTGGGCCAACATCGGGTTTCGATCTGCGTGGTAACTAACAACTGTCATTTCTCCTACGCAGATGGTGTAAAGAAATCTCGGAACCGCTCGTCATCCCGGGACAGGGCGCCATCAGCACCCTCCTCTGCTTTGTCAAAACCTGGACAACGTACGCCCTCGAGATCACCGTCCCCGACTAGAACACCGTCTCACGTCCAATGGGTTCCGCTGTCACCACAATCCTCTCAGACACTGCTCCGTCACCGAGCTACCAAATCACGTGAAAATATAGACGATGAGGTCGGCGCAGCAGATGACAATGATAGCGCCGTGGTACCGGCTCCCCGACGCTTCCGCAAGCGCCGGCGCAACTCGGACCCAAGCGCCAACCGCCCGGTGGTCGGCAGACACCGAAACGGACTGCCCGAGTCTGACCGGTCCAGCTCCGAGAGCGAGGACGAAGTTGAGGTCCTCCCCGACCGCTTCGACAACTCAGGGCGGCCCATCGACCCCAACGCCCCGTCCAGCTCCAGGAGCGCACGAGTCCGGGGCGGGTGGACCGAGCGGCGCGGTGACTTCGAATATCGCTCTCCGCGTCCGGGAGGGACACAGGCCCGGGGCATGTGGAGCGTCGGTGGGACAGACCCGGACCAGGTCGAGAGAATTATGCAGGATGTCACGGGGCTCATCGGTGATGGCCCGCCCAAGGGCGTCAGCGGCTGGATAGGACTAGCTGGGCGGTTGCTAGGGAGTGGTATTCTTGGTGCTCACGGTCTCCCTGGTGCACATGACGACGAGCATGCTCACGACGAGGACGACAAGGGCCGTCGGGGTGGCGGTGGAAGGAGCAGGGATGTCGGCAAAGTTGGATATGGGGGCAATGGAAGTGAGATCAGCCGCGACGAGAGGGGCAAAGGGAGACGGAGGATAGACGACCATGATGAACTGGACGAAGTTGACGAGGATGACGTGATGCGGATGGGACAAAGGCGGCGAAAGAGGCGTGAGGTGGAGTAAGGGACCACCTACGCGCTTTCGTCTGTCCTGGTAATGATTTGATGACACCGTCTTATGATATTTGCTTTTTTTAATCTACAATATCATCTTGATCTTATAATTTAGTAACTTCTCTTCCTTCTTTTTTAAAAAAATATTTAATTATATTAGTAAGATTACTTAAAAGTAATTATTTAATTTATTATATTAAATTAAAATATAACTTTTAAATAAAATAATTATATTTTATTATTTAAGTTTATAATTTTAATTATTATATAAAAGAAATAACTATTAATAATAAAATTTAATATTATATAAAAATAAATTTTTATTTTAAAAGTTATTAATAATTAAAATAATTAATATATTTTATAAAATTAAGAAATTATAAATTTAAATTTAAAACTTTATATTAAATTTAACTTTTATAAAATAAAAATATTAAATAAATTTAAAATTATTTTTAAAAATAAAATTAAATTAAATTATAATAAATTAAATTATAATAAATTAAATTATAATAAATTAAATTATAATAAATTAAATGATAATAAATTAAATTATTTAAATAAAATTAATTAAAAGTTATAATTATAAATTCTTAACTTTATATTTTAAAATATTATTTTAATTATATAAAATAATTTTATTTTAATTTTATTATTATTATTATTTATAAATCTATTTTTTTAAAATATTAAATATTTATATTATTTTATAATTTATATTATTTTTATAATTAAATTAAATATTTTAAAATTTTAATAATTTAAAAAATATTTTATAATTTTTAAATTAATATTTATTAGAATTTAATCTTTAAAAGCCTATTTAAACTATTTATATTAAGTAATATATTAGGTAGTAATATAAGGAATCTTATTTAAAGCTACTTTTATCTTCCTTTAGTAAAGCCTATGTGTGTTAGTACTAGTTAAGACTCCTAAGCCAGACCTAGTATGACCAATAGTGATGCCGCAATTTCCAAGGAGCTAATACAGAGCAGCACCATACCTGAATCAAGATATATCATGAGGTTGTGATTAACTCGCTGGGATCTGGGTCAAGGCGGTAGACTGCAGGTCGTTCCACCAATGCCGCAGTGCCCGGGGGCTGGACGGAGCAGGGCTAGACGGCAAACGTTAAGGCGTTGGAATGACAATGACCGCCAGGGTTGTTGAGGAGTCGAACTTTAGCAATTGTGGTGCACAACAATCAACTGTCAAATATCTAAACCTACCTAGTACCTTATCGCGATCATCGGTGGTCCGTGACGACTCGGCCAAGTGTATAGAGTGGCATTCACGCGCAATGAAAACCTCAGTAAGTCGCCGATATCCAAATACAACCTGCAGCACGGCCTCAAATGTGTGCCAAACCCAAATCTGCAATCTGTCTCTTGAGAGGCGAGTATTCTTGCGTTGTTTTCTATGATTGCCGGGGCACCGCTCAACACATATCACAATGGGCCGGCACTTGTGCGGGGCGCGGCGCAGCCAACAGCTGCATGGAGTTCTATCAAATTTTTGTCATTGGAGGAGCCCAGGAGGACTTCAGCCAACACAACAAGTGCATTCATTGTCTTATCGAGACCGTGAATTTCAACGCGGCATCTACGTCTCACTCGTGGCCTGTCCCATCGCAACGCGAAGGCCATAAGCAACGTACTTAAACGACATACCGAGTCTCGCTTGTAATCACACTCGCCTCTTCCCCGCTGCAAGGCCTGTTGCAGCACAGATGGCCTCGCAGCCAGTAGCAATCGCCACGGTCGAGGAGGGCTTGCCTGACCAGCCTGGCTCCGAGGCAGACCAGCCTTCCGAGCCATACACTGTCCTGACAAAGCTAGAGCAATGCTGCATCCTCGCCATGATTTCCTACGCCTCCTGGTCCGCGAACCTCAGCACCTTTATCTTCCTCCCGGCCCTGAAGCCCTTATCTGAGGCTTTCGAGGTTTCTGTTGACAAGATCAACCTTATCATCACCGTGTATATGGCTGTTGGAGCCGTGGTGCCGCTCTTCGTTGGGGATGCTGCAGATATCCTTGGAAGACGTGCGGCGTACGTCATGACGCTGTCTGTACTTGCAATAGCGAACCTTTGCCTTGCATTAGCTGATTCGTATGAGTATTTTCTGGGACTAAGAATGCTACAGGCCGTTGGACAATCTGGTAAGAGAACTAGATTAGATTCGTCCCAGGTGCCTGCCGTCTTGACATTGACGAACCGAAGTTTGCAACAGGTGTGATTCTTATCGGCTATGGCATTGTCAGTGACATCGCCTCGCCAGCAAATAGAGGGTCATATATGAGTGCCGTGTCTTTTCTGTAGGCCATGATCTCACCTCTCTACAAACCCTTGGAACCCTTGTCGCAGAAGCTAAGAACCCCAAAGCATTACCATAGGACCAAGTCTTGGACCTGTGCTAGGAGGTGCCTTGACTTACGCTGCTGGGTGGACATGGATCTTCTGGCTTCTCACGATTGTGACCTTCTCAGGTCTAAGTCTCATTGTCTTGTTTCTGCCAGAGACAAATAGGGGCATCGTGGGAAACGGTTCAATACCACCAGCAAAGATTCTTCGGCTCCCGCTCCCATTCACAGCCTTCATGCAGCATCATAAGGTTGACACGAAACCAAGAGTTGGGTCTTCGCGCATTCCTAATCCTGTTCGGTGCGTTAAGGTCCTGTTCAGAAAGGACAATGCAGTCGTTGTAGTAGCGTGGGGCCTGATGTATGCCGTGTATTCAGCGTGAGACACATGATTTTGCGCACCAGCTAGTCCTTGGCACGAGACTAACACACAATCATGGCAGCCTCACAGCAAGCCTTTCAACACTCTTCATTGAGATATACGGCCTAACAAAATGGCAAGTTGGTCTCATCTATCTACCTTTCGCGCTCGGTGGGACTGCCTCGACGCTCTTCTCAGGAAAGCTGCTCGATGGCTCATACAAGAACGCCCGCACGAAGCTCGGGTTGCCGACCGATCGTATCAAAGGTGACGATCTGGACAACTTCCCAATCGAGAAATCACGTCTGAATGTCATGTGGATACCCATGGCCCTTGTATTTCTATGCACGGCGGCCTACGGATGGGTCCTACAATACAAGCAAGTATGCAATTCTGAGGTCTTTTCCAGCGGTCTAGCGCAAACGATTGACCACTTGTTTGGCTTAGCACATCGCAATATCTATGGTACTCCAGTTCGTGACTGGAATGGCCCTGCAGATCAACTTCAGTGTGAGACCCACTCCACCCCAGATCCTGCTCAATTAATGAGAGGGGTCTGATCTGACACTCTGCGGACAGACATTCAACACTTTACTCGTCGACATCAACCACAGGGCGCCTTCAGCTGCCAATGCGTCCACGAGCTTGGTGCGGTATGCATTCTCCGCGGTAGTAGTCGCTTTCTTGGAGGATATGTTCCAGTCGATTGGGATCGGCTGGGCGTTCGTTCTGATAGCGGGTTTTATCATCGCTGCTGTTGGTCTTCTTCTACCAGAGTACTGTTATGGACTCGATTGGAGGCAGGCGGCGGATGGTGTATCTTCTCGCTCATCATAACCCTCGACTAGCCTCGAGACAAAGCTGCACATCTCACTGCGACGACCTCGCCATTCCCTGGATACAGTAGAGATGTTTCGATACTCCACAGACTGCATAGCCTCAACGCTTGTTCATTGGCCCAGTCGCCAGGAAACACGAATAGTTCCTTCGCTGCGCCATGGGGCCCGTCCGACGCGACACCTACCCTGGCAAGTGCTCTTGATCTCATGTTTCTTTGAGTCCTTGGGTGCAGGGTGGATGACTTCGTGGACTCAGATGTCCATTGGAGACCCTTAGAGCAGACGGCAAAGTCTTTGGACACATATATCAGGCGGTCCCCCCATACCAGCCCAAGCGGAAGTGAGACGTCATGACACAGCTCGGGCAGGATTCGGTGCATCTTGATTGTAGATGAGATGCCTTCTGCCTCTCCATCCGATCGGACATGAAGCGCCAAATCAGCTGTGCTCACGAAGAACAAGGTCATATTTCTTGCTCTATCGCGGGCAGTGGATTTGTGCAGCAGTAAGCGGGAGTTGTCTTGAGAAGGAAGTATTTGGCCGAACCGGACGCTGCTGGACTGAATCTGCACGTCGCCAGGTCCTCGTGGCCATTGGATTTCGAAATTGACTTGCTCGACCAGATTCCAGTCCAGGATTGTGATTTTGTGCACATCAAAGCCGAGAAACAGCGTGTCGTTGGTTGGATGGAGCACCCACTGGAAAGTAACAGAGCCGAGCTCTCTCGACGTTTCAACCGAATAGGAAGACAGCGATATGGTGTGTATTTGCGACGAAGTATGCACCAGAATGTGACTCGCCACGCGCTGGAAAAGTAGCTGTGTGATTTGGCCTTTGGCCAATTGTCGCATCGATATTGACGCTATCTGTTGGTATACCGAGGTGTCGGCCCCGTTGGCTGATTTGTTGAAGACAAGAAGCTGTTTGCTGAAATCTGAAACGCATATGTGACTGCCGTCAATGCTCCACACGATATGTTCTATCCCGAATTTCGCCCGTGATGCATATAGGGTAGCGATTCTTCCGGCCTTGATGTCATGCAGCCTGACGACTCCTTTCTGGGTGCCGTAACAGTAGAGGTTTCCGGTTGGTGACCCAGCCAGTGCAGTGATTGGGTCCACCGCTCCAGGGAGGCCAGATGATCTCTCTGACGCATGCGACATGGAGTATTCACTGGCTGTATCGACGTCTCCGGACCTCTCTGCGTGCCTAACCAATGCGTTCGGCTCCCAAGCATTCACATGGAAGCCTCTGCTATCGTAGAAACGCTTGGCATCGGGACTGAATGCGAGGCCAAAGACCGCCTCTTCGGAAGATAATTGACACAGAAGGGAGAATTTCTCAGTGGTGAATAGCTTTACTCTGCCGTGTGCATCACCGGTCACCAACAGTTCGCCATCGGTGCTGATAGCCATCTTGGATGCCTCAACAGACAGCTCATCGTAGGTGTCCTCGTAGGGTGCCCATCTGAACAAAACCCCTTCGACCGTAAGACCCAAGACTTCAGGCTGGCACGGGTGCCATACGAGCTCGCGTAGCTCACGAACCATGGAACCGTCGTCTTTGCGTCGGACATGCCCAATATGAGTAGGACCTTCTAGTTCCCACACCGAAGCAGGGTGACGGCGGTAGCCGACGGCAATCATGGTTCCGTCTGGACTCAATGCCATATGACTAGCTGAGTTGGTGAAATGCTGCTCAAGCCCGAACTCTTCCAGGTCAGCGATGACCTCCCACGCTGGCACAGCCTCACGTAGATTGAGAGTGCGGACTCGACGATCATCTGAGCCGACAAGTAGCGTCGAGTCGTTGTTGGTGAACAACATTGCCAAAAGCCTCGTCTTCGACTCCACGCTGTTGACGGACAAGATACATTCCCCCGTATGAATGTTCCAGATCCTTGTCGTATGATAGCCGTAGGATGCCAGCAGTGACGCTTTGTTGTTCAACTGGACTCTGTCCACACGCTCTCCGTGCTGGATGGGACTGCATCCTGTTTCTCGGAAATCCGAAGCCTCGTATAAGTGGATATTCCCAGGAGCTGCCAGCACTGCGAGATTGGATCCAGCGGTCTGTATCGATGAGGCGAACGACTCAGGTACCGTAATACGCGCAAATATGTCATCCCATTTCTCTGCCATGTTTCCAACAATAGACAAGGCTTCTGAGTTCCCGAACAGCTGATGGATTGAGGACCCCTTAGGACAGAAAGGAGGAATAGTTTGGTAAATGGTGTCCGGTCTACGGCGCAGGAGGCTACCGTATCTGCCCATGACCCTGAGTAGGTCCACTGACCAGCTCGAAATCAGCTCTTGTTCGGCTATATCAAGAGTCGAGTTTTGTCTGTTTTCTCGTGCAAGCTTGTAGAGATCCTTGGAGGTCTGAGCGAGCACCCTCAGGTGTCCTATGGCTCCCAAGGCATGGATCCAGGTGAGAACCCAGCTGCCTGTGAGGAATCGTTTTAGTGTAGACAGAGTTTCTTCATCCACTGGTGTAGAATGCAGTAGATGAGTTGACCACGCGTCGGCAGCATAATCCAGGAATTCGGGAACTTGATCACGGCCAAGCTTTGCCCTTAGACCTGTCGACATGAGACAGCGCATCGAGCTCAGGAACAGGGCTTTGTGCGAGGCCGGTCCATTGATTCTGAACTCTGACTGCTCCTTGGTCGATAGTAGATACTCCCGAGCAGAGAAATGAATCATGAGCGCGTTTCCCTCATGGCCACAGTCGCGAATCCACAACACAGGTTCTTGATGGCATGTGCGAGATCCAGTATTGCGGGAGCGTCCTCACCAAGAACATGGCCTATTTCGGATACTGAAAGGACACGTATGGTGCACGTTAAGGTCTGCAAAATTTTCGTAGCCAGTGCTCTGTCGTGAGGGTTGGATATGTTGTCCATAGCAGAAGCCATGCGGTCATACAGTGCTTCCATGCCTTCGGGTATTTGATGCAGTATTGACTCGATGTCCTCTAGTGTATGGCATTGATTTACACGCTCAACAACCAGTCGGGCCCACTAGAACGAAATTCAGCCATCCAATACGAATGATTCTGGAACTTGAGGGCTTACTAGGAAGTTATTTCGAGACTTGTCCACGATTTGTTGCTCTAGTGCCTCCTTCACCTCGATGGAACCCGGCACCCTGAGTTTCTGACAAACGTCGATTCCAATGTCCTCCAGATGGCCATCAATGTTGAGTATCGAGAACTGGATATTTGAAGGACGTCTGTTTAATGCGTCGATGACATCTGCATTGTGCCGGCTTGAAAGCAGTAAGCGAATCGGGGAAGAGGATGTGATGTCCAGAAAGGTTCTGATGGCGCCTCTTGGAGACTCTATTTCATCCAAGCCGTCGATCACCCAGTATAATGGCTGTTCCCAAGTCGATTTGAAGATTGTGGCCTTGAAAATGCGGTTCCAGATGATCTTCGCGTCAACGATCTCGAAGTCAATGCCCTCGTCTTTCAACTCAATCAGCTGGCTAGTCAGTTCGGGGAGGGCCTGCGCGATTTGGAACGCGAGTGATCGCAGCAAGAACCCCATAGTCCTCTTCTTGCGGTCTTCGTGTCGAACGAAGAAGTACTGACAGCGGTATCCGCCCTGGACTAAGCTATTAATAATAGTTGAAGCGAGAACGGACTTCCCCGTGGCGGCTCCACCATTCAACCAGAGCACGCTCAGTTCACCCTGAGCACCTCGCCACTGGAGATAAGTCTTGTCCTTCTTAATCCAGTTGTTGGTATCGTCTGTCCACTGATCTCTGAAGAAGATGTAATCCAGTTCAGGAAGCTCTGAAAGTGCCAACATAGACTTCAACTCGAGACCTGCTCTTCGTTCCGAAACCTCCGGCTGCTGGGCATTTTCCTTTGCGATGATCCTTCCAACAAGTGATTTCAGGACATTCCTAATGGCTATGTAGTTGGGGTCCTGTGGTCCTTCGTATTTGCAGACGCCGTGGTGATCCGCGATCAGTGCTTTAGATACTTCTCCAGGATAGCCCAACACAGACGATTCCTTTTCCAGTACCATCTGTCATTATTATCAGCATCATGCCCTTTGTCTTATGACATTAGGTATAGAATGAACTTACAACTTTAGCACTTTTGATTCTTGTAGGCATTGTCTCGTAGAATGACACAATGTCCAGTAGTGGAGCGATATGTCGAAATTGCTCGTTCAGTTTCTGCAGCGTGAGCGAGTTTCGCGACAGCTCTGCAACGTATTGCTTTGAGTTTATCCTGATCGAATCCAGAATCCGGTTCAGTGTTTGCGCCAGTGCCGCTCCTCGATGAGGGGTTGCAAGAAAGGTGATGGCTGTGATGGCTTTGATAATTGACTGGTACTTTGGGTCGTTTTGCCCTTGGATATACGCCTGTCCTCGGTTAGTAGAGCTCAGTTTCCTTAAGGTCTATTATCATTACCTCTTTCATAACTAGGCCTCCCATGCTGTGAACCACAAATATTATGGGCACTTTCCCCATATTCAATTCCTGCATGTCCGGATCTTTGCCGTATCTCAGGTCGAACAGTAGGTCTTTCGCGAAGTCGAGCAGCGTCAAAACACATTCCCGGTCTTTTGGAATGACGCATTGTACCCAAATGTCAGTATCCTGGCAAGGCATAGATCCTGCTCCAAGGGCAGGAAGGTAAGTGGCCAGAATAGCTCCGAATTCCTGTTCTTGGTCCATGTCCACTTGCTCGTCCCACCGAGGCCATGGATGAACACGATATCGACCTTGTGGCCATTGTTAGGTGTGTAAACAACGTTTAGTCCAAGGGGTCCAGAGTCGGCATGCTGTCTACTCGGTGATGGGTCACGCGACCGATTAGTCGCAGTGAACACTGTTGAGATAGCGAGGGAGTCCCTTGGTCCGGCATCTCGAACTGGGGGTGTAATGAGATCGTCTGGAGCCAAGCTGTGCTCATCTGCGGTGTCTGATTTCCTCCGCCAGCCAGTGATATTTCTGAGCTGTGACATCTGTTAGCCTAGAGTTATTACATATAATGTTGCCGACCCGCAAGGAAGAACAAACCATCTCAAGTTCCTTTCTAGAGGCTGGCTATCTTTGCTTGTACTAGTTATATGAATAGCTTGTATACGAGCGAATTTCTTGACATGAGGGAGCAAGTTCTAGGATCCTGCAAGAGATGCGGGGAGGACCCAAAGGTTGCATGCCGCCACCAGAACTGGTTGGTTTGAAGGATCACACCAACAAGCATCAAGAGGCGCAGCTTGTCAGCGGCATACCACCCTTCTCGACCCAGCGCGGGTTAATTATAGCAGGTAATTGGTAGCACAGGACGTGCAGTTTCAGGTCGAATCCCGCAGGCGCCCCTCATTTTCCGTCCGTTGACCCATTCTCTCTCTCACCTGCAATTGTCATACTTTATTTGATATTGTTGATTCGTTTCTTCTTCCTATATCTATTGCAGAGCGTACGACTGCACTGGTGGTCTCTAATCAGGACTTGTACATGCCACAAGCGCGCACATCGCAGCCACAGAGTACCATAGCTTCCCTGGCTTCAAGACACCCAAGCGCAACAGGAAGTCGAGTATATACATCCCACTGGACACAAAGAACTGTGGCTCTAGTCTGAGCGCAGGCCCAACGTACAGGCAGGATGTCATGGGCAACGGATATCGACGGGGATTTCGCCCTCCACAATGCTGTCATCGAAGGCACGGTATTTCAAATCCAATCACGGCGCAGCAAGCTAACTTCGGGGCTTTCATGCAGTGATGCCAAAGGGTACACAGATTGTTTCTGCCGAGACCTGGGGGCTTTCAGCTTGGACCAAGACAGCAAAGATTACAACCGAGCTCGCTGACGGAAGTGCGCAGCGATACTTCCTCAAGGTACCGTCCCCTCGGGTCCAAGGAGGCTCTGCCAATGCTTAAAAAGGATCTGCAGTGCGCGAGCGGGAAACTGGCCAAGATTCACATGTGGGGCGAGCATTACTCTGCCACGGTGATTCAGTCAAAAGTGCCGGGGTTCGGGCCCGAGCCAGTTGGTAAAGGAGAGTTCATAGACGAGGTTGGGAAGCAGGTCTACTTCTATCTCCAAAAGTATTATGACATGGACGTGCAGACACCGCCTGACCCGGCCGGGCTAGCCACCGCAATTGCAGAGCTTCACACCAAGGTGACATCTCCCAACGGAAAATTTGGCTACCCGCTGGTCACAGGCCGCGGGAGCGTAGACCGCACGGAGCACTGGAGTGACAGCTGGGCAGACCAGTTCACATACCTGCTCAAGGACCTCATCAAGCTCGACAACCAGGTCAACGGGCCATGGCCTGAATACGATGCGGCATGCAAGCAGCTGACGGACGGCGTCATCCCGAGGCTGTTGGGAGCGTTGCAGGCTGACGGCCGCGAGATAACGCCGGCTCTTTGCCACGGCGACTTGTGGGAAGGCAACGTTGCTACCGATATGGAAACTGGAAAGGTCATCATTTTTGATCCGGACGAGTGCATGTACGCGCACAACGAGATTGAGTTCGGGACGTGGCGGTGCAGCTGGGCCACACACTTCAAGTCCCCAACTTACATCCAGCGCTACCTGATGCAAGTGGAGCCATCGGAGCCGGTCGAGGAGTGGGAAGACCGTAACAGGTTGTACTCGATCAAGGCCGCCATCTGTGACTCTGCTGGTCACAGAGGGAGCAGATCACGAACTATGTGAGTGAGGCTTCCGGCTGAAACAATCTCGTGGTCAAATGACTAATGACATTGTTCATTGGGAAGAGCATATAACGATATGTTATTTCTCTGTGAAAAGTACGCACCTCTTGGCACATTAGAACGCTACGACCCGGAGAAGGACATTAGTGTGACGGGAATGGTGGAGGCATATGACATACACTCTGGAATATGAGGCAGCAGGTAAGATCAAGGCGGTACCTTAAACAGTACATTGAACTATCCTATTGAATCTGCTTCTTGAAGAAGGAACTCAATCATTCAAGCGGCACAAATTCTCCCTACTTTACAATCCCAAGGTCTAGACATTCAATCATAGTTTTCATACTCCTCACTTTTATCCACATCCAATCCTATCATACATATATATATAACATGAGGCTATAAGCACCTATTATATTATAACTATTATTACTAATAATGTATTGTTTCTAAGTGCTAGGTCTTGAGTGCTTACTACCGTATGAAGGCGCCATGTATGTCCTTAAATGTATATGAAATAGAAGTAAAACTATATACTTTATAAATGTCTTGGGCTTACAGCGGCTCGAAACGATACCGAGCTTGTCCGTGGATCTTTCTGAGGCTAGTGGCCAACATGCAATAATCGACTCAGAGGGTGAGAGGCTATGCAGTAATAGACAATTCACCGGATCGATTCGCGGGGTTGGAGAGGAAGAGAGAGTCCCAACGCCCAGAGAGCATTAGCTGTTTGCGATACATCCCCCGAGTGGGTTGTTAGGGCTTAATTGGCCCAGGCGGTACCGCGAGACCTGGGCCTTAGAGCGAGAGCGAGTGCACGTGGGATGACTTGGCTCCCGACTCATATACACGTGCCGTGCCCAGCCCGCGCATTCTCATCACAGCACTGGCCTGCCTTGCGTGGTGCTCGAAGCTCCGTAGGTAGGGCAGGCCATACGCAAGCATGATTGGTATCATTATTGCGGAAGATGGTTGGTGGGCCGGCCGGTGGGTCATGGCACGAATGAGCCTTCGTCAGGCCATCAACACTCCCAGAGCTCTGGTGATGGATTGGGTGCGGGCTGTACCTTGCGGTTTTGAGTGGGCGGAGCCTCACTATGCGTGCCGCGGGCCGCCGCGTTGCATGATGACGAGGGTGCTTATTAGGGCGGCCCCTTTCCACCCCCTGAAAGTCCAAGTCCAGTGCCGGGCTTGGATATTAGGCGTAGGCGCTGGAGATAGCAGCAGCGTTGGGTGTGGGATACACTCAACCCTTTACTTTCGGTTGTTGGATCTGACAAGAGAAGGGTTCCTCTTGGCTTGCATGAGCAGTGTGTAGAGTTCTGGAACTGCCGCGGGCAATCAACGAGCGTGAACAAGATGTTTATTAGTGGCTTGGACGAGACGGTTCGTCTTGAGTCGATGACAAGCATGACGCTGGCAGACCGGCAGACTGGGAGCACATGGTAGGTGCCTGAGCATTGATGGATGGGGCAGTCCTGTCTATGTGAAATGTTTCGATCTTCGCTGCAGAGGAGATCATGTCTTGGATATGTCTTGGATCGATCTGGCAAGCCCGAGAAGGGAAGGGGCATGAGGATGGAAACCAGCGGCGGTGCGTGGGCGAGCTAGGAGAGTGAGGCTGGATGGATCGTCACCAGGGTGTCGGGTCCAGGGGGGGGGGTTGAAAGGCGGACGGGCTGGAGGGACGGATGAGGGCCTGCCCGGGCCCGCCAGCTCGAAACACACGTGCAGGGAAGGCCTGGGCCTCGTGCACGGGCTGGGCTGGTTGATTAGCATATTACTGTGTACTCCGTAGATAGTCTGTCAGTCTGTCTTTATGTCCTTGTCGTCCATGCGACAGAAACAAGAAACCAACTGCCGGGCAGACAGACAGGCAGATTGGCAGAGCGTGTCTGGCTGTCTGGCTGTCAGCCTGTCAGCCTGTCAGAAGCTGCACCCCGCGGCGACTTGCTCGGGGGAAATGGGCATGTGCTGCAGGTGTCGTCCTAGCCCAAGACGGCTGCACGTGCGATGAGGACTGCTGTACGCCGTGAGGCTCTGGCCCAGGTGGGACTGCAGCCCTCAAAGCGGCGCAGAGGCAGCTAGGGCGAGATGTGGCGCGGGTATCTTTCTAACGCATCGGGGCATTGTTGGTGCCCCGGAGCTGCTAGCAAGCGACCGAGCGTGTCAGATCTCCCATCACGCAAGCCCGATCCCGGGATCGCGAATCCACAGCTGGCCAGGGCTAGTGTAAAGTGGACCGCGGAAACGGATTTCTCAGCGTTCGGACACGGAGGGATTCGTGTCTTGCAGTACATTGTGCCTGCTCGCATGGGGGAGTTGGGCCGAGCGGCCCTGCAAAGCTAAGCTCCGAGAGCCAGGACTTCCTGCCTTCCTGCCTTCGTGTCCGTCTCGACGCCATTTGTGCTAGTGCTAGTGCTAGTGCTGGGGGCCTGGGGCAGGAACGATGATGGAAGACTGGAGCTTATTTTTCTTCAGCCTGCCAAGCAAGGGCCTCCAGATAGATGCACAGTAGGCACAGTAGAAAAGAAGAAGGAAGGGAAGGGAAGGAAAGGGAAAAAAAAAACGGTGGACCACAACAGCCTTTCTGCACGGTCGTGGCCATCACCCAAGCGGCACGAACCTTGGAACATCATGATTCATTCATACAGTCCACCGCCCCCGACAGGCACAGGCATAGGCACAGCTCACAGTCTGCTTTCTGGAATCGCGACGCGCGCCTCGGTCCTGCATCCTGCCTCCTGCCTCCTGCCTCCTGGGGGGCCCATCACCGCGCCCAGATTCGTCCAGCCAGCCGACCAGGCCCCAATCGAAGATGCACCACAGTACTCCGTGCCCGCCTACCTAGGTACCTAGGTACCTAGGTACCTAGGTATGTAGTGTAGAAAAGGTAGACAAGCTGGCTCGCCTGTGCCGAGCAGCCCGGCGCCCCCAGCATGGGTCCTTTGGTAAGTGGACGGTTATCACGCAAGAGCTACTGTGGCACTTCCAAGGTTTTTCCAACAGGAGCAACAACGGCCTGTGGCTACACCAGCCCCCCGGCGTTGCACCCCGCTGCAGCCCATACTACTATGGCATATAGCACCTACCTAGGTGGGTAGGTACCTAGGTACATGCGCGGTACCTCGTCGCGCTCAGGGTCCCGGCATCTGAGCATTTATCTTTCTTTGTTGCGCACCCAGCACGCGGAGCAATTGACTTGGACTACCTGCCTTTGCTGCTTCTCTTGCCTGCATCTGGAAGGGGTCCCCTTCTCCTCCTGTGTCCTGGGATCCTCACACTTGACTCAAGACCGCCAGTGCCGAGTACGCCCATCGATCTGACTTCTCAATCTCCCACCCTCTCTCCGTAATCTCCACCGCCTCTCCCGGCGCCAACCCGTTCACGTTTCTACACTACGGCTTCCACCCTTCCATCCACCATCCCGTCCCACCCATCGCTGACCTGGTCCTCCTGGTCCTCCTGGACAACCCCCCCCCCGGTCCCCTGCTCTTCTCTGACAATCTCGACCCCCGGCCGCCCTATGATTCATCAGCCCGTCCTCCCGCTATCTAAGTACAATCTGACGCGGCAGAGATCCAATTTATTTTGATATCAGATCTCTTACACGCACTATCTCTTCCCAAGCTCCACCACCCTCCCCTTTCACCATGGGGAGCTGAGCGTCGACAATATCTAGTGCTCGTGCTCGCACCTACATCTATCTCCCCTTTCTGTCGAACGAGACACTGCGCCGCCTGTTTCTTCTTATTCACACTCTTAGCCAGCTATCGTCTGGGCATCGTGCCTGCGAACGAGCTGTCGTTGTCCAACACCTTCTCAGAAGACCACTCTTCTGCCAACTCCTGACGATATATACAAATAACAACACCAAACCGGTCGCGCCTCCCAAGGCAAGTCTACGGTCCATTAAACCGAACGCGTATCAAACAACAGTCATCTTTACCACCGTCCAAAATGACGGGCCCTGTACATAACAGCGCTGTGTTCATCCTGGGACAAGAGCAGCATGCGCCCGTTGTTCCTCCGCTCTCACCTCCGTCCCCGGTCACGCCCAGCAACGGCCCCGAGCTGTGCATGCCCATCGAAGAGCTCACCCTGGACAACGACATCATCCTTGCTGGTCCGGCCTCTCCTTCCCCCCCAGAGACACCATTCACCCCCAGAACCTCGGAATTCGACGGCCAGTCCTCCTCTTCAGAGCTCTTTGATGATAGGCTCGCCAGCGCAATTCACGTCCTGAACACGGAAGCCACCTCTCTCGCCTCTCTCACCCACCTCTACTCCAGTGATTCCGTGGCCCGGGTCGCCTTCAATTCCGCCGTCGACATCATCACCTCCCGGCAGAGGGCGCCGTCACGTGGCAAGCTCGTCATCATCGGTGTTGGCAAGTCCGGCCACATCGCGCGAAAACTCGTCGCTACCTTCAACTCACTCTCCATCCACGCCTCCTTCCTGCATCCTACCGAGGCCCTCCATGGCGACCTCGGCCACGTTGGTGACGATGACACTCTCATGCTCATCACCTTCTCCGGCAAGACACCCGAGCTGAGCCTTCTCATGCCGCATTTGGACGCGAGGCTTCCCCTGGTTGTCCTCACTGGCAAGACTCTCGACGCACCCGTCGTGCTAGAGAGAGAAAAGCAGGCCTCTGCCCCGACGATCCTGCTGCCCGCGCCGATTCATGAGAGCGAGACTGTGAGCTTTGGCGTCTCTGCCCCTACCACGAGCACCACCATGGCGCTGGCTGTTGGCGACGCGCTCGCCCTCACATGCGCGCGGGAGCTCAACCCCATGGCTGGCGGTGTGGCTGCCATCTTCGGCAGCAACCATCCCGGCGGCGCCATCGGCGCGACGTACAAGAAGCCCCAGACGGTCCGCGACGTGATGGTCCCCTATGAGGACATCACCTGCCTGTCAGGGTCGCAAGTCCAGGTGGGCGGAGACGTCCTGAAGGCGGCGTACGTGTGCAAGACGGGCTGGCTGCGCGTGGGTGAGGACGCCGTCGTCAGCCCCTGCAGGATACGTCGGATGAGCTCCGCCGAGCTCGCCATGGGCCTGTCGCAGATGCCCTGGCTAGCTGTCTCGCGGGCTGCCTTCGTCTCGCTCGGGGCCGCGACGCCGCTCAAGGACGCGGGCGACTGGCTCCGCGCAAACATGGAGAAGCCTCGCGACTTGCTTGAGGACGAGGATGTCTGCACCCCAGAGTCAATTGTTGCGGTGCTGGATGACGGCGATATCGTTGGCGTGATGGAGGCGTCCGCCGTTCTTGAGGCAGCTTTGTGACAACCAATGAGTCATCACTCACCGTCAACGAAGTAATGAGGACGCTGTTTGGGAACATGATTTTCTGGTCATTTGGGGGCCGGGGCGGCATTGGCATCGCGAGCACACACACCACTTCGTCCTTCAGGGGTTACGCGGGACGGCATTCAGTGAGAAAACATTTGCAAAATTAAGGGCTCGGTCTACCGGCCCTAGATCACACTTCATCAGTATTGCGAGCGAACGCATCATTTCTTCTGTTTCCTTGGTGTGGGCGTTTTTCTCTGTGCAGAGACGGTTCGGATTGGGTTTTTTGGGGGGATACCATAGCATGTACGCGTCCCAAAGAAGGACTGCGAAAGATTCCATGTATCATCGATTAGGCGAGATCTAAACGACGGTTAGAATTCGCGGATTGGATATCTGCGTGGCTCACTCGTGCGTCCCTTTCGAGGCCATCATTCAGTGCGGATGAGACTAAATGGAGGACTAACCGCTGGTGTTCCACCGCATTCCACATTCCAACTGATATCTATGGCACGTGGGACTTGTATATTAAAATCAAACTCAGCCACGAGGGAAATGTTCGTGCCAATACAGTCAACTGATGCCATGTATACCTATGTAGATCCTGCAATACTGCCAGTACGCACTGTGAGGCTCAGCCAATAAAATACTAACTGATCACAAACCAGTAACCCGGGTTGTTGCATTCTATAATACAGACATTTGTTGGCTACGAATATATAAATGGAAGAACTCTGAGAGCCCAGAAATCCGAGCAAGCGAGTGGCAAGTCGGAAGACCTTCAAGTGTCTCTTCCATGCCAATAGAAGCTTGTGCCAAATCCCGTACTCTCACGGCAGACGGGCACCTGGTGAGTATCGCTCCACTCATCAGCACAGAACGAGCTGCTCTGTACATGAGCCTCATGGCCTCGACCATCCAGAAATGCACTTGGAGGTTTCCTATTCTCTCTATGTTTCGACTGTGTACATCAGAGAGACCCACAGATGTGGTCGATGTCCCAAGTCTATGCATACTACAGTCAATTCTAAGCCTAAAAGTACAGGACACCCTAACTGGGTATCAATATTAAACAGACCTCGACCATAGAATGCTGGACATGGATTCTTTTCCCGATCTTTGAGTGTTGACATTAATCACACAGTTTGGACGAGGGGTGAGCAATTTGTCCTTATGTTCACTTCTACATTAGGTGCCCAAACTTCCGCTTTCCTTATATAGTGTTTATTCAATGTATAGTAAATAAACTCTATTTAGCTTTCTAAGAGAGTTTTAACTTTTTTATAATAGTTATATATTTAAAATAAAAATTATATTAATTTATTAAATAAAAGTAAATTTAAATAATTATATAATAAATATATTAATATAAAAAAGTTAATTTTAAAGTTAATTTAATTTTATTATATAATTATTTAATTAATTTTTTAATAAATAATATTATTAAAAATAATATTTTTAAACTTTATTTATATAATATAAAGTTAAGTTATATATTTATAAATATATTATAATCTCTTTTTATTATTAATATTATATTTCTTTAAATATTAAAATTTAACTATTATATTATAATTATTATTATTAACACTATATTCTTTTTAAGTGCTAGGTCTTAAGTGCTTATCACTGTATAAAGGTGCTATATATATCTTTAGATGTATATGGAATAGAAGTGAAACCACCTAGGTGAGCTGCTTGTTCTGCAGTCACAGAACCATGGGATGATATTAGTTAACTACTCCTGAATGAGTTTGTATTAGCTGCTGATCATGTCGAAACTCCCATCCGACTCCTTGAAGTAGTTGATGAAGTTGTGAGCTGCTTTTTTTTTTATGAATGGCATCTTTCTGGGAGGATGCCTCTCTTTTGCAGGAATAGGGAGACAAGTATTGAGATACTATAGGATGCTAAGTATTTGCAGGCTTGTACGCGTCGTTTGGCAATGGCATTCACTGCTTCGACCCAGAGTCGAGAAATTTCAGACATGTTGGTCAGAGATCCCATGGGGCTCAAATGTTGAACTACTTAAGTACCTGAAGTATTGATATGAACGTGAAGAGCCTTTATTGGTCGCGATATCAGTCATGAATGCTCTTGCGACACACTGTCCTCAGTGATACAAGTATGTCCGAATGAGATGTGCTTGGTGGTCCAATCATGAGGCCGGCACACTTTGTCTTTACAATGACAGTGAAATGGAACCTTCTAGTCAGCAGTCATCAATCATCATCCTCAAGACGCTATAGCCACCTCAGGCTGAGGCGTGTGACAAAAGTTACACAAAGGCCGCATATACGATTCAAAGGTAGGTCGAATCCTAACAGAGTCGGGTTGTCTCATTCAAGCCGCTCTCAACGTCGGATTGACTCTGCCAGTTCCATCTACTCTCCCATCCTCGCTCCCAAGCATCCTCCCATAGCCCCCAGAACCGTCATTATGACCACTGAGAGCCAGTGAACCTGCGATCACGAAAAGAGTCATTCTAACGTGGCCTTCCATCTGTCCCGACGGTTTCTCCATTCACTGCATTGTTGAGTCATGGTGCTTAGATGGTTGGTCCCATAACTCCCAAAGGACGCTCTCTAGTCCTCATCGTCACTGTCACTACTCTCACTATCACCATCACTGCCCGACGTGTCCTCTTCGTCACCGGCAATAGCTGCATCAGGTGAGGAGTCAGCTTCAGAATCCGAGTCTGAAGACGAAGAGCTGCTCGAGGAGGTCTCGGAGTTGGCGCGCCCATTCGCGGCTCCCGAGTCCTCGTCGGAGTCGGAGTCGGAGGATGACGAGCTGCTGTCACCGGCGTTATCGGCTCCACCGGTAGAGTCATCAGAGCTGGAATCACTATCTGAATCCGAAGATGATTCTGATTCAGAGCTGCTGCTGTCCGCCGTTCGCAACTTCTTCCTTCGTTTGGCCTTTTGTTTCGTGCCCTCGGTGCCGTTCGAGTTTGCGTTGGCGCCGGTTTGTACTGGAACCTTGACCCTCGAGGATGTGGCTTTGGCAGTGCTGACCGAAGGTGCTCCCGTATCATCCTCGCTGCTTGAGGATTTGAGTGTGTCGATGACCAACTCGGCACGCATGCGCTTCACCAGGCGCTGCTGGACGTCCTTGTCAGCAGTGCGCAGGGTGAATTCCACCTCGTCAAAACTTCGTTTGGGTGCAGCGTTAGAGCCCCCACTCTCCTTCGCCGCGTTGTTCTCCTTCAAGAGGCCGGCTAGCATCTCCTCGTATTGCCCTTGCTTCTCCTCGGCACCCTTGGTGCCCTCGGGGAACGCCTTGGGTCCGGCTTCCATGTCCTTCTTCCTTATTTCCTCGGCTTGTTCGATCAACCTGGTCCTAGAACCACCTTTTATATCGCTGATGTAGAGGTAGAATGTGTCGATGTCCGCAGCCGGTAGGGCTTCGGCTTTGTACATGTACTTCAACAAAAGGGTCTGATGGTTCTTATTAAACTTCCAGGCATCGCGGGCCTTGTGCCACGTCCTGAGGTACTCGAGGGAGGGCGTGAGATCATGGGTCTGTGAGGCCGGCTGCGGTTTGGACGCCTTCTTCTTCTTCTTGGCCGGCTTTGGTTTCTTGAGGGCTGCCTTTTTGGTATCCTGGGAAAAGGAGACAGACTTCTTGGACGGGGTGAAATCAGAGTCGTCCCACCTCGGCCGCTTGTTGTCAGACGCAGGATACGAGCCAGACTGGAACTGCTTCCTCTTGTTGAAGGCGGGGGTCCCGTACTGGCCGTCTGGATTGAAATTGGAGCGCTGCTGGTGGTGTGCGAAGCGGCCTGGAGGAGGGGCGGAGGCTGCCGTGGTCGTGGGTTGCGAGGTGGTGGCAGCAGGGCTTCCGTCCGAGCTGGCTCCCTTGAGCTTCAGACCCAATCGCTTCCAGGCTGGCACGGCCGACATGATGGGCAGGCAGTAGCAGGTAGAAAAGGGAGGGTGAGTTCAGGTCGTGCAGCGGATTTCGGGCAAGGGGGGGTAGGGTGAACTGGCTCCAGTAATGGGAGGACTGGAGGAGGCACCAAAGTCAAAACGGCCTAGCTATCGCAGACTGACGAAGACCCAAGGACGGCAGGCTTTATGCGCAGAGGCGGGATTGTGTGAGAAAACGCGCCGACTGGACGGCAGGGCTTGGTAGGGCGTGCGTTGGGCTCAGTGCGTGACAGCACAGCGGCGGGTGTGCGCGTGCGTGTCCGTGTCTGTGTGGTGTGGAAATATGTGTTGAAGCCCAATTGCCGTGCAGGACTTCTGCTGCTGCTGCTTGCTGCTGTCGCCGCCAGAGCGCCGTGAGAAAGCAAACCAGCTTGTTACCTCGAACTTTTTCTCTGGCTACTGGTGGGGCGGCCCGATAGACAGGGTCTCAGCAATCGATAGGCAGGGGTTATATTCCAGTATCTTTCAGTTGCAGGTACTCCTACGAGTACCTGGGGCGGCAGGCTGAGCGGCTTACATAAGCTCAGAGCTCGGGCCCGCGGCAGGCCAGCGCTAGCTTGGGAGCTGATGGGTGCTCCAGGCAAGCTGGGGGCAACGCGTTCCCAGCCCAGGCAAGAGCTTCACTGACGACAGCTCCATCCTATCAGCCTGACCAGCCATCAACACGACCGACTGCTCCCAACAACGTCTCTCCCTCGTCCCACACTCAACGACCGTCCTTGTCAAGCAAAGCACACCGAATTTCTGCCCTCGTCCGGCCCGATCCCTCAATCAAGCCCTCAAGATGGCGAGTACGTCTTGTCCTCAGCTGCAGCCGACCCTCCGGCCTCCTCCCCTCCTCTGTCCCACTGCGACTGACACCAGATCGATCCGTGAACAGGCACCGGCATCGACAGGCATATCACCATCTTCTCTGAACAGGGTCGGCTATATCAAGTCGGTATGCACTCTCTGCGCACAGATTCCTCTTCCTGCCGACCGGGAAACACAAACGGAGACGCCCGAAACCTTGCCCGAAAGCTCTCACGCCCGGCGCTGTTACACGGGGGCTGACGTGCTGTGACTGTCATAGAATATGCCTTCAAGGCTATCACCGCCGCCAACATCATGGCCATCGGCGTCCGTGGAAAGGACTGTGGGGTCATCCTGTCGCAAAAGAAGGTCCCAGTACGTCGTTCGGGCTTCTGTACCCGACTCCTCCCCGGTCGCGTTAGGCATTGCTGAACCGATACACAGGACAAGCTGATCGATCCTGCCTCGGTGTCGCACATCTTCCAAATATCCCCCTCGGTCGGCTGTGTCATGACGGGCTCGATCGCCGACGCCAGAGCCTTCGCCCAACGCGCACAGGGCGAGGCTGCTGAGTTCAGATACAAGTACGGCTACGAGATGCCAAGCGATGTCCTTGCCAAGAGACTGGCAAACATCTCCCAAGTCTACACTCAGCGCGTAAGGAGGCGCCCGGCGCTCAATATACAAATCCTTGGGGAGGCTACGGGGCTGACGTGCAGTTAACATAGGCCTACATGCGGCCCTACGGCGTAGCGACGACACTAATATCACTTGACCAGGAGCTTGGGCCACAGCTCTTCAAGTGTGACCCGGCGGGCTACTACATCGGCTACAAGGGCACGGCTGCAGGACCCAAGCAGCAGGAGGCGCTGAACCACCTCGAGAAGAAGCTGAAGAACAAGGATTGTGCAGATGGGAGCTGGGAGGAGGTCGTGGAGCTGGCCATCACCACGCTCAGCACGGTGCTCAGCATGGATTTCAAAAAGACGGAGATTGAGATCGGGATCGTGGGCGGCCCGCGCGCCGACGGCAAGGAGGGCACGGATCCTGGCTTCCGGAAGCTGACTGAGGAGGAGATCGACGAGCGGCTCCAGGCTATCGCCGAGAAGGATTGAGCTGAAGGATACCATTGGCGATTGGGACGCAGGCTGATAGGAGGCCATGAGGATGATGCTAGTCGAGGGCTGCGCGGGGGCGGTCGGAAGGAAGGGATTTGCATGGCGGGCGAACACCCACCAAGCTGAGGCCCGATTGGCGCGCAGCGGGCCTTTGTAACCATTAGATGCCGCAGCACAAACGTTTAGAATCAAGACCTGAGCTGTACATCAGCCGGCGGGACCTCGCTGTTGCATCGGAGACGGGACTCAGCTCGGAGCTGCATGAGCTGAAGATGACAGAGCGCACTGCTTGGCGAGACACGGCATTCGGCGGTCGCAGCTCAGGTGAAAAGGCCACAACGCTCTCCCGGGCGGCCTGTAGGGGAGTAGGGTTCCGCCGAGGTCGAGGTGGGCGGACGGAGCGGAGGGTAGGGCAGGCGTAGGGGTAGGGCAGGGCAGGGCAGGCCAAGGCGAGGCGAGGCGAGGCTGGCAGCTGGCTGGAGAGGCTGGAGAGGCGGGTGTGGGTGCACGAGATCGCTGTCTCACACCATCTGGCGGGATTATCAGCCGAACCAGGGCTTGCGGCAGGATCTAAGACACGAGGTAGAATGGCCTCCCTGCCAGCCAGCCCAGCCTGCCCCCAGGAGCCAGACAAGCCAGAGATTTAGGTTTTGGTTCCCGGGACGATGGAGCGGGTTTGGCGATGCGGCCATCTCGGAGGCCTACCGTAACTCGGAATGGAAGAGCCTCAATTGTGGCTTGGTTCCCACAAACCCCACAGGCCGACGCCCACCACAACTCATTACCGAATACGGAGATTCTGCGAGGCAATGATTGTCACCCCCAGTTGGGCCCAAGTGCCCAAGTGCCCACTGGGTCCTCCTCCTCCTCGCCCTCTGGGCTGCTGGGTTGGCCGACCCCCGGGCTCATCCGTCCGCCCGCCTCTCCTGTCTCGACAAATCCTCGCGTGTTCGCCCTCGCAGGTGCAGCACCATTCTCCGCCAGTTCCCGCCAGCGCGCCTATACACGAGCGCTTGTTCCCGGCGACAAGGTTACTTTTTTGGGCCGGCGTGCATCACACACACACGATCCTCCTCCTGGGAACCTCCCCCCTGGAACGGGACTTTGTTTTGGCGAGCCTCGTGCCGAGGTCCTCACCTGCATTAGGGTTCAGCTCACCCTCCCGGAGGGGCGTCAGAAAAACGTGGCCGTGGGTCACGGCAACGACCACATCCGCCCGACCTTGTACTACTACATACTTGGTAACATAGTATGTCGTCGGCCTAATGCACAAGAGAGGCTTGCCGAGGTCAGCTCTGCCCTGCCCAATGTCATCATTAGCCGCCCGGGGGCGCAGATGGCTGCCGGCCTGCCAGTCTTGCCAGTCTTGTTCTTTCGTCAAGAGCGTGAAAATTCTCCTATCAAGGCCGCCCCGACTGCAAAACCCCCTGTCCCGGTCCAGAAGGGGCTGCTTTCGTGCCTTAGTGCAGGTGTGGCGACAGCTGAACTCGCGTCTGCCATTCCGATTCGGGGGTTGATGGGGTACACATCCGGCAACCATTTCTCCCATGATGCGCCTGCAGTTACCCTTTTCCCCTGATGGGTGGGTGGGCTTTGAGGTCATCACCCACGGCCCAGGTTGCAACACAATGGGGTCGACCTGAAGTCTAGCACAGCCGTGCATATGTATGTACATTGGCCCCGGCCAAAAAGGCCCGTCACGCCCATATTCTCCGGTCGACCCGTGGGTACTATGTACGCTCTGCTGTGGTACACCCCGTTCTTCTATTTATGGAATTATAGCTCGACAGTCGGGATATCCCCGGATCGCTTTGTGGGGAAGAGGGCGCCAAAGGAGCTGCCTGGCGCGCCTGCGTCCCCTGCGTGCCCCCAGTGCCCCCAGTGCCCCCAGTACCGCAGCAAGTACCGCAGTACCGCAGTACCGCAGTACCACCCCCCCCCTGTTTGTGCATTCCGTCCCGCTGGGTTTGTTTCCGCCGAGCCCTGTCGGCCCTGCCCTCCGATTCGTCGCGACCTCTGAGAAACGACGTGCATGTCGACGTCTGAGTCCTCACAGCTGCCCTCGAGATGACAGCTGATTGAGCGCCGCTAGTACCGTCCCGTCGCAATGGCTCTCCCCCCTGATGATCGCTGCAGAGGTGTCTGGCTATCCTGCGGCCTGCCATGTGGCAGCCCACCTGTCACTGCCCTTGCGAGTGGGGGTGGAGGAATACGGGCTATTACCTGTGTGCATCTCTTCTCGTTGACTCAGGTTGGACGACTAGTCTTGTCCGATTTAGCACCCTTTTACTCGGGTCATTGATATCATGAAACTTCTGTACTTGTTCCAAGCCGAGATGCCGTCGGAGTCCTCAAATCAAAGTTTTCCTCTCCCACCACGATGTCGACGGGCACTTGCTATATCAGGCCTGCTCGCGGCCGCCCCATCCGATGGGAGCCTGTCGTGATGCCGTCTAGACCACCGGCGCCCACGACCTGTCAATAGTCACAATTCAGCCTTCCTTTCAGGTCCGTCGATCTAGGCCCTTTTGCTCAATATTGTCACCTTCATTTATCATCCTAATTCGGGGGCCCCTTGCGAGCTCGCCCTGACCTTCATAAACGAGCCCTGCGATCTCTTGCTTTGATATTGCTCAATTTCTTTATGAGCCCCATCCCTACCCTTCTCAGACTTTATCATTCGGGCCAAAGCTTCTAGGCTTGTTTTTTCTTAATAATGGACGGCTGTAAGTGGCTTCCTCCCCGCTTGCTGTCGACTCGGCACTCATGCTAAATTGCCTCACAGTGAACGATTATCGAACAGCGCGGGTTGCCGAGGTTCTCTCGGATTTCCAGAGTATACAGTACTTCATAGCCGCCGCGCCTGTGGACCCACCAAATATGAACGATTACTACACCGAAGGGTGGGCTGCCCTACGGCAATGTAACCTCGATGGTCAACGCATCTTGAACTGTGGAGCGGATACGAGCGTTCCTGAAACGAGTGGTGGGCCCGATGAGCAGGCAAAGGCCGAGTTGAAACAGTCAGTAGCCATGAATAACTCTCCGTTCTGCAAGGCGATAGGCTGACCACAGAGACGTTTGCGCCCGGAATAGAGTTCTACTCGATGCCTTCGCACGCCGACACGAGGCACAGAAGATATACCTCCGCCAGGCTGCTGCGCAGCGGTGGATCGACTATCGGGAGCTTGTGCTCAAGGCGCACTCCGGGAGCCAGTCCCAGCTAAGACGCTGCGACCAACAGCTCAGAGCAGTACGATCTTCCAAACTTGGACCCACTCTTCCCATCCGAGGCCGAAACTGACCAGACCCTACCGCAGGAGCTCCAAATGATCACAGACGAGGCCATCTACGCGGAGCTCCAATCATCTGACTTGAACAGTAAGTGGCCTCCGCGACTCGTTCTCCTTCCAACCTGGAGAGGAATCATGCTGCCGCCGCAGACCTGTCACCACCTGTCCCTTGAAAGGTCCTCTCGGTGGACATCTTGGAATACAGTCTGGTCAGAGTACTACCGCAAATGCTGTTCCCACCTGTACGCTTCATCAATGTGCCTTTTGGCTGACTCAGGCTGCTGTAGTGGGTCGCTGGACGGCCGAAGACCCGAGCCTACGCAGTATACAGCGATGGGTTCGCACTCGACGATAGATGCCATAGACCGATCCCGGGAGCAGCATTTACCCGACAATAATGATCAACGGCCGACCTTTTGTGCAAAACATAGCGGATACCCAGATTCAATTTGTTGTGCGGACATAAAAATGATGTTTGAGATTTCAATGGCTGCAGACTGGAAGAATGTTTTGTTTCGGTGCATGTTTAGTCTCGTTCAAAAGACGAAAGGCGAGGGGGAAGTCGGGACGACAGGATTCGTCTCCGGGAAGAAGGCACGTTTCATCTGTAAGATCTAGGGGGGCTTTCTGGCTTGTGGTCAACTGCCCGGAGCAGACAGGACTCTTGTATGGGGCAGGACTGGGTGAACAACTTGCGGGGCGAGGACCGTCAGGATTGATTTTACTAATAGGAGAGCATAAGTTCCCAGCGCTGTATAAAGTCGCCGTGCATCGACGTATACCGAATAAGAACGAAACCAGATAAACTCCCAGTTGTTCTGTCTTTTGTGGGCTGCTCTGAGCATCAGACCTACATGGCTGACGTCTGGATTGCTTCCCGATTGCGCGTCTGTGACTTAGGAGAGTACTACAAGAGTGATCCACGTCTCATGGGTGAGTCTAGCAAAGACATCAATCTACCTAGGTATTAGTGAAAAATTACCGGGTAATGGCCTGGAAGCTTGCACATGTGCCTACTAAGAACCTAGGTATGTACGGTTGATGATTGTCAGGCTAAATCCTTTACTGTTTTCTAAGTTATAGTTACATGTTATAATTTTTAAAATTTTACTGCAACGGAAGGCATTACTACTAGTCACACACCTTAACTATCCGACTAAAAGGTGTCATGGGATGTTATATCGGCACTATAAACTATATAGAGTTTAAGTTATAGACTTAAAATTCTAGTTTGTTAGCCGAGCGGTCCTTTATACATACAGTCTTTAAATTTATCTTAAAAAGTTAGAATAATAAGTTTAAAGAATTTATTATTTTTAATAATATATAAGATTAATATTTTATTATAATTACTTTTTTAAAGTTTTTTTTAAAAGTTTTAAATTTTTAAAAAAATAATTATTTTTATAAAAAATTAAAACTTTTAATAAAATAATAAAATAAATAATTTATAATTTAAAAATAAAGTATTTTTATATATTTATATAAATTTATTAATAAAATAAAACTTAATTAATTATTTTAAATTATTTTTAAAAATTTATTTTATTTATTTTAAAAGTTTTATTAAAATTTTAAAAACTTTTAATATAAAAACTTAAATTTATATTTTTAATAAACCTTTTAAATATAAAGTTAAAAGATTTATAATTATAAAATTTTAATTAAGTTTTATTTAATTATTTTATTATATTATAATTTAATTTAATTTTTAATTTAATTTAAATCTTTTAAATCTTTTAACTTTTTTATTTTTAATTAATTAAAGTTTTATATTTTTAAATTTAAATTTAAAATTCTTATAGATTTTAATATACTTTAAATTAAATTTATAATTTTTAATTTTTTAAAAATATATTAAATAATAATAATAATAATAATTTTTACAATAAAAGTTTATTTTTATATATATATAAGTTTAATTATTAATAGTTATTTTATTTTATAAAGTTATTAAAATTATAAACTTAAATAATAAAGTATAATTACTTTATTTAAAAATTATTTTTAATTTAATTAAGTAATTACTTTTAAATAGTTTTATTTATCTTTTAAGTTTATTAAATAAATATTTATTTAAATAAAATTGAAACTTATATATATCTTTTAAAGAAATAGTAACTTTATTTTTATTTATTTTAATTAATTTAAATTTATATATAACTTAAGTTATATAATAAATTTAATACTTATATATAATATTTATTAATATTAAATTAATTTATAATTTATAATAACTTTAATTTTTAATAAATTAATAATATTAATTTAAATTAATTAAATATAATTTAATATATTAATATAAAAATATCTTTTAATAATAAATAATATTATAAATATAATAAATTATAAAGTTATTATAAAAGAACTTATATAATAAATTTAATTAAATTAATCTTTAAAGAATATATTATATTTTATTCTTTTAAAATCTTAACTATTTATTTTAATTTAATAATAAAATTAAAAAAATATAAATAGTTTATATTTTTAATAAAATTTATTATTATAATAAAATATTATTATTAATTAAATACTTTAATTATTAAATTAAAATATTAAAATAATAAGTTTAAATAATTTATTATTATTATTATTATAAAAATAAAAAAGTAAAATAATTATTTTAAATATATTAATTATAATTTAATTAATATTATTTTTATATAAAAATTTAAAGAAATTATAAAAAAAGTTAAAATTTTAAAATAAATAAATAATTAAATTATTATTAAATAATTAAATAAAAGTTAATTAAAACTTTTAAATACTTTTATATATATATTTATAATTCTTAATAATATATAAAATAATATTTTATTATTATTTATAATTTTAATATATTATTAAAATATATATTATTAAAATATATAATAATATTTATTTAAATAAATAATTAATTTAAAAATAATAATAATAATATTTAAATTTAAATTTAAATTTATAATATAATTAAAATAATAATTATAAAGTTTTAAAATATAATAAATATATATAATTTAAATTTTATAATATATAAAAATTTAAAATTATATTATATTAATAATAATTTTAATTATTATATAATAAAATAATTATAAAAGAATATAAATAAAGAAAAATAAAGTTTAAAATCTTTTAATAAAATATTATAAAATATATAAAATTATTAAAATCTTTATATAAAATAATTTAAAACTTTAAAAATTAATAAAATAATAAAAATTAAAATATAATATTTTAAATTTTAATATAATTATAATTATTTTAAATTTTAAAATATTTTATAAAAATAAATAAAAATATTATAATAAATAAATTAAAGTTTTAAACTTTATATTAATTTAAATAAAGTTTATAATATTAAATTAAAATTAAAAACTATTATATATATATATATATAATTTTAATTATATATTTTATATTATATAACTATTTATATTTTTAAAAAAGTTATATATAAAGTTTTTAATAACTTTATATATATCTTTATAATTCTTTTATAAAGAATCTTTTAATTATTTTTATTTTTATTTTTATTATATTATTTTTAAAAATAAATTTATAAAGTAATATATTATAAATACTTTAATTAAATAATTATAATTTTAAATTACTTTAATTTAAAATTAATTATTTATTAACTTATATTATTATAATTCTTTTAAAACCTTTTAAAGTTTTAAATAAATATAAAGTTAATTATATTTATTTTTATTTAATATATATTTAATAAAAACTTAAAAATCTATAATATAATATTAATTTTTAAGCTTTATAAATATTTATTTTTAATTATTTATTAAATAAAAGTTTTATTTTTATTTTAAATATTATAAAGATTTATTTTAAAGTATTTAAAATTAATTAAAAGTTTTAAATATAAAAGTTTAAATTTATACTTTTTAATTTAAAATTAAAATAAATTTATAAAGTAATATATTATAAATATTTTAATTAAAAATTATAATTTTAAGTTATTTTAATTTAAAATTAATTATTTATTAATTTATATTATTATATTTATATTATTATAATATTAATAATTATTAATAATAAAAGTTAATAATTATTAATAAGAAAATATAAATTAAAAAAGAATAAATTTATTATATTTTTATTTTTAATAAATTATTTTTAAAATCTTTTAAAATTTTTAATATTTTATTATAAAAGTTTTAAAATTAATATATTATAAATTATTAATTTATTTTATATTTTTAAAATTAATAATTATATATTTAAATAAAAATATAATATTTATTTAATAAAAGTTTTATTATAATATATATATTAAAAATAACTTTTATATAAAAATTTTATATAATTTATTTATATATTAATTATATTTAAAGATTTAATTTTATTATATAATATTTTATAATATTAATATTATTATTAAAATAATTTCTTTTAATTTTATTTATATATTATAAAGTTAAAATTATAAATATTTATTATATTATAATTATTATTAATTCTTTTAAGTATAAAGTTAAAAATCTATAATTATAATTTTTAACTAATTTTTATTTAATTATTTTATTATATTATAATTTAATTTAATTTCTAATTTTATTTAAATTTTCTTTAAGTTTTTTAACTTTTTTATTTTTAAAAGAGTTAAAGTTTTATATTTTTAAACTTAAATTTAAAATTTTATAAATTTTAATTTATTTTAAATTAAATTTATAATTTTTAAATTTTTAAAAATATATTAATTATTTTAAATAATAATAAATTTTTTTAAAATAAAGATCTACCTTTATATAATTATAAATTTAATTATTAATAATTATTTTATTTATAAGTTATTAAAATTATAAACTTAAAGTAATAATAAAATATAATTATTTTATTTAACTATTTTTAATTTAATTAAGTAATTACTTTTAAATAGTTTTATTTAATAAATATTTATTTAAATAAAATTAAAACTTTTAAAGAAATAATAGTTTTATTTTTATTTTTTAATTAATTTATATTTATTTAAATTATATAGTAAATTTAATATTTATATATAATACTTATTAATATTAAATTAACTTATAGTTTATAATAACTTTAACTTTTAATAGATTAATTTATATTAAAATTAATAATAATAATTTAAATTAATTAAATATAATTTAATATATTAATATAAAACATATTTTTAATAATAAATAATATTATAAATAATTATAAAGTTATTATAAAAGTTTTATATAATAAATTTAATTAAATTAATTTTAAAAGATATATTATATTTTATTTTAAATTTTAATTATTTATTTTAATTTAATAATAAAATTAAAAAATTATAAATAATTTATAATTATTATTAATATTATATTTTTAAATATTAAATTTTAAATATTTATTATTATATAAAAATATTATATATTTTTAAATATATATAAAATAAAATAAAATTATATATATATATATATATATATATATATATATATATATATATATATATATATATATATATATAATACTTTTATATAATAATAAAACTTTTAAATTTAATATTTCTTTTAAAATAATTTAATAATAATAATTATAATATATATTTATAATAAAATATTTTATTTATATTTTATTTAATTTTAAATTTTAATAAATATTTAATTTTAAATTTTATTATTATAAATTTAATTTAATATACTTTTATAACTTTATAATTTTTAAATATTTATTAATTAATTAAATAATTTATTTAATATATTTAAAGAATTCTTATTATTTAAAGTTATAATATTAATTTTTTTAATATAATTTAACTTTTAAACTTTAACTTTAAATTAATTTACCTTAATAATAATTAGATAATAATAGAGGGAATACTTTATTTATCCTTAAACTTTTAATAACCACTATAGAGCTAATGATAATAATAAGTTTATTTGTTCTTACTATGCACACATAGTGCTATTCCTGTTAAAGATAGAACCATGCTTCTTGGTGTGTCAGTAAACTCTTGGTTATTGAATGAAGGATGAAAGAGAATGAGAAGCAAAAGGCAAGGGGTTGGGTTGCTGGCAGTGACATGGACGCTTTCCATGCCGAAAGAAGACGGTCACTGCATTGGACGGCAGCAATACGAATTAGAGGAGTTGCGGGAGTGGCTGTTGGGTGTCCAAGACATAAAGCCTGGCCCGCCGGGGGGGGGGGGGGCAATGGAAGTAATACGCATAAGGGTGAGGATGAAAGGAGGAGAAATTACCCAGCCATTGTGTCTGGATGAATGTTAGTCTCATGCAAAGCTTGATGATTGCAGAGGATGAGGGCTGGGCAGTAGACTCACTCCGACTAATAACTTTGCCGTCGACCCACCAGTCCCCAATAACGGTGAAAAGAAATGCAAGTGTATTTACAATGGGGACTGTCAGGCTCAGTTCTTGGAAGCAGAGTGGTGTCAGTTAGAGTATTTAAGTGCAGGATAGAGGCGTGAAGGCCCAAAGCCCCACAGCCGGAGGCCCAAGAAACACCCAGGGAGGGCGGTCTGACTCACCAGCCTTGCCGATGAGCAGGAAGAACCATACGCTCCCGGTCAGGTTGAGTAGCAGCGGGACGGCATAGCGCGGGTTACGCAGGAGGTCGACGACGGCGAAGAAGGTGCCGTACACCTTGGACCTGAGCCAGCTGGACCTGACGGCGTTGGATTCGAGTACTGGATGCGGCGGTGGGTTGTGGTCCTTGGCCGCCCGGCGGATAAAGGGTGTGGTTAGGCCCCAGGCGATGCCGACGAGCGTGAAGCCGACGACGTAATTGAGCGGGCCTGGCTGCGGCTCTTGGGTGTCTGCCATGGTTCTATGGTTCTTCAGGACTCAGATATGGGCGGGCGCCCGCAAGCAGGGAGTTTCGCCGCCCTGGGGATCCTGGTAATGGTCGGGCGCTGGTTGGGCGGAGGGCGGGCTCCGCTTCAGCTGGGCGGGAGTGGGGATGAGCTGGCGGCGGGCCGTGGCTATATGGGGTCAGATGAGGCTGGATCGAGGGCTGGACTAGTGGTGCTGCTGAGGTTCGACGGTGTCTATGCCTCCATATTCAGCCTTGCCGTTGTCGTGTAGCGTGACGTGCTCTACAGCTGGCCGGGTTGACGTTGGGAGTGGGGCTGAGCGCACCTTCGGCTCCGGTCCGCTGTGGGTGTGGGGATGGTCGGGCCCGCGTGCAGATCCTAGTAGTACGCGTTGCTGGCCCGGGGGGAGGGGGGCTGAGGCCAGGGGTGTTCAACAAACATCTGGCTTCCTGCCGGTCTGTTTCACCTCGGAGGACTCGAGACCCTTGTTATGCCCAAGAGGTATGTATGCTTATTCCAAGTCCTCGGGCAGGTGGGAGGGCCGTGAGCCCTCGACATGTTACGACATGCTCTCCCGAGCTCAGGGCGGAACTGAGGTGCCGACAGAGCTTGCTCTTCGGTGGGTGTTCGGGGTGTTCGGGGCATATGTCAGATCACTGTGCTCAAGTGCTCGCATCGTTCATGTACATGCCGGCGTCTTCGGGGACAATGGCCCGGGGACACTTTCGATGCGCGCAGAGGCGTCGTCATCTAGGGATCACTTTGCGGGCGCTAAAGTAGGCAGGTTGTCGACAGGCATGGGAGAGCGCTCATAGGTTCGCGGCTACAGAACGCAGGACTTGGCAGCATCGTTTGTATCTGCTGACGACGACGACGACGACGACGTAAAGAGGAGGGCTGAGCCTCAATGCTTCCCCAGTCTTTCGGGTCGGCCCAAAGTTTTGCAGGCTTCTAGAAGGCGGGAAACGTGACTCGAAATGGGTGGCAGTGTAAGCTTCGCTCTGTTTCAATCGACAAGGCGACGGCACAGACGGCATGATGCCGTGCCGAGTCGCAGCGGGCTGACACCCTCCCCTTCCCCCCAAAGAAGAAAAGGCGAATTGAGTTGGGCCTCGCTGGCTGCTTGTCAATTGAGCTGTGACAAGCTTTGGGTGACTTCAGGAGGTTGGTTTGAGTTCCGGGACAAGTCTGGGTGCCGCACCGTGCATATGCACAATATTGTGCATGGCCTCGGGACCCCAACAACAAATGCAGATAGTGTTCGCGTTCGCGCACCATACAGGGTGCTGAGTCGGGCAGATTGGTGCGCGTCGTGGGAAAGGGCCAATCTGCCGTCTGGCCAGTGGTCTGATTCAGGATCGACGATCGATTCCGTCAATGGATGTCACGGTAAAAATAAAGATGCCGCTGGTGGGGCGTTGGGAGTTGGGAGTCGGGCCAGAACGTTGGTGATTGACAGCCTGCTGCATGGGGCCCCGAGGTTCTGAGGCTCTGAGGCTCTGAGGCTCCGAGGTTCTTAGACGGCGGCTGCACCGTCGATCGTAGAAGGCACCAGAGTCTCTCTGTCTGCATTGCAGACGGTGAGGTGGCACGGCACGGGTCCTTCCTGCACGCAAGGCATCAGAGGGTGAACCCGCTCGCAGCGTCATGGTGGATGAGCACCTGAGCCTGGTGGGGAGCGAGGTGGGGACAATGACCGTCGACTTGTGTCAAGCACCACCCTTTCAGCCTCTCCAGTGCTGTAGTGAGATATTGTGTAGAGGGCAGGTCATCACCTCAGCCTTGCTTGGCAACTTGGGATTCAGCTGCGCAAGCATCCTCAAGCGGTTGTTTCACATGCCATGCTACGGCCAGGTCAGAGCACTTGAGAAGGAAAGAGCGAGAGACCGAGTGAGAGAGAAACAGAAACAGGTACTTGCTTTTGCCCTGCGCTAAGAGCTAAGTCGGCCGTACCTGCTTCTCTGGACGCTTCCGGCTGCTCTGCCGCTGCTGCTGCCAGCCATCGCCCATCCCCCCTGTCAGCAGGTTTTAGGTTTCGAGCCAGGCAGGCCAGGCTGTGCCAGGCTCGCAGGCTCGTAGTGCCTCAGTTGCCCTGGCGCCCCAAGCTGGGCCCCTGGTCGCCCTGACGCCCTCGGGCTCATCCCTGCTTGCATCCCGCAAGGTCGATGCAAACAGAGCCCTGTTATTGGGCCCAGCCTCCCCGTTTTCCGCACTAGGCCGATCGCCCAGGTGTCCCAGACTCCCAGCTAGAGACCTGTAGCCTGGTACATACAGCCTCTGCGCCTGCACACACAACAACGTCGTACCCCAGCCACCACTTAACCCACTTTCCCTGCGCCGGCCATGTCGTAGCCAGCCTGCGTAGTCCTCTGCTCTGCTCTGCTCCGCTGCACCACAGCGCACCTTTGCCCGAGAAAAACATTGGGAGGACCCCCCACATCCATCATCGCACAGCAAAGCCTCGTCCTCCGTCAGCAAATAGACCAGCAAGGCCAATCCAGAAGGAACCCACTCTTTCTCCTTCTCTTCTCACCTCTTCCGCCTCGTCTCGTCTTCGTCCCTTCTTGTACTTTACATCATCTCACCTCCAACCTTCAAGTCGCACAGCTCTCCTCTTCTCCTCCTCCTCCTCCTCCTCCTCACCCTCCTCACCCTCCTCCTCACCCTCCCAAGGTTGGTCCGTTCGCTCTGGATTATTGTGAAACAGGGACGCTACACGTTGTCAAGTGCATCCGTATCTTTCATCTAATTCTTACGGGATATTCTCATCATACCCGTCACACTCATCTTTGCACTTCATGTGATAGCGGCTCCGCTGCCCCGTGGTCCGCTTTGCCCCCGCGTATATCTCGCAGATGAACCACCAGCTTGGGGGACTCCACAGCCCAGGCAGCACGAGACGCACCGTCAAAAAAACCATCTTCAACTTCCTCTGGGGACTGAGCAGACCCTGAACACCAAAATGGTCAAGGCTCATCCTCTTAATGCGCCTCATACGGCTGGTCTCTTTTGCGACATGAGCCTCGACGGCCCCGTAATCGGTACCCTGGTCATCATTGTCGACCGTGCAAAGAACCTGCCCAACAGGAAAACAATCGGGAAACAGGACCCTTACTGTGCTGCAAGACTAGGCAAAGAGGCCAAAAAAACAACCACAGACATCCGAGGAGGCCAGACTCCCAGGTGGTAAGCCTCCAAGTTTCACTCTCAACACAGACCAACCCTTCATGAGTGCCTTTTCCTCTGACACGTGCAAAGGGACCAAGAAATTCGTTTCACGGTTCACGATTCCCCGGATTACTACCAGCTCAAGATCTCGGTCTTTAACGATGATAAGAAGACCGACTTGATAGGAGAGACCTGGGTCGACTTGCGCGACATTGTGGTCCCTGGCGGTGGCCAGAATGACCTGTGGCATAACCTGACCTGCAAGGGCAAGTATGCTGGTGAGATCAGGATCGAGCTTACCTACTACGACACCCGCCCAAAGCCCGAGAAGCCTGCTGCCAAGCCCAAGCAGGTCACCTCGGAGACGGATTCTCCTGCGAGCTCGCTCAGGGCTGCACCGCCTAAGAGACGCCCTCTCCCCTCGGATCCTTTTACCGGGCAGACGCCCGCACAACAACCACCACCGCCAGTGCCAGGTCATCTTCCCGCTCCAGCGAGGCAGCATCAGGGGCAGTCAAGAGACTACCCTGCGCCAGATCATGCCCAGACACCTCACAGAGTACACCCGAACCCACAGGCCCCCCATTCTTCAGAACACACACCTTCGCACTCAGGACACTACAGCAATGCTTCATCTCTTCGTCATGTTCAAGGTGACTACTCTTCGGCATCAAATAGCGCATATCACACCCCATCAAATCATTCTGATGCGAGGCACCCACCTTCAGACGCCTATCCTCTGTACCCCGGAGATGGCATGGAGTCACCGGACCACCATGGGCACACACCGGACAAGAGATACACGAACCCTGCTCCCTACGGTGCGCTGCCGGGCGAGCAGATGTTCAGCCTAGAATTGGACAGCGAGCGGCCGCCCCCGCCGCCAGCGCACCGCAGCACACCCAGTGCGGCATCCGAGCCGAGACACAGCCCCGGCCATGACTCCATGATTCACAGCCAGACACCACCCCCGATGAGGATGGACGTGCTGCGGAGTGAAGCTCACCGTCAGTCTGCCCCGTCAAATGCGTATCCAGGGCGACCTGTATATCGCCCATATGATTCTGCCCCTGCAGCGCAAAGCAGCGAAACTCATGCTGGCGGTTCTCACCAAGTTTCTCCGCCGCGCCATCATTCCTACGACACTTCCTACGACGCACACCACAAGTCCATGCAGGCCACCGTGGAGGACGTTCCGGACTCCCCAAACTCTGGCCTGGACGATGCTAGGCGGAGCGGGTCGCGTGCGCTTGATTATGGGGAGTTCGAATATCGTCAGGACCCCAGTCCTGCGCCGCTCAGCTTGAGAGGCCGCGGCAGTGCACCTCCCGCCCCCTATGGGGTGCCACCTGCCTCGGGCCCGCGCCATTATGGTGGCTCTATCGACCATGTGCAGTCCGATCCGTCATTGCTTTCGAGAGCTCAACCGGCCCACGCCATTCAGTCAGGCTATGATTCACAATTTCAGTCGGTGGGTTATTCGCCGTATCGCGGCAGTGGACAGGAGCTCGAGGACACTCAGGTACGGGCCCCTGATGGCTCTATGAGATTTGCCCTACCCTCTGTCCCAGCATCGCTGGTCCCCGGGGTGGACCCTGGTCTGTCCATGGAGATATCTCAGCGAATCAACGAGGATAGACGCCACGAAGCACGACATAGCCAACCCCCAGTCGGGGGTCAGCCCACGGCAATTGCTGCGGCTTCTGTTCGAGGACGTCAGATGACAGGGCCACCGCCGAGTTACGGTGCACCTCATCCCAGGCATGGCTCTCGTGATATGTATGAACGCAGTCCTTCTGCAAGGCCTCCATCACAGCACAGGGGGCTCTCACCCAACCCTAGCCCTAATGGACAACATACTATCAGGAGGAAGTCGATCAGTCCTGCTCCACCTCAAGAAGGCCGCGGCTTGTCTGGGGTTCCTTTTGGTCCTGATTCGTACGATGCACTGAATCCAGTTCTGTCTACCTCACCTCCCAAGGAGACTATTAGGCCCGATTATGACGAGGTCAACGGCAAGATCATCACACATGATGGAAAAGAAATCGATCCATCAGATCATCTTCCCATGGACACATGGGCACCGGAGCCCGAGCCCAAAGGCAAGAAAACGTCCGAGCCGTCAACACGAGCCTCCTTATCAGGCCCACAGCCTATTCCACCATCGGGACGGAAGGCATTGCGAGTCCGCGAAGTCAGGCACACGTCAGCCCTTCCACCAGCAACATACATAACTCCGGAGTCGGGTCGACAACAGTTGCCGCCACCAAACACCGGACGCAATCGGCTGCAGAAGAAAGCTAATCGCTCTTCTGCCATGCCTGTGATGATGTCGGGTGCAAATGGCGCCGGCCCTGGCCCCTTGGCTCCACTTCCACAGGCCCAGGATAACTACGCACCCCGGACTTTGGGTCGTGCCAGCACGTATGACTACGAGAACCACGCTCCGCCACCTATGTACGACACCTCTTCTGGATACGCTCGAGATCACAGCGCTTCGGCCCCCCCGATACCGGCCAAAATTCCCTTGGCTGCTGGCCCAGGTTCGGCGATGCAAACACATAGTCGCGGATACGGTGACTCCGGAGGGGAGAACGCACTCATGGAGGAAATGAGTCGGATTGACATCGGCACTGGGAGGGCAAGGCGCCACCACCAGAGGATGGGATATTAGAGATATCCCGACCTGCCGGAGCTGCCAGAGGGAACTTCCTACGTGCGGGCGAGTAAGCCCGAAGATGATGGAGCTCCCGAACATGGGAAAAGAAGTCGGTCGTAGGATGGACGGACTTCTGCTACGACGAAAGTCTTCGGGCAGGTGAGATTCCGCGGGCGTGATGGAAATGTGTCGAATTAGGCGATGCGAATCGAGTCATGCGGTGGATGTGCAGCGTTGTTCTCGTTGATGAGAGGCATGTATTGTCTTGTCATTGTCTTGTCGTCATTGGGTCGAACTCTTTTCCATCACTTTTCCAACATTCTACGGCCGGCCTTGTCGCGTGTGTTCCAGGACAGGATGAGCCAAGTTGGCTTGTTTCCGTTCCCGAGAGCTTTACGCTCCAGCATCCTCAGCATTTCTACTTCCCGAATCCGAAGTCGAGGGCGACTTTGGGTCTCTTGTATTATTCACTCTTTATACAACGGCATCTAGGTTTGAGATACCCAGCTAAGAAAGGTCAGAAGTTTTTTAAGGCAATACGCATATTCCCGTCTAATGACATTTTGAACGTGAGGCTGTGACAGAAGGCGACTGACTTGTTGACTTCGCCCGTCATGAATCCCAATTGCGCGGGGTGGAATATAAAGATTGCTTGGTATCAAATCAAATCATTACACAGGGTTCTTCTTCTCAGAACCAACCATGAATCAGTCCATTTCGTGCTTCTTTTTTTTTGGGTGTCCAATCTCGCAAAACGCCAGAGCCATGCCAACCAACGAATATACAACCAAAGTCGTCACGAAATTTACAAGACCATGCCGCAGCCGGGTCTCACGTGTCCGACTATGACTCCCCAGCGATCATCAGCGACTCCAGCATGCCGCCCGTTTGCGCGGCAACCTGCGCCTTCTCAACCTCCTGGCCGACCCTCTTTCTCAGGGTCTTGAAACCAGCGGCCAGCTCCTCGCTGCTGCCGACGTGCTCGGCGTAGAGGTCGAGCAGGTGCAGGCCAACATCCACGCAGGCGGCGCGGTACCGCGGGTCGATGATGTGGTTGCATATCCAGTGCAGCACGGGCTCGACAGTCTCCTCGTCGCGCCCCTCGAGGGCGGCGCGCAGGGCGCTCCGGTGGCGCAGCGCCACCAACAGGGTCAGCACGTTGAGCTTGGAGTGGTCTGGGGCCGACGTGTCGAGCACGCCGTCCAGCGCCGCGGCGTACCGACCGTGGCGCAGGTCCGACTGCCAGGGCTGCTCCTTCCTGCGCTTGCCAGACGCGTTGTCGTTCTCGAGGACGAAGTCGACGTTGTCCTGGACGGTGGACAGCGACTTCCTCATGGCGTCCATGCGCTTGCGCTTGGCCGACTTGGCGTCATCGAGCTGGCTGAGGTCCGTGGCGGCTGCGAAGCGTGCACGCTCGCGCTCCTTGTCGGCGTTGGAGCCCGTGAGTCTGGTCTTGAGGGACAGCACGCCCGACTGCATGCCTACAGCCAGATGTCGGTCTGCGGCGTTGGCGCCCGCAGTGATAATGTTGAGGGACAGCACTGGCGAGGGATATTTCATGCCTGAGACAACGTTCCATGATCCCGTTTCGAAGACCTTGACATGTCCGTCTAGACCTCCCGACACGACCCTCTTGCCGTTCGAGGCAAGGCAGAGCGAAGTGACTGTCTTCTGGTGGTTGGTGATGACTCGCAGTGGCTTCGCTGCTACCAGGTCCAGCACTGAGATGGCGTTGTCGGCCGCTGCAAGAACGGTGGTGCCACCTGGCAGGGGCAGAACCTCCTCGACCGGAGCGGCGTGCTTGAAGGTTAGGACGGAGCCGGTGGGAACCCGCGAGTCCCATATGCGCACGGTGGAGTCGTAGGATCCGGTGACAAGCATATTGCTGCTGGCGCCCAGACCGCCGGGCATGAAGGTCCCGCTACGGACGTAGTCCTGGTGGCCGACGAACTGACGCGTGGGCTCAGAGCTGGGCAGATCCCACAGGCGTACCGTCTTGTCGTCTGAGGCGCTCATCAGCATGGTCAGGTCGGAGGGCGACCACTTGGTCACCCACACCGGTTGCTTGTGGATGTGCCACGTCTTGAGGATGGCAGCCCTCGAGCCGCCCGCAACGTCAAAGACCTGCATTTTTCCGCTGTCATCTCCGGCTACGAGGACGCGAGAGTCAGAGCGGATCTCGCCGCTGCGGGCGACACTGTCGAAACGGCCGATGGTCTTGAGGGGCTCGCGCTTGCGGATGCTGTAGACATCGACGCGGGGGCCGGCGGTGACGGCGAAGAGATCATTGTTCTTGGCGGCGGTGGTGGATGAGGAGGACGAGGTACTATTGCTGTATGGGGAGGGAAAGCTGATGTGGGCGACAGGCCAGGATGCAGTCGAGGTGTGTGATTTTTGGTTCTTGAAGGTCTTCCAGTAACGCTGCTCGGCGGTTATGGGTGATGGGGCTGCCGGCAGCTTGATCTGCTGGAGCGGCCTGACTTCTGCCGCCATCTTGTCTCTGCAAAATGGTGGACTGGGCAGTGGATGGAGGTGGAGAAGTTTGTTGCGGCCAAAAGCTGGTTGTCGAAGGCATCAATGGACAAAGATGATGGCCTTGGCCAGGAAACTTTTCGAGACCCACTTTGCTTATCGGGGTCGCATCGCGGGCTAGGACAGTAGATAAGCAGAAGCGGCCCAGCAATTGAAGGGTACTCCCCTAGACCGCCTAGGTACCTAGGTACAGTACCCATCTGGCTATAAATGGAAGTGACGGCGGGCGACGGTGGGCAGCGGCGGGCAGTTTCCTTTGATCGGGCTGCTCTTTGGCCGTTCTCATCGCACTCGGTAGTGTCTGTCTGTCCGTCTCTCGTTGGAGTGAGTGTTGAACTGTTGAAGTCAAGCCCCCAAGACTCCACGGCCAAGAGGTACCCTGCACTGACCCAGTACTACATAGTAGTAACAAACCGCTCCTGCCGCCCCCGAGACCTGTCATGTCGTCCCCACCACGCCCCGTGGCTGCTTACCTAGGTACCTGGGTGTGCAGCTCAATGCGCTGTACTTGTGCCGTCCCTCACCGGTCGACCAGACACGAGCAGACGAGAGCTGTCCGCCGGCTGTGAGGTCTCATCCGACCCTGCAGGTTGTCCGACGGGAAACTGCGCTTCTTCTTGTTCTTCTCCTCCTCCTCATCTTCCTCTTTCAGCGGAGTGACCTGTCATTGTGGGAGCCCGGGGCGTGCGCCTCTCCGTCGCGCTAGCAGGACAAATAATGGAGGTACAGATGCAGTTGGTCCCGTCTCTCGCAGCCAACTGCAAATGCAACTTATTACTGAATTAGAAGTGGCAGGGGGGGATCATCAAATAGCAAACGGCCTCCCCACTGGGCAGCCCACATCAGCTGTGACGAGGATCTCTGGTGGGTGAGGCACTGTATGGTACTGTGGTGCCCAGCCGTGGTTATTAGCCTGCCCAGGTGGTCTATATGTCTATCATTCACAGTCTGACTGATCGGCCGGGCCTGGTTTTCTGTTCCCTCCCGGTTTCCACCACGATTATTCTTCTCTCACTTTAATTCTCTTGTCCCGCTGAATGCATGCCCTTGGCCTGGCCTGTTTGTGGCACAAAGTCCTTCCTTACCTGCAGAGCCAAACCAACCCGACCCGCGCCGACCAGACCACATGGTCAAAGAAGAGAGGGGGCGGCACAGGAGTATGACTGCTTCCAACTCGCCTTTGGTTACACTGCAGCAACACACTGCATACTGAAGCACAGCAAAGTGCCAGACAGCACAAAACAGTCTACCATCCCTGCTATATCCACTTCACTGCTTGCCAGGCTTTCAATAGAGGACCCTCGGGGAACCTCCCGTCTCCAACGACCACCACGAATGTCCTATTGCCTGGCACACAAACCAGGTCCCAGCACCCAGAGGTGCCTTCCTCACTAAATCCCCTTGAATATTGTAGCATCGTCCGCCACCTCAACTCAATTTGACATTGGCTGCTCCCTCCGCCTCTACTGCTACCCGAGCCCCAGGCTGTTGCTGGCCACGGTCGCGCTTTCCCGGCCCTGATAAGTTACCTGTTGCCAAATTACGGGCTCGACCCCAAGTTTTCCGGCAGGTGCAAGTCGAGGACTTGTCTACCCACTCCATCAGCCGCACTTACCACAACGGCCAACGGCGACCCGTGCCTCCTCCTCCTCCTCCCCCTCCTCCTTCCACCTGGACTAATTTTTAGTCTTTTCGAAGCGCAGCTCTCCCACCAGCTTGTAGCTACTGAGTCCGTTTCCATGGTATGGCCTATTTACTTTCTCGCCAGCACGGCAAGCCTGTCTCGTCGGAGAATCCGCGACTGAACCGGCCGCTCCTGCATCCACTGCCTCATCCAAGCACCCCTCGCCACGACCACGCACTCGATCTCTGCATGAGCCCTCCAATATAATATGCCTGGTCCTCCCGCGCAGACCTCGGGCTTGGGCCAGTACGGCGCCTTCCAAGCGCAAGTCGTCCATGCCAACTCCACCCTCAATGCCTTTGTCGGGGGCAAGCAGAAGCCATGGATGGCGAATGCCACTCGTGTCCAGCCAAGCCCGCGCCCCCAGCCTCAGCCTTCTCGATCTCAGGCGCAACAGAGCCAGCAGCCCCTTCCCCCGGTGCTCCCAACGTAAGACACCCGCATGCGCCATGCTGAACCGTCCGCTACGCTGAAGCCTCGGCTTCGAGCACGCGTCGCGACCAAGCGCCTCTCCACATTGGTGTGCCCCGGAAACGGGAGGATAGGAGCCCTTCTTGCTTGAGCACTTTGGAAATCGACTGCTAAACATCATTTTCCTACAGAACTCCTGCAAACGTGAATGTGCTGCCCTCACCAGCACCTAGCGACGAGCCGAGCCCTGCCCTGTCGAATCCCCTCGATAGCCCGAATCCTCGTACCTATCAAATCCCAACAGCCACACAGAAACAGTCGACCGGGCAGTCTATACAATACTCCTCATCGCCCCAGACTGCCTCAAACTCTCGCCCTCCGTACCCCGCGGCCGCCATCGCGGCCGCCGCGGGGACCTTGGGGCCGACCGCTGCCTCGGAGCAGGCGACGACCGAGACGCCCTCTGAAAGTGTACTTGCCTCACCAGGCATGGCTCCTCCGAATCCGCCCCAGCAAAACGATGGAGACCAGGTGGAGAATGGCGGGAACGACCTAGGTTTGCCAAACGTTGTGCCTGGACGCGCAGAGGTGCAGTCATCGTCAGCCTCTGAGGACGGCCGTGCTAGCAAGAGGAGACGCGTTGAGGGCGTGACTCTAAGGAACCCTTCCGACGGGATGGTGACGACTTCACATAGTCACGTTGCACCAAACCCACCGGCAGCCGCCGCCGGCTTGACTTTCGCTGACTTGGCATCCTTCATCGATCATCGTGTAGATCAACAAGGGGGTGAACAGGCGCTGCAGCCTGTCGTCGAAAAGCCTCGCTTCCACATCCTACGAGACGCGTGTGTCAAGCAAGACTACTTCTATCTTGTCCTGCATCAGCTTTACTGCCTTTGGTCCGTCAATCCACAAAAAGTCTCTGACTTGCTTCTTGGTGACATGGGGACGATATCCATGGGGTTTGGGATTTTGGACTCGGTTCTTAAGAAGAACTCTGGGTTTTCAAGGTCCAATCTGGAATGGTGCGCAAACTTCCCATGCCAGCACGCCGACTTATCTCACAGTCAGACTGTGTCCAATGTTGCAACATTTCTTCTCCGTCTTGCCGACAACTGGACAGCGCTCCATGAAGGATCGTTCAACCGAGTCTGTCCATATCTGGTGGACGAGATGATTGGCAAACTCCAATGCTATTCTGTCGTCCTGCAGGGCATTCTATTCACAGCATCACGACGGAGACTTGGTGTTCTGGATGGCCAGCTCGGTACAGAGATGGATCACTGTTTCCGCAAAGATCAACAAGATCACATAGTAGACGGCCAGTTCCGAGTCCTCCTTGCCTCCGATGAGCCGGGCGAGCTCGAACGGCGCAACCACGACCTTATCCAGCGGTACCAAAAAATTATATCAGCAGTCGAGCAACAAGGGCAAGAGATTGCCCGGCAGCAGCAACAGTTCCTGGCCCGGCAGCAAAATCTTCAGATTCAGCAAGCGCAAACACAGTCGCCACAACAAACACAATTCCAGCAATCTGCGTTCCAGCCCAACTCTCCGTATGAGCGGCAGCAAAATCAGATTGCGCGGGTATCTTACGCAAGGAGAACCTCGGTCCAGACCGCATTGCCTTTGAATACGCCACCACAGCGACCCATACCGTCACCAACGACAGATGCACCCCATCATGCCATTAACAGTCCGCCCATTCCACAGAACGTGTACATCTCGCCAGTTTCAGGGCATATGGGACATGTTCCCTCAGCACTCGTTCTTCAGAGCTCCTCATCCGGCGCTATACCCTCATCACCGATGGTGCAGTCCATGCATAGCCCTCAGGCTTACGCGCAGGGCGGTGTCAACCAGCAGCAGTACAGCTTTGGGAATCAACATGTCCCGGCTCAGAACATGCAGAGCGTGCAGTACATCAATCCTTATACCCAGAATATGGTTTCGATGCAAACGGCTGCCGCGCAGCAACATTGGCCCAGAGAGAGATACCCGACCACCCATCCACAGATGCACGCGCCGCGATTTGCAAACCCCCCTCAAATTGTTCATGGGCACAACACAAATTTACGGCCACAGGTACCGCAACAAGTGCGGGCGAATGTCCCACCAGCCGCAACACGGTCCCATTTCCTGACAACATTTGTCCCGCGACCGGGTCAGGTAATCGAGCGAAGTGATTGGCCACATGCCCACCAAGACAAGAAGTCTCTTATGATGTCCTTACACCAGGCTCAGGCTCGCAGCCCTGATCGGACCAGGCGGGCTGACGAGGACGCAGAACGACACTACCAGGCTGTCCGCTCATTGGCGATTGAACCGTTCCGCCTGGTCTACTTCCATGAACTCGAGTTCACAGTGGCACCTGAGATCCATTCGTTACTTTGCAGGATAAAAAAGGTGCCTCCTCTTGGTGCCCAAATATCGCTGTCTACTGTTCGCGAATACACAAACAGGTCACTTCGATACCGGCTCCGTTGTTGTCGAACCAACACAGACAAGTCGGTCGCAGAGTCGGACTGGGTGACGAAGGAGACTTCTTGGCCAGATTACATCTTCCCGCACTTCAATGGAGAAAAGCTCGTCGTGAGACGAGGCACCCACCATGGGAAGGATCTCCCTGTGGAGCTGACTGACTTCGTGGTTCCAGGCTTGAACAAGCTCAAAGTAGCGACCATGCAGGCCGGGCCGACTGCTGACAAGATAGCCAGGTCTTTTCACTTGGCGGTGGAAGTTGTGGAAACTCTAACCCACTCGGCAGTCCTGGACCACGTCTGGGCGACAGGTGTGGTCGATTCCGCTGAGACCTTGGAGAAGATCAGGAAGAGAATCGAAGTGGTTCCAGACGAGGACGGAATCGCTGTGATTGATCAAAGTGGTGTCACAGCCTCGGAACTCTCGATAGACTTGACCGACCCGTTCAGCGCGAGCATATTCTCGATACCAGCCCGTGGCTCAGCGTGCACTCACATGGAATGTTTCGACCTCGGAACGTGGCTCAATACACGCCCGATCAAGCAGACGATCAAGATTGGGCTACCATTCGTTGGCACATCCCCGAAACGTCTCGAGCCCTCGGAGCCCGACAAGTGGAAATGCCCCATCTGTTTCGGAGATGCCAGGCCAAGGAGTCTTCGAATTGACAGTTTTCTGCTTGGTGTGCGGAGACAGCTCGAGGAGCAAAACAAGCTGGAGACGAAGTCGATACTTGTTGGGGCTGATGGCACATGGCGGCCCGTCGTCGAGCCAGTCGACGACGAGGATGCTGGCAGTGATGGTGATGGTCCGGTTCCGAAGGGTCCAATCGCTAACTCGCGCAAGCAATCAAGCAAGTCAATTTCCGTTGAGAGGGCAGCGGTAGAGATCATCGAGCTTGACTAGGCGCTACTAGCTGGCGTGCTGGGATTGTGAAATGGCAACCCAGAGGCCCGGGGTATTCGCCGATGGTGGCAGGCGGTTACAAGTGTGTTGCATTGGGGTGCTGGCAATGTTCCCATCACATGATTACTGCTGAGTTTTGAGCATGGAGTTCAGGACCAAAAGGGTGGCACTTTTTTAGGCGTTGAAACATAGTCCCAGCATCCCCGGTTTGCTTTACTACATGGGTGTCGTCTACAAGATATGATGAACCGTCTCTGCCGGGACGGCATATTCTTTCGACTTATCGATAGGGTCAATTGTACAAATATGCACCTGGAAACTTCGGCTGGCTTGGTCACACATGGTTAAACTGTTATGTATCTAGTAGGCATACCAGGATTTGTTCTTATAATATTGCTTGCACATGAACAAAATAAAAGTACAGCGTAAAAGCAGATTCAATATCATGCGGCAGCGGTGGAAGGCCTTGATATATATCTCTCAAGACCAAGGTCAACACAAGCGTGGATACGTGCACAACCAGATCGTCTATGTTTCGGTTCTGACAATTATCGAGTTGACTCTCTCCCCACCCAGAGTTCATATTTCAAATACTCATTCACCTGGGGCCGTCGGGGAGGGGGTGGCAATGACTTGTGCCTCAAGTCCGAAGTCTTTCTCTCTCAGATGACGACGGTGAGCCCGCATTTTGAATATAAAGATGAATTCTTTCGACGGGTTTGTTTTTAAGAGGTGATGGCTACATGGCACGATGTGAGGGACCAAGTGGGATGAAACTTACACAAGGCCGCATTCGTGTTTCTTCTTAGCCCCATTGATACTGCTTCTACATCCCCTCAGGCTGCTCACTCATTCTTAAAAGCTCACCTCACGCACGAAGCGCTCCGGAACTCAATATTGCAGCTGTAGAAGTGGGTCTAGAAGTAGAGCTTGTCACTGTTTCGTCTCCTAGAGCCTGCAATAATGGCTCCACTTCGCCACGTGCGTTCAGAAGACCTCTTTTGCCTTGTTTATCTTGTCTGTTGTGCTAATGTGTAACGGGCGAGTCATTCGACACAGGCGAACGCTGATTTCCATTTGCGATTCTGGTCGTTCCGATCATTCTGCGGATATGTGGCTAGCCTCGGGGGGGAGTCCCAAGAATTAACCTAGGTAATCTACCTTGGCAGCCTTCCCTGATCGCTTATTCATCTCGGATTCCCCCTGGATCATGCGCACGACCCGCTCATCTAGGCCATATCAAGTCGAGATACCGAAATCCAAAGGCGAAAGATCAATTTCCACTGTTCGCTTACTAGCGCGGGCGAGTCATGTCCTGAGGTCGTAAGCGGAGCTACAAAGGACTTCAAAATGGAATTGATTCCCGGTTGAAATACAGAACAGGCTGCTTTAAGCTATACTGGTGTTGGCGTTCGCAAACAATTCAAAGGTGTACGGTTTCCCCAGGCCCACATTCATTTATTGCTCTACCAAGCATCATGCGATAGCAATGATATTCCTTGAATTTCTCTTTCTCGCAACGGCCGGTCTCGTTGCGGCCTCCCCTCACTCCCACGGCAGGGTCATCCGAGCACGGGGTAAGTCTGGGCAGCGGTCCGATGTTGGGAGAGATATTTGCAAAGTGTGGTTTCGTTATTAATCCCCATACATATAAAATGTATGTGGCGCTTTCGTACACTGGATATTTGCTAAAACGATAATCTTCTCGTTACAGACTTGCAAATAACAGACCAAGATGTGGAAAACTTCAAGTTCTACGCGCAATGGGCTGGCTCAGCGTATTGTAATGACGATTCCCAGGCGGGTGAGAGCGTTGTCTGCTCGTTTGACGTCTGTCCGAATGTAGAGAGCCACAATGCAACGGTAATCTCAAGTTTTCGGTAGGTATTTCTTGCTACCATCTACGATTTACTCTCTGCCCGTTTGGCACTAGAGATCGAGAGATGTTTCCTGAGGCCCTAACTCCATGTGTTAACTAGTGACAAGACTTTTACAAGTCTGGAAGGCTTCATAGGCCGCGATCCTGTCCGCTCGGAAATTGTTCTCGCCATCCGCGGCAGCGAATCGATCCGCAACTGGATCGCAGATTTGACACTCAGCAAAACTTCGGTGAGCCATTAAGCATCTTAAAGCTCGAGAGACCTGTTTTTTCCGTCTTGTTGCAAAGCTGACTTGAAATATGACAGTGCTCCGACACTGGGCTACCTGTATCTGATTGCGAAGTGCACAGCGGCTTCAACCGCGCATGGGAAGATATCTCGGAAGATGTTTACGAGTCTATCTGGTCCGCGTTTCAGACCTACCCCAACCACACCCTCGTCGTGACCGGACATTCCCTTGGGGCGGCTGTCGGGACAATTGCGGCGGCTCACCTGAGGGAAGCCGGCTACCCCTGCGACCTCTACACATTTGGCAGCCCCAGGGTCGGTGATGAGGGGTTTGTCCAATTCATAGCCTCGCAAGACGGGCGCGAGTACCGGGTGACCCATTCAGTTGATCCTGTCCCCAGGACGCCACCCATTGAAGAGCCGTTTGACGGCTTCTTTGGGAGCTTTGGAGGTGGATACAGACACACCAGTCCTGAATATTGGCTCAATGTCGACGCTGGAGCATATGCTGCAGCTTCTTCGGTGACCAAGGATAACATCATACTTTGCGAAGGTACCGATAACGAGGATTGTAATGGGGGCACTGATGGATTCAGCATTTCGGCTCACAGGTATTACTTTCGTAACATCTCCGCCTGTGCTCCTGGTTTTCAGGTGTGAACGCACTTGGCTAAGAGGGACCTTACATTTCCAGTGTGCTCTCACAGCATAGCAGCCCATCTGTTGTATCAAATATTTGCGTTCCGATGTACATAAAAGCCTTTCTCATACCTTTTCTTCGTCTTGCTATTTCGAAGAAGATGCTAGCATCTCAAGACTTCGATCAGATCGCCCAATACTTATAGCGCCCCTGAAGATCCAGCGAGGCGGCGATAGTCTGCCGAGTTATTGTGAATAAATGTGTCCAGAGGCACACAGGACTGTACTTTACATCCATCTTTGATCTTGTTGAATAAGTCTGAGCTCGTTGCAGGAGTGACCTGTCAGAGGTGCCTTATCTTCAGACGCTCCACAGGAAAGCTTGTTTGGTACGTCTTTCTCTATTTTCCGCTTCCACTGATGTGGAAAATACGAATAGGCACCTGGGTTGAGTAGAATGGTGTCAAGGTCACGTCTGGTCGGTCATAGCGCTCAAGTGTGTCGTACTGGTCTTTCACCGAGAACTCCACCTCCTTCAGTTGGAGACCAACTCTGGCGCAGCTGTCCCGAAAGACCAGCAATGTGTCAGCGTTTCTCTGAGTGGCAGAAATAAGTATCTCAGTCGCCGGGCCAAGCTCCACGAGCTCGTTCAAGGTCGACACCAGGAACGGAATGACTTTACGGTCGTAGGTAACATCAGCGCCGATTATGAGATCGATATTCTGGCCACCGTTCCACTCTGGTTCTTCTGTGCCAATCAATGCATGGCCCCATTTGAGGAGCTTCGGCCTGAGGCGCGCTCGGCTCGAGACATTACAGTCCCACTCCAAGCTGTTCAACGAGAAGTTGTCGGCAAGCTTCTCAACAACCTCCTCTGACCCATCGGAGGACGTGACGTGTTCTGCGCCTAATTTTGCGCACAGGATCGAGAGATAGCCTGTGCCTGCGCCTAGTTCAAGCACGCGTTTGCCGGCAACGAGATGGCTATTGGTGGAGAGATATTGGCCAAGGTGAAGGGCAGCTTCCCAGGTCCTGAGACCGGTGGTACCACCGGCCGCTAATAGAGAACGATTCTCTAGAATATCAATCTTTTCGGGTGGTTGGACTAGGGACATGCGGTAAGTGACGAGGCATTTGCGCTGTGCCTCATCCGCCTCAGACATCAGTGGCTCCGACATGAGCTCACCCAGGCGGTCCATCAGTTTGTCGGAAACCTCCTGCCGCGATCACATTAGAACGAGTCCGAATACTTGCCGCTTTCGAATGGCATGGCATACAAAATCGTCTGTCTCATTCTCGCTTATGCTGTCTTGAATTCTCCTGACCAACTCTTTCAACACTCGTAGTTGGAATCTGGCACTCCTGGAAGAGGTCGAAAAATCGGCAAATATGCGCTGATAAATCTCGTCTTGGACTTCTGATGTCTTCAATAGTAGCCCATCGGGGTAGTCCAGGTGCATCTCCAGCTGAAGGTATTGGCAGCAGAACCGGTCTATGGTCGCTTTGCCAAGGTCCGCGGGGTTATTGAAGGAGGATTCCGCCATCGTCGATTATGAAAGCGAACTTAGGTAAGTCTTGTTGGCTTCCCTGTAAATAGGCTGGTGGCCAGTTGACACATGTGATGGCATCAGTTTACTGTTTGAGGTCGAGTCCGGGGAACGCAGTCGAGGCAAGCAGATTTTCAGTGAGAGCTCAATGAGCTTAGTCATCAGTGACTCAACCCACAAGTGAGTGCCATGTTGTTAACAGCAAACATGCCGCTGAATGGTGCCTACCCTAAGTGATTACTCGGCACTTTGCGAGACTCGGCCGAGCAATGCATACTCTTCAGACTCTAATGTTATTTGTAATTGCGTAGTTAACGCAGACCTGAAAAGGAAGAACCTCAACGCTAGCTTTACTACGTAGTTACCACATGCTCTTTGAATTTATAGTTTTAGAATGTAAGGTAAAATCCATTAAAATAACACTATGTGTTTCAGCCGAACTTACTTGAGCGTTGCTCAAAATGGGCATTGCATGATTATTTGAGGTTCCCAAAAACTGCTCAAATGTGCTGCTTTTGAGTTCACACACGCACAGTATTGTGACTGATAACTACTGGTAAAAGTAGGGATAGGCAATGTCACATATGACCCTTACCATGACAATACTGGTTGTAGTCTAAATGATCTCAAGCAAAAAAGCTAACCGAATAAAATTCCAGGTTGCCTCGAGTGAGGCGGGTATACTGACAGCTCCAGGCTCCCAAAATGATCTGTACTAACTGAAAAGCTTCACCAATCCCCTCCCAGATACTGCGCCTCCGGGTATCCATTTGGAGGCACCAGATAGAACTTCCCTCAAGTGCTCTCCAGGAGGTAAAAATATCTCAAACTCTCTGCAAAATCGTCTCATTGCAACACGAACAAAACAAGGTCAACCTTGAAGCCCCAAATCGCCCAGGCATGGATGAATCACACGTGCAGCCCAAAGCTCAGATAACCAGGTTCCCGAGCACAAAACACAGTGTTGCAGCCACCGCGGCACCCACTATCCTTCCAATTCCGCCGTCGCGCTGCCCACTGGCAGCACTGCTGACCTTGACAACCGGAACGTGCCACCCGCAGTGCGTGAGCGTGGCATCTCTGGTCTTGCACGTGTAGTAGGTCTGTTGGCTATAGCCCTGCTGTGCAAGAGCGGAGGCCACCTGCGGATCGCTCTTTGGTGGCGGAGGCGTAGTCTGCGCTTTGGCTGCCGTACCCGCCTGCGCCGGCGCCTCTTGTGCCCCTGTGCCGGAGGTGTCGTTGTCACTCGCATCCCCTGCCGACGACGACGACGAGAAGGCTGATGAGCCAGAGTCTGGCGATGAGTCGGATGACGAGTCGGAGGACGAGTCGGAGGACGTGGTGGGGGCGAAGATATCGTCCCTTAGTTCCAGCTCGGTCTCGCCCGGCCGCCCTGTCCTCCTGGGCCCCGAGGGTGCCAGGATGGTGGTTGGTGTCTGGGTCGTTGTGGTAGTTGCCGTCTGTGTTTGTGTGATGGTGAGGACCAGTTGCTGGCCATCTTGAGCGGTCATGGTGACATGTCTGAGCCTCGGCTGAGATGGGAATGTGAACGGGCCGGCCGTGGCCAGGTCTGGCAAGGCCAGGAGGACCGGGAGGAGAGAGATGGCCAGCATCTCGGCTGTTTATTATACAAGAGTGGACGGGAAGGATTTCCGGGGGGTGAGTGAGTGGTGTAACGAAATTCAGCGGCCGGTAATTAGACCACAGATATGGTACTCAAAATCGTGGTCTGAGGCTTGTATGGGCGTGCGCGGTTGTGTCGCTCTTTTAGGACCACTGGTTTACGTGCAGCGATTCGAAGTTGGTGAAATATAAGAGAGCCTCAAGCCCGCCGAACAAAGAACAAAGAAATTAATGAACAGAGAACGATCCTGGGGGACATTGTGCGGCAGTGATTCGGAGACAATCAATGGCGAAAGCTTAATAAAGAGCAAACACATACGGCGCGGTGCAATGGCAATGGGCTGCATGACAGCTCAACCCCCATCTCTTCTCGACTCCTTTTCTTGCACCGCCCATCCAAGGCCCAATGTCGTCGTCAAACGCTGCCCTAGATCGAGACTGGCACCCGTTTCAAAGTGACTACCTCTCCACCCTCATTTCATATCTACTCGCAGGCCCTAAAGCTATCGGTGGGAAGGGATCCCCGCAATTACAATGAAGCCCTCCCTGCAACTTGGAGCGCTGTCACAGTCATGTTGCCTGATGGGCGCGAGACTGGACGACAAAGTTTTGTCACTTTCTAGAAATGTTTCAAGTTTTCCCAGCGGGATGGCACTCTACGCGGTAGTGATCTTGGACGGGGTGCCGCGTAATCCCTGTAGGCTCGCATCTGTGTAAAATGATTGGCTGTCTGTTCTCAAAGCCCCTGCGCCAGCTGCACGCCCTTGTGGGGGATGCAGGGGCTCTGATTGACCGGGCTGATCAGGTCGGGTTGCTGCTACCGAATCATCCGGACCTCATCCATCAAGTCTAAAAACCTGCTGGCAACAAGTTTTGACAGAGGGATCCCCCCTTTGAAGCCATATAAGCCAGCCTATATAACATGCATCAGCCAAGGCCCGGAAAGACCAGGACGTCAACCTGCAGCTCATATACGCCAACCCAGATCGAAAGCCCATCTTTCACAGCGATTGCGAGCACAATGCTGTGCATGGGACAGGGCACGCCGAAAATCTGGCCGTAGGAATTGGGATCTCCCAGATTGCTATGGGCTCACGTCAAGAGTATCAGTGTATCACAAGACTGTCGATTGCCAACGAGTTGATTCGTGAACATGTTGTGGTGACCTACAGCCTAAGGCACCGTTGTGTTCCGATAACCTCATACTGCTGGGAAGATCAGTCATGCCCATCCAACCGCCGAACCACGAGCCGCATAAGATGAATGCAAACCACCGTGATCTAGTCTCACTGAATGATGCACGCATTTTCCTAGAAGCGCCTACTAGACAACGGCCCCGCAATCTTCCAAGCCGAAGCGTTTCGAATACTGAGTCCTTGGTGCGTACTCAGCATCGGGTTTCCATCCGCATTCTCATTCGCCCCACCAAGGTCAGTGACAGGTACGCCGATAGTTCCCTTTGCCACTGTCGACAATGATATTCTTCCTTGTAGCTTGTTGATAGTGCTAGGGACGCTGCCAGCTGACGGGCCATGGTAATCACCGTCTGTGTCACCGTCGCGGCCCGATCCAGCCCGTCTCCCATCAACTCTATCCTCGGGCCCGCTTGGTTTCTAGCCCCTTTGTGACCGTGAGGGGGTGCGAGATGGCTCCCGCCGCGGCTTAGACAGCGGTGGTGGAGATACAGGCGCTTCGAAACTAGCGACGAGGGACTTGGGTTTGCCATTGGGCGTTGGGGACCCATCGGTGCTATGGCGCTTTGCCTTTCTCGCATTTGCCCCCTTCCTTATAACAGGCGGGCTCGAGGCGCTACCCATAAGGCGGCTGCTCCTACGTGTCCGCTGAGAGACACTCTCCTCGTCGTTGGTATCTTGAGGGCTCTGCTGGGACGAACGTGTCCAAACATGGCTCCGTTGAGATGCCGGAGTGCCGTCGACGCTTTGGTTCCTGCCGCTCTCTGGGGACTTTGATCTTGTATTCGCCAAGGCGTGTGCCTCATTGATGTCAGGAAGCTCAGCCATCCCTTGGGTCACCTGCTCGCCCTTGATGTGCTCTTTGAACTTGGTCGTGACGGGTTGAGAGCCCAGCAACTCGAAGTCAACGAAGATACTCGAAGAACCAGTTGAGGCTGATCCAGCTGAGGTAGGGCGATCATTTCCTCCAAGACCAATCTTCGTGGATCTTATTAACGGTGAGAGTGGTGCGATCGCATCCTGAGCCTGCTGCAGGTCGTCATTATAAACCTCCTGTGCAGATGTTCGCTCCTGGTGACCCCTATCGACCTGGCTTCGCTCTCCTGGGTTCGAGTCGCCAAATGGGACATCATCGTCATCAAAGCCATTCATCATAGCCGAGTCGTCCCCATGTCCTAAGTCGTCTGAATGCGAGACAAAGTCTGGATCGATTTGCCGTCCACTGCGAGCGCTTGCCTGACTTGTAAAGGAGTTGTTCAACTTGGGATACTCTATCTCGCCCTCAATGTGTTCAATATCTGCGTTCGCACCCGACTGTCTGGGCGCCTGCAGGGCTGATTGAAAATCATCCAGGATAGCTACGGCAGTAGCCAAATGCGCTTCTTGTTGCGAGGGGTCCTTGGATCCGTATTCAGACGGTGCCTCCTCTGACGCTGCTTCCGAGGACGATCGATGTGCTGGTTGCAATTGATGAGAAGGCAGCATTGAGGAAGCTTCCTCCTCCAATTGGCGGGATGGACTGCCAAATTGAAGGAAGGCGAGCTGGTCAAGAGACGTTCTCACACCCTGGCGGAATCCCCCTTCGTTGATGAGTTGGCTGATCTCATTCCGGCGTTCTTCACTTATGGAGACGTCCTGAGCTAGAATATCATCGTTGGTGACCACGTCGTGGTTCGTCTCAGGAACAAAGCTCTGTTCACATCTGATGGGTTCGCTAACACTGTCAACCTCCATCGGTTTGGACTGGTCACTGTTGCTGGTTGGATTGTTGCTTGTGCCTCCTCTGCAGCCCCGCTGGCTGTCTGCCACCTGGACGTCTTTTGGTTGGGATATCATGGTCTTGGTGGTAGAGTCAGAAGGCCGCCGCACAATGCGCGGATCAATCATCTCCGCAAAGGAAACATCTCGAAAGCCGAGGTCTGTTTCTTCTTCCTCTTCTTCGTCGTCATCTGGAACTTCGAATTTTGCATAGACCCGCCCTCCCTCATCGTCATACTCCTTCTCGTTCTTGTCAACATTTCTATCACGCTTTGCGACTTGAACCCGAAGGTTTCCGCCGTCGTCGACTTCGGTGATAACAGCAGTCATAAAGTTGCTTAATTGTGGCTGCCAGTTGGTGGCCTTCGTGAGCAAAAGCTGCTTCCATGCAATGATAAGTCCAGGCTGGATGTTGTCGGGTGAGAGTTGAGGAAGCAGAGACATGTCCGCCGACAGAGACGGAAGATCGTCCTCATCTGCCGCTGCGGTATGTTCAGTGAGAGTATTATCCACGGTAATTTTGCCTCGATCCAGACCAACAGGCTCGTCATCGTAATTCAACATTATATCATCTTGAATACCGTGGCTGTCTGCATGTTGTCTCGGTGAATGGCCACATTTTTGCTTTTTGGCGTTCTGGTTGGTCCCGTCGTAAAATTGGGAGTTCTCACGCGACTTCCTCTTGCCGCGACGTGTTGAGGAGTCCCAGCGCTGCACGAATGGAAATGGAGGCTCACTCAGATCTACCCCTTCATTGACACACTCGATCGCACGGTATGATATCTTCTTTCTCCAAGCATCTGGATCCTCTTCACCCTTGCTCAGGTTCTTCGGAGAGTTTCCAAGAGACGTGGCCGTTCTCTCATTAGCAGTCGACTCGCCACCGTGCTTCGAGGCATCCATAGAAACGCCCAAGGACTTCAACAATGCTTTTTTCTTCGCCAGCAAGTCGGTATCTTTCGCCGCCGCGGCTTGCGACTTCTCGACACTTTGGGACGCTCTCTGTGCTGCCATTTGAGTTCTCCTCCGCGCGTTGCGTCTTTGAGTCTTGGTCATGCCCTGGCCTGGTGCCACCGACTTTTGAATAGATGATTGGGTTGCGGCGGAGTTAGTGCCAACTTGAGCAGAAGAAGGCGTCGCTTGAGTCGACTGAACTGGTGCCACCCCCTTGGTCCTGGAAGGCGCGGGGATTTTCGAGTCTGAATCCGAGTCTGAGCTTGAGTCGCTGCTTGACGACGAGTCTGAAGATGAGTCTGAGCTGTCTGATTGGCTTTCCTCGCTGTCGGTATCATCTTCGTCATCGCTATTGCTATCCGACGATGAACCATCTGTCGATTCCGATGGGCAGGCGATTCTAGGAGGAACTGTCGTTTTTCTGGGTCTAGCACCAGATTTCGTAGTTGCAGTATGGCTGCTGGCCGGCGAGGATTCGATGACATTGCGCCGTGGCCGATGCTTCAGTCCTGTACTTTGGTTCTCGTTACCGCTGGTTCCATTCACACCCTTGGCCCTGTTGCCTTGAATGGCAGCGATATCCTCGGCGCCACTCTCGTCACCGTCGTTCGAACCGCTTCCATCGCTCCCTGAGCTGGAGCTGGAGCTGTCAGTATCATCTGCATCGGGCGCCGTTCCCGGGGCAGCAGTGCCTCTGGCGCTGGAGTCGCTGTCGCTGTCGCTGTCGCTGTCGCTGTCGCTGTCTTCATCATCTTCGCTTTCGGCTGAAGTTGCGTGTACTTTCGACTCATAGTCCTCCTCATCCTCGTCCTCATCGCCGCCTGAAGACCCATCTGTTGCGTCGTCGTCCTTGTCGCCAACACGTCTGGCCTCTCCTGGCGCCTCGGCCACATTACTGGGCGGCGACGAGATGAACATAACCTCCTTTGGGAGCTCCAATTGGGTGTTCAAGACCATTGTTTGGGCAAGGTCCAATCGTGGCTTGAGCTGCTGGGCCAGCTTCTTCCATACACTACCCACGTCATAGTTGTAATCTGCGAGGAGTTTTTCGCATACCTCGCCTGACACGGCCGGGAAAGCAGATCGGACCGCGATGACCTTATCCGAGACATCGTGGCTGGACCGATTACGGGAGTCAATCTTTGGTCGTTTGAACTGATGGGATACTTCAGGCTCAGAGTCTTCCTCGGTGAAGGGGCCAAAGTCATTAACTTCGGCCGGGGCTGAAGGTCTCTCTTCGGCACTGTCCCGAACAATCTCACCGCGTCGGGTGCCAGCTGCCTCCTCTGCGAGGTCATTGAGCTCTTCGCGTAGGTCTTCTGAGTCGGGCTCGGACATGTCTTCGTCCTGTTCATCTTCCAACTCGGTGTCTTGCTCGTCTTCGCTCGATCCAACATCACTGTCTATGTCCTCGAACTCGGCGGTAGTAGTTACACTGCGCGGGAAGTGGACGCGCCGGCTGTCCTTCCTCGTCTTAGGCTCGCCGTGTTGTGTCAATAAAAGGGGCTCATCCGCCTCCTCCTCCTCGTCTTCATCATCGTCGCCAGGGTGCCCTGATACGAGGGACTGGTCGGCCAGGTCCCAATCCGTGCCATCGCCCTTATCGTCGTCATCGATGTCGTCTTGGTCGAAGTCCCCATCGTAGGTCAACCTCGGTCGCTTTCTTGGTGCAATGTGGACAGAAGGCCGACCCCTCGGGGCTCTGAGCCGTGGTCGGCCGAATGGCACGCCATCGATCAGATGCTGGCCGCCGCTGGAAATCTGGTCTCTGCCGCTGATTCGGCGTTTCTTTAGGTCGTTGGTCAGGAGTGGTCGGATACTGTCTCACGACCGTTAGCACCGCATCTCGATTGGCATGAAGGGTTGTTGACGGGCAATGGGAAACCCACAATATTTCATCATCCTTCTCGAGGATACTGGCAACAGGCTGGAAGTGCAGACACTCGAAGGCACGGCCATCCTTGGCATGAAACTCAACGGTGTAGTCGTCAAGGCCCCAGTCGTCGCTCTCGAGCGGGATGGACTCGTTGACGAGCTCAACTAGTTGTGCGACGGTCGGGTCATTCTCCAAGGGTACGCGGAAGAGAATCCTGGCTTCTGGTAGGCCATGACGGCGGACAACAAGGCGGAGGCGCAGGCTTTGGTCCATTTTCGCGTGCTTGCGGGTGGGAAGAAAGGGCCAGTAGTGGCCTTGTGGGGCAATCAGCAGGCGGGATGTGACACTCAGTGACGACGCCAGTTGGGGCTCAAATGGAATGCAGCAAAGTCGTGCATTGTAGCAGGCTGTGGATCCGAGGCCACCTATGGCTTGCGCCGATGCAACTCAGGTCTGCGGGTTGTGCGACTGTGCTGGCGATGCGATGTCAGGTTGTCGTGGGCATTGCCGGTGTGGCTGTCGCGTAACAAAAATAAAGTTCAACAGCGCCGCGTCTCGAAGCCTAGCTCTCGAGAGGTTCGCGGGGTCACGCGGCAGCCAATTTAGTGCTGTGCAGACGGGACGGCAGATCCAGGTCTCCTCGGACAAGGGTTAGGGTCAGCAGCCTTCTAGAAGGCTTCAAGATCTCCGCATAAGACATTCTGTGCTCCGATCCGACAAAATTGACCTCCGGAAGAGGATGCACCGTCTGTGCTCCCTACTGGTGATCACTGACGTCTGGGCCGAATGTCCATACTACCGGGAACGAACATCCCCGGCCGTTGGGATGACCTCAAACAAGGACCCCCTCCAGCAATGGCAGGGCAGCAGCCAGACTGCCAGAGTGCCTCCAGCAGAGCCTCATGAGACGTGGGGTGTATAACAGGGCCCAGCTATATACCACCTCGCCCAGGCTTTCTCAACGTCCCTCAACGTCCATCCGAGCTTCAACTGCCGTGCCCTTCAAAGTTTGAACAGCAGCCCACCCTGTCGCCTCTGCCCTCTGGGGTCCCCCATTGCTCGGTTCAGAGTTGCCGCGCCACCATTCGGCGTCCTGTCAATCATGTCGCGGCATGATCGCCAGGACGCAAGCGCGGTGTAGCATGTTTCAGTCCTGCCATCCTTACCTCACCTTGGTCCGACACGGCCGATATGCCGAGTCTTGATCTGGTCTTTTGACTCCTGACCACTGCACCATGAGCCCGGGCAGTCACAATATAGCCACGATGGCGTGCCTGTATGCTCCCTCCATTGGCTTCTCCCATGAAACTCTGCAAGACCTCGAGGCGTCCTGTGATCATGCCGCCCTCAATGCACCATTCGCAAGCTCGCCGCCCATCCTGGCATGGACGGGAACAACCAAGGCCTCACCTTGCCCCCGAGCTGCCACCAACGAACCGTTCGTGACAACAGGAACCCGAGTCGCGGCGTTCAGGCCATTCTGCTTCGTCGGGGGCCAACTTCCCCTTCTGGAAGCGTCGTGAACTGCCAAGGTCCCCTTCTGGGAACCCATGGGCTGTCTCCAAGCGGATGGCAACCCAGGCTTGCCCCATCCTACCAAGATCTTTCTCATTCTGGATCTTGGTCCACGTCTCACCAATGCACGCCATCCCAATCGGTCTGCCCACTCTTTCGCCGTTGCCATCTACCGGCATTCCTCGATCATACCGAGGCAGACCACATGCACTCACTGCAACACGATTGGAAGACCAGCATCGGGTATCCCGGGCAAGATCACACAGACAAAGAGCACCCCTTTGGCGCCGTGAACACTTGAACCATGCAGCACCGCGGCGAACAGGAGGGTGTCCTCGCTGAAACATAACATATTTTATATGATCCCCCGGCTGTCATCCTCTTTCAGCCTCTGCTCCGAAGCCCAACTGCCCGCCGGCCAACCGGACCTCGAGCCCTTGCAAAGCTTCCACGGCATCGCACTCCCTAGGATCGCTGAGCTGCTGCCAAACCTTCCCGTGGACCCGTCTCACAATGACGACCAAGATCCCCTCGGATGATAGCCGATAGGCGAACCTAGTCATATCGACGGCGTTGCCGGATTCAGATCTTTTAAGAGCCCAGACCTCCCCACATCCTGTCTTGACACATCTGTATTGCTGGAGAGATCTTGAGGCTTCAACCAGGTGTTTGCAAGCGATTCCTCTCCTGCTTGCCAATGTCAGGGCAATGATATCCAGAATTCACATCACAGCTTTCTCATGGCTGCTGTGCTTCTCGGCCCTTGTTAGGGGGCAGACAATCGGCCAGCTTCTGCAGCAGACTCCAGTGTGCGCTGTGAGTAACAGTTCCTTCCTCGCTTTCTGTTGCGGCCGGCTGACTTGATGCTCTTAGGTCTCCTGTTTCCTCGAGGTCTTACCACCGGACCCTGCCTGCCTTACCAGCATCGACCAACTCAGCTCATGCATCTGTTCGAACGTAACACTGCTCACCACGCTATCTGGCTGCACCCGACTGTCGTGTGAAGTTTCTGACCAAATCCGTGAGTTACCTCACTTGCTGCCGAGCTATGCAAACTTGCATCCCGCTGACGCGACATTGTTCTCACAGTCGGGGAGAACGCATTGGGTCAGACATGTCGCGGTGCCCCCCTCTTTGTAGAGTCACAAGCGACATTTCTCAAGGTCCTTGCTATCGCGGCGATAGTTTTGGCTGTCCCAAGCATCGGCTTGCGGTGGTATGCGAGATGCAAGTCCTCCACGCTGGGCGTTGACGACTACCTCGCACTGCTGGCTACAATCGCTTTGATAGCCGTCAGTGCTGTACAGCTCGGAAGTAAGCCTCGCTCGCCCCGGTTGCACTCCCGGCCAATGCTAATCGACACCCAGGCGCCTTCATCGGTTTTGGAGTGCACGTATGGGTCGTTGACCCCCGGATGGCCATTCCTCTCTTACGTTTGTACTGGGTCAGCCAGCAGCTGTACGTCCTCGACCAGCTCTTGACCAAGATCTCTCTTCTCACCCTGTACCTGCGGGTATTCCCCAGAACGCGCTGGGTCAACATCACGGCTCGCTACGGCATACTTGTGATGGTAATCCAAGAGACCATCTTCTACTTCCTTATTTTACTGCGTTGCATCCCCGTCTCCGCATCTTGGGACATTCGCCAGAAAGGTCGTTGCCTGGACCTAAATGCGATCGGGTTTTCGGGCGCTATACTTGGTATTGCAGAGCACCTGGGGATTCTGGTCATGCCGTTACCGGAGCTGTGGAAACTGAAACTTTCCAAACGGAAACGAATCATGCTGGCCTTCGTGTTCAGTCTAGGGTCTTTGTGAGCCACCCCCACCCTTAGCAGAACATCATTCGCGCCCTCGGCCAGAGTCCATCTTGTGGCAGCGAAACGCGTCATGTGTTAGCATCCCAGCACTTACTAACTATCTCGTTTCAGTTCATTATTCACTAGCGTGATCCGCATAAGATACGTTAGGAAGTTCGCCCCCACAGCCGACCTGTCTTGGGATGTAGCTCCGGCCATCTCCTGGTCTCTCATTGAGTTACTGAGCACGGTAATATGCCTTAATCTGCCGCCCTGCCGGCAGCTCCTGAGCAAACTCATCCCACGCCGGCTTGCCACCACAATCCACAGGGGGAAGAACGGCACAGCACCATACGGACCGTACGACACGGGGCCTTATGGTGCCTTCAGCCAGCATGGCGCGCAGACTATAGAGCTCAAGAGCAAGAGTCCACCGATGGGCGGTATCTTGCACACGACCACCATCGAGGTCACCCACGAACGCAACCTGTCCGACGATGAGCTGCTCATGATCAAGACGAGGCCATCCGTGTCGTCTTCCGCGTCGAGGAGGAGCTTACAAACAATCGATGAGGAATATGACGAGCCCAACGAAAGAGGTCGCAGCAAGTTGAGGCGGCCGCCTCCAGCTGCTACCACCAGGACACCGAGTGTGGAGGTGGAGATTGACCGATCCAGGCTGGGTTTGTATCACTTCTTCCCGACCAAAATTTGAGGAGATTTTCCATTCATCAAGTCATCTCAGCTTCAAGGAGCAGTCTCACGGGCAACTGTCCGGACTGGATGTAAGCTCCAGTGAGAGGTATCAGTAATACTTTAACTAAGTAGATTTAATTGACACAGGCATATTACCTTACGCAATTTTTTTATTGTGCTCCCAATCAAGTCGTACCATCATTCTTGCAATTATGTCACTCTTTTCCATATCAGTGGGCTAGTTGCAGTCAAACTTGACTCTGTTGGTTTCCAAAGACAGCGAGATTGATCAGAAACCTGGATACTCATGAGAAAAGAATGATTCAAGCAGATTGTATTAGCACCTCAAGTATACCAAAGCAGTTCTGAAGGAGCCGATTTCTCAGCATAAAAGGCTGCCATTGAGCTGCGCCGAGGGTCTATTGTAATGCCCGAACTCTATGTCAAATATTGGGAGTTAAGCAAATAAGTCGTAGATCTGATTCCACCGGCTGGCTCCAGATTGTTTCGATTGGTAAGTCACATCCTGGTCGCTGTCGCACCGGATGAATCCAGACCCAATTGTCAGATAAGAAGGCAATGGAGTGAGAAACACAAATCACTCTTGTTCATATGGGTACACCGACAATTGCCGGTGTTACTAGTTCTGCATTTGTAAGATTTTGAGAGGATAACCCCGCAAATTGTCCAAGCGGGCACGTCAACACTATTTCCAGCTTTTCAGATAGCCCCCTGCAGTCTGGTCTTGGGTCCCGGTATCAACTGATCTTCTGAGCTCGAATTATATCCAAACACCTCCAAAGACAAGGGACACCATAGCCACCGCCAGGATACGAGTCTTGAAACTTGTATTACTTATCCCATGTGATGATATATGCTGCAGCAACGGACATTTTGTTCCAAACGAGTGTGCATTTGCAAGACGCCCAAAGAAAGGCCCCGAGTGCCGACCAAGCCTTCCACAGCTGGTAACTACACAGGAAAGGCCTCTCAGAGCCACTGCAGGCCCAAGACAGGCACGGCCATCAACAGCGCCAGGCGCAGCACCCCAGCCACATCGCCGTTCTTCCCGACGCCACTGGCAGCCGGCGCAGACGACTCTGCACCGGGCGCTTCGGCCGTGCCAGTGGCGCTGCGGCTCGCGCCGGTCGACGAGGCCCCAGAGGCCGTGGTCGAGCCTGAGGCCGCGGTGGCTGTGGTGGTCGACGACGGCGACGTCGTCGAGGTTCCGGTGGAGGACTCGCTCTGGGACGCGGTCGGCAGGGTGAAGCCGCCGTCGCTGGTGCTACTGGTAGTCCCGCCGAGGATGCCCGTGGGCGTAGGCGTGGCATCCGCGGCGGCGTCTGCGCAGTAGGCCTGCGGGCACTCGGTGCAGTCCTGCGGGACGCTCACAAAGCACTCCTGACTGGCGGGACAGACTGGGCAAGTCGGCACCACCTCGGTGCACATCACGCAGCTGTTCTGCCGCGCTTCTTGGACTGCTGGGTAGGGTGGCAGCTTGTCATTAGTGGTATGGCCGGTGTAGTCTATCGCAGGAGACCGGGTGGCGAAGTGAGTGAGACTTACCATGGGCGAGTGCCGAAGCGCCGAAGACGGCAATGGATAACGCAGCTTGGAAATGCATGATCAACCAGATCTGGTCTCGGTGAAGACCAACTCGTCACAGAAAGAGGAGGTGAGCCAACGTCCAGGGTGGGGTCGGATTACCATAAATATTCAATATATGATGAGGGGTATGATGAGGTGCCCCCCGGGAATCACGAGGCCGAGAAGAAGCTCAAGTCGATCCCACATCTATACAAACAGTACTCAAGTACCGGCGTCCATACACGCCTCACACATCGCAGCGTGTGGGTGCCACCGCATGCTCTGCAGGGGTTAGCCTCCGCCAGATAGACAATCCTGGCAGCCTGGGCCTGCAGGTTGCTTGTGTCCAGGCTACCACCCACGATCCCGAGCCGGACTGGCTGGCAGGCTGGGCAGAGTCGCCCAGCCCGGGCCCTTGTCCAGTCAGGCCAGTAGCGCTGCAGCATCGTGTGTCGCCCCGGTTGGCTTCCAGAAAAGTCGTTTCTGACCTTCCTTTCCGGGCCAATGCCCAAGTCGCGTCGCATCCCTGTTCGAGACTCACTCGTACAACTGGACGGCGGAGCAGCCCGCACTGTACTCCGTGCTCCGTGCTCCGTGCTCCGCACTCCGTACTTCCTACGTGCCGATTGATCAGGAGGCAGGGAACATGTCACCGGCGTGCTGGTGGGCCACAATGGATCGTGCAGAGGAAGGACAGAAAGCCTCGAGCTGCGCTAGGTCCAGTCCTGTATCTACTTGCTTCACAGCTGGAACACCCGGCGTCGCCTCGTTCCGATACGGCTTCGACGGTGCATCACTTGAGCATGCAATCAACTTCGACTGTCAGCCTCTTTCCAGTGGCTCGTCCAATAAACCTAGTTGGTCTAATATTTTATGGGTATACTCGAAGCATTTTGCAGTGGAACCCCCTCCCCCGAGGATAATGTGGGGAGTTGTACATTGATGCATTAACGCCTTCAACATCTCCGTTTTATTTATCTTGGTTCCTTCACGTATGTCAACGTGGGCCAGAGTCCATGTCGAGCATGTGACCCATCTTCTCGATCTTGGCTTCAAAGTCAGCTTGGATTCCCAACGATTGAGGGGATCACGCACCTTGGTCTTCAGATATCCCTCCACCTCCTTGCTCCTAAAACCGCCGCGGCCCCTCCAGCTCAGGGGCACCATCTCGACCCGCTCCCTGACCACGATTTCCCTATTCGGCCCTTCCACCGCCCGGATCTTGTCGGGATTGTTCGTTAGGAGCTTGATGTCCCTCTGGCCCAGGTCCGCAAGCATCGCCGTGGCCAGCCCGTAGCTCCGCGCATCCGCGGGATGCCTCAGCAGCAGGTTCGCCTCGACCGTGTCCGAGCCGAGGTCCTGTAGGTTGTAGGCCTTGAGCTTCTCCCCGAGGCCAATGCCCCGCCCCTCCTGCCTCAGGTACACGATGATGCCGCCGGCCTTGTTGGAGGGCAGCGACATCAGCCTGGCCGCCTCGTCGAGCTGCTCGCCGCAGTCACACCGTGCCGACCACGCCGTCTCCCCCGTGTAACATTCGCTGTGTATGCGCACGAGGGGGATATCCTTGGACTCCTCCTGTGACGCAGGCGCCTCGGCCCCTTGGGCCTGGCCATGTGGCATGCCGCTGCTGGTACGCCCGGGGTACAGCCTCCCCACGTAGGCCCCGCGCACCATCCGGTCGCTCTCCGTCTCGCCCGGCCGGGGTGCGTCCAGGCTCTTGCTCCGTATGTTCTCCCCGAAGACGATAGCCAGATGCTCCTTGTTGTCCACGTCGTTGGTGTAGAGGTGCAGGAACATTTCTGTGCCGGCGACAGTGGGTATGCGCGCCCGGACAATACACTCGACCTGGGGCAGGCGCTCGACGAGGCGTGGGCGCTTTGTCCCACAGCCGGATGTGGAGTCGGGTAGGGTAGAGTCGACGGGTACCGCGCGTGCTGGGCGCAGGGTGGTGGTTGGTGGCCCGATGGATGCGCCGGTGACGGACGAGACAGATGTGAGCGGGGTGGCAGTGCCGGGGGTCGAGGGTGGCGTGAAGGACGGGCTGAGGAGAGACGGCGGTGGCTCGGCTATGGGGGCCTCGTCCTGGTCTGGGTTGGATGAAGGGGGCTGCTGTGTCTGGGGGGCTGATGGCGCTTGGCCGTCGAGTGTCGTGTCGGGGACGTCGGCGTCGGCATCGGCGCCGGCGTCGCTGTCGCCATCGCGAGGAGTGGTCCTCGGCGAGTAGAACGAGGGCAGCTTGCCGGCCGCAGTGTCGCCCTTATCCCGCCACTGACCCGCCAAGCCGGACTCGTCGGGCGCGTCGATGCCAGGCATGTTCCGAGACGTTGAGACGGCGCTGTGACCCGGTGGCCGCTTCTCCTGGACCTCAATGGCTGCACCGTTGGCTCTTGGGCCGTTCGGATTGTGCGGTTCGGCGGGGCAAGCACGCACCGGCTCAGGGGTCGTCGCAACGGCCGACGAGGTTCGTTGGGTAGGTGATTGGTTGGTTGCTCGTCTTGGGGGATTGATTGTAAGGAATAAAATGCAAGTCAGAAGTCTGAGTCCCAGGACCAACGGCTGGAGGCTAGGAAATGTCAAGGTCCGCCCGACGGCGGGTAGGAGACTTGTCCCCTCCAGTGCTGACTCGAAGGTTGCAAGTATTATTCCAGTATTAGTCAGGGCGTCGGATGATGACGAACGGAGCCCACCCGCCTCTGTCTGCCGCGGTCGGGGCGCATTCGCCGAGGTTCTAGGGTCCTCCGACCTTCGCTGTCGGCAGTCGGGTTTCAGTGGCGGGCCGCTTCAAACCACGCTTACGGCGTAGAAATGAAACGCTCGAGTGTTTTTCAGAAGCCGTTGGCCGTGTGGCCCAGCGCTGCCACCAACATGCTTTTGTTCAATCCCAGGTCATACATACCTAGGTATGTAGTACTGCGCCTGCCACATGGTCACCACCACACACAAAGCACACTCTTTTCCGACTGCGATTTCAGACAGCAAGCCAAGACAGACGTCCTTAGGGCAGGTGAAACTCGGTACTATGTACCAGAGTATGTGCAGATTCCAAGGCTATGTTCCAATATGCCGGGTGGTTCGGGGGGCCCGGGGGTATCTGGGGAGTAAATGATACGGAACGGAACGGCACGCCTAGGTAAATGCGAGTCTGTGGGTATCATGGATCCAGCGAACAAGACTCTGAAGAAGTTGTGTAGTGTAAATTTGCATACGGGACGGCCCATACACAGTGCAATTTATCTTGGGTGATGTGGACCAGCTGGGTGGGTCGTCCATGTCCTCTTCCACCTGCTCTTGCGCAGGAATTCCAACCACCTTGGTACTGTGTACTGTAGTTGGTCGGAGTTACTCCCGGCCATGGGATTCCACAGCATTGGCCCTTGTGTGAGCTTCATGTTGGCCACGGGATCCACCGTCACATGGCTTCCTGTCACCGGCGGGACGGTCTCAAAATCGACGAGGGAAGAAAAGGCGACGGCTGTCCGCAACTGCCGCGGCAAGCAGGTTGCGGACGTTGAATGATGGCAAGGAAAGCTCTACACTACATAGTAGATGGAGGAGTGGTGGATTCGACGGGCCCATCTCCACCCCCAGACTGCCAGGCCCGTGAGTAGGGTTCCACAGCGGAGGTTTTTTGGTGGTGGTTTTTTTTAGCTCCTGGACCTGTCGCTGGCAGTGTCCAAGCGTGCTAGCAGGCTGGCAAGTCGTGATATACGGATAGTGGGGATATGCTAGACCGATCCAGCAGCGCTCGGAACAAGTACTACTACATAGTGCTAGACTGCGCTGCCTGACTGTGCAGTACATAATAAGTATGATGCAATGGGCATAGTCAGGAACTACTATCGTGAGGTGCGCAGTAGGTGCACATGGCAAAATAGAGCACACTTCTGACCCAAAACGGGATGGCCTGCCGGGCTGGGGAAAACCAGATTCCAGGTGCCGGGTACAGGGGTGACCAACTTGGAAAGGTGAAGCATAAACAGCCCAACGGCGCCATGCTTTGATTTGATGTGATTTGCCGATTAGATAACACGAGACAAATGACGCCGACAGGAATGAGGGACCTCTTGGTGGAGGGAGGCCTGGGAGGGCAGGTTTTTGGGCGCTTGGGGAAAACCCAGCCAACCAGCCACTCGCCGCTGCCCACCACCCAGGCTTGCCAGGTACTCCGTCCTCCGTACCCAGTCATCTTCCCTCCGTCCCTGACCTGACATTGGCGATTGGCGACCCTGCTGATGATGGTGGCTGCGCTTCGGGTAGAGTGACACCCAAAATAATAAGGTTGGTCACATCCCAACGCCTGTTCCCGTAACGCACTCAAGTCACCGGTGCTGCTAGTCTCCCACTCTGCCACTCCCCTTTCTCGTAAACCGGACCGGCTGTCCAACTTCCCAAGCCTCAATTTCCCACTCCCTCCCTCTCCTCTGTCTCTTGCAGTCAACAACCTCACCTCAGGCCAGGCCGTCACCGTTGTCGCCGACCCACAATTCCGATCAGCGGCCTCTGCTATTAACTGTTACTGCCTTTCATCGACATCCGTACCGCTTGTTCCATGTGCACGACTTATTAGCACCGTCTGTGCCGTTCTTTCGAGGCGTTGGTTGTTTAGCACTCGCGACCAGAGCCCACGCAATCCCTCGTATTCGCTCCCCCCCCCTGGCCCAGCACCCCAAGTGCCGCCAAAATCCACCTCTTCAGCACCAAGGAACAACAACTTTACCATCGTCACTCGTTTTTCTGTCCAAAACCGCGAAAGATGTCGCCCATCGCCCTGCGCGCCGCTGTGGCGCTCCCTGCCCTTGCTTCTGTCGCCAATGCGGCTTATTCTATTGCAAGCAATGGTATGTGGTTCTCCCGCCCCAGCTACCGCCTTGGCTACATTGGCGCCCAGGTCTTGGTACGCCTTGGTATCGTGGCCCCGTGCTGACAGGTCATCCACAGACGACATCAAGAACACTGCTGCATCGCTTGCTTATGACACTATGAGCTACTACAAGGGAAACCAGTCGGGCCAGACACCCGGTATCCTGCCCGGTCCACCACCTGCCGGTGATTACTACTGGTGGGAGGCTGGCGCTCTGTGGGGTGCAATGATTGACTACTGGCACTTCACCGGCGACTCCACCTACAACGACGTCGTGACCCAAGCAATGCTCTTCCAGGTCGGGCCAAATCGGGATTACATGCCCCCAAACGTTACCGCATCGCTCGGTAACGATGACCAGGCGAGTCCCCTTCCCAGGCGCTCTCACCACCGCCAGCAGGCGGTGCTAACATTTTTGTCAGGGCTTTTGGGGTATGTCGGCCATGACTGCCGCCGAAAACAATTTTCCCAACCCGCCCGAAGACGAGCCCCAGTGGCTAGCCCTAGCTCAAGCCGTCTTCAATACCCAAGCAGATCCTATAAGACACGATACTACCTGCAATGGTGGTCTTCGCTGGCAGATTCCCCTGTCGAATAATGGCTACGACTACAAGAACAGTGAGCACAACCTTTTGCGGCGGACGTGGCCGTACGTGGTACTAAATGTCTCTAGGCATTGCGAACGGATGCTTCTTCAACCTCGGTGCACGCCTGGCTCGCTACACCAACAACCAGACTTATGCCGACTGGGCCGAGAAGACCTGGGACTGGGTCACAGGCGTTGGGTTCATGGACGCTGACTACAATATCTACGATGGTGCTCATGTCGGTACTAACTGCACCGACATCAACAAAGCCCAGTTTTCCTACAACAATGGCGTCTTCCTGCTAGGTGCCGCCCACATGTATAACTACGTGCGTCCACTTCCGTCCCCACCGCGAAAGCGGTGACTACAGACTGCTAACCAGTGCGTAGACGAACGGCGACGAGACATGGAAGGCGCGTGTGCAGGGACTACTGGACGCTACCATCAAAGTGTTCTTCCCAAACAACATAGCGTACGAAGTGGCCTGCGAAGAGCACATGACTTGCACGACCGACATGCTGAGCTTCAAGGGCTACGTGCACCGATGGTTGGCTACCATGACCCAGATCGCACCCTTCACGCATGACCAGATCATGACCGTCCTCAAGACTTCGGCGGAGGCCGCGATCAAGCAGTGCACAGGGGGTCCATCCGGCACTGAGTGTGGCTTCCAGTGGTCCAGCGGCACATTTGACAACAGCGTCGGTGCCGGTCAGTCCATGAACGTTTTGGGCGCTGTGTCGTCGCTGCTGGTTGCATCCGTCGCGGCCCCCGTTACCAACTCCAGCGGTGGTACCAGCGTCGGCAATAACAACGCCGGCTCTTCATCTGACTCCTTCATGGGAGACTCGAGACCGCCGACCACCGGCGACAAGGCCGGTGCCTCCATTCTCACAATCCTGGTCTTGGCCGCTGCTGCCGGCACATTTGGGTGGATGTCAACAGGTATATAATCACGCCCGCCCTGCGCAACTCGGCAGTTCTGGATGTTTTTCTTGGTTTATGCCCAATGTGGCAGTCCGGGATTGATAATGGTTGATGAGGCAATGTTTGCAAGGGCCGGGCCACGACTGGCAGGTGCTCAGAGCACCTAAGCCACACGACGGGCAACTGGACAATGGCGTCACGGATCACGGAAGGACTGCAGGGTACTATCTGGAAGGACTTTTACAATAGGGGCGTTGGTATTGTTTTTTCTCGATCTGTTCATAGTACGGGATTCTGCTTGAGTGGCACATAATTGGCCTCTTCCCCCGACCGAGGCAGACGCTGTGGAGCCCTACGTGCTCACTGCCATCGGCGGGATGAGTTAGAGCATACAGTAAATCATATTGTTATACATTTTAGGAGATGCTGTAGAGCGTGGGTGATTCGCGGAACAGGGCATCCGAAACTGTCATGAACCATGAGGTCATAGGTGCCCAAACATCAGATGAGCGGCTTGTGACAGCTGCTGACGACGTTTGCCCGGGTTGTCACCTAGGGCCATTTCAAGGCGCGAGGGATGTCCGTGAAAGGACATGGATACCTGGAGGGAGCCGGTGACTCGACCCCCATGCAGCGTTGCTCTCGCTGTCATTAATGGCACGCTGCGAAGAAGATCGTATTTGACTGGCCTCTCATGTTTCTCGTGACATGAGCGCAAGAACGCAAAAGACGTCGAAATAAAGTATGGGTTCTAGACCCGAAGCGCCGACTTGCAAAAGGTGGATACCCGTTGTGGAAGGAATGAGATGATCCACGCTCGTGGTCGCAACCGTGGTGGGCTTTCTAGGGGGCTGATGTGAGCAGACGGGCAGGGCTTGTATCTGGGCAATCTTTTATGCCCCTTCTCCACCAAGGCCAAACAAAGCATTGCCCGTGCATTGTCAAATGAGACTAGGACATGCTGGAACCTGCTGAACCTGGGGCGAAATTTGTGGTCTTTTGCAAACCTGCAGACGTATCACTTGGTATCTCTTTTCTTGGTACACATGTTTCTGTGGTGTAACGTCGGAGTGGGCTCTGGACCCCTTGCACCCCTGAACCCCACGAATTCCCGCCCAAGTGTCTACTCCGTACAGGTTGCACCATCTCGAAAGGGGAGGCTCATAAAGACCATCCTGGTAACTTGTACGACTCTGTTCGATTCCTTTTGCCTCGTATCTATTGTACTTGCAAATCTGTGGTTACAATACTATTGTTTCCTCAACTTTGGGCACGTTGGGTCGTTCGCCCAAGTGCTCGGATCATCCCTCGCAAGACGTCTCAGCATAAGCTTGTTTCAACCTCGACCCAAGTCCTGCAGGCAGCGCTCGTGTCTTCATCAACACTCTCACGTCCAGCACCGTTTTCCTCCATCACAATATAGGGGACAACCGACCCCTCACAAAGACTTCAAGATGGCGGCACCTCTACCAGACTTCACTGACATAGCCCTCTTCCCCACTTTCCTCACCATCCCAGAGCAAGACCCAGCCGCGCCGCCGTCAGTGGCAGCGCTCCCGCCGGGCAAAGGACCATGGTACCTTATGGCCCAGATCAAGGACAACATGACCATCAACAAGCCCACCCTCGTCCTGACTGACCGCGGCGCTAACCCCTTCGCCCTTGTCTGGGAGGGGCTCGGTCGCGACGACCTCGACCTGAAGGGGCTGGGCTTCAAGAAGGGCTGCACCGCCGTCATCCCCTACGCCTGGCGTACCAAGCCCGCCGACGAGGGGAAGCGTGGCTTTGTGAGGGTGGACAAGAGCGACGCCCGGGCAGTCAAGCCTGTTCCTGGCCCTCTGGAGAGAGTGCTTGCACTAGGCGGGAAGGCGAAGGGGCTGAGATGTGAGACGTGCGGTGGGGGTGGCCAGGACGGTCTAAAGAGCTGTACTGGGTGCGAGAGGGTTGGTTATTGCAGCAAGGTGAGTCTTCCCACCTCCCCCGTAAGTGCAATTCGCTAACGGGCGGGTACAGGAATGCCAACTCAAAGGGTGGAACGAGGGGGGACACAAGGGCGATTGCAAAATGTTGAAGGCGCTGAATGGAATCTTCACATAACCCCTAGTCCCTCTCTGACGGCCTTCTATTCCTCCTTCTGCTGCTCCTCGTCCTCTACATCTGTGCGCCTAATCAGCTCGTACATGATGTCAGTCCTCATCGTGTATTTTGTACCCCTCACGACATCATCGCCGCAGTGGTACAACCGACGGTGCTGGAAGATCAACACTCTGCCTGCCTTTGGATTCACGTCGACCTTGCTCTTGGCGTCATCCGACAAGAAAGACGTCGCCCCTCCCACAAGTCCAGCACTCTCTCCAGCCTCGGCCACCGAGTCGTTGAGGTATAGATGGATCGTAAAGAAGGTCTTGAAGATCTTCCCGTCAACCTCCTCGCTGAATGCGCCGTCACAATGTGCTGCACACCTGTTAGCCTTTGGACACTACCGGCGGGTCTTTCCCGGCTGTTGTAGACGGGCACGTAGGGAGACTTACGCCTGAAGTATTGTCCCGGGCCGTACTTCAAAAACCGCATCCTCTGGTTCAAGCGCCTAAATTCCCACCTCTGCCTCTCAACGATCCAGTTCCTGCCCCTCAACCTGCAGGCTCCGACCTTCTCATCGCCGTCCAGCACATCCATTTTCTTCCTCAGCACCTCGCCCGCCTCCCCCTGCAGGCACCGTCGCCAGATCCGGTCCACAACCTCCTGCTGGTCCCAGACGATGCGGTCGGAGTTGCGGTAGCTGGTGTCGAGGACCTCGAACCCGGACCCGGCGTTGACCATGGCGGGCTTCCATGGGTTCTTCTCGACATCGCCCGTCGGGTATGTGGCGGGGACGTCGACACTGCTCAACTCGGCAAGCTTGATGAGGGTCTCGCACTCGCTCGGCGAGAGCACATTCTCCAGCACGACGGCGTACAGACCGTCGTACTCCGGGAGTGCGCTCGCCGCCCAGTCGACAGGCTTGATGGTTACAGGCTGGGCGTCTGGGGGTGGGGCTGTGAGCGAGAGAAAGTCGTCTGGGATGGCGACGTCACGCGATGCATAGTGTACCTGGACTAGCATGCCTTCGGGCAGGCCGTGGGATTTGGCATTCTCCGTCCGAGGGTCGGACTTGCTGTTTACTTTAGCTTTGAGAAAGTCGAGCATGGTGAAAATGGGTCAAAGGAGATGGCGTTTACTCGAATATCGAGCAGTATTGGAAAAGGGTGCTATAGAAGTCCGTGAGGATACATAAGTCTACGGAATGATGCTTTGGTCAATTACTCTTAAATATGGTTCAGCCTCCTTGCTGTTAGTGGGGAAGACATCACCTGGGGAATGCAGGATTCACCTGGGCAGTGCAGGTGGATGCCTAGAACGCTGACAATGTACTAAGCTCGCAGGCGGTGAGGCAGTGTTTGCCACGTTCCCGGCTTCTAGACTGAAAAATGACAGATCTCCCAAGTATCACTTGATTGGAGGCAGACATTTTCTGTTAATGCGATGCTCGAGAATTGCAGCGACATCCTGAAGTCTCGTGAGGCCAAGGTTTCATGTGTGCTAGTTTCGTCGTGCCTGATGGCGTGCACATGTTGAGTCATGAAATGTTGCAACCTTGTAAGGCAACAGCATAATGTACCATTAGCTTCGTTGAGCTCCCAAGACAGAATCAGCCAATAGACACATTTGCAGGCAGAGGAGAACGACTATAACGGTTGTGTGTGGCTATGTAGGTGCAGATCAGCCGACCAGTGCTTTATGAGTAGCGTCCCTGAGCGCCGTTTGTCAGTTGTTTGAACCTTGTAAGTGCGGCAGATCCTCTCAATGCAGGCATTTATTCAAAGGCCAGCTTTGGATCACTTCTAAAACATACGTATTAGGCTTACATGTTTGGCTTTGATCGAAATGTTCCGCTCAAAATTCAAGGAAAATATGAGCTGAAAGGTGCACACTGCATGATTCTGGGGACCTCTTATACATTTCCAGATGCACAGTAGATTCGTTTCTCATGTTAGCAGAACCTACCGCGTCGAGTGGAGTCACGGCCCGGTCCTTTCATTAGCAGAATACCACCCAGAACTAGTTCATTACTACTGCATATGGTAGACAGGAGGGTTATAAAGACAGAGGTTGTCAGCGGTGCCCGTTACATGATGTGACATGCTCGTGATTGACATGGACGCCAATAGGGATCATAATCTCCGCATGTTTGTAGATATATGATGACCTTATCATTGAATAAATTACTCCAAGCCCGTAGTGAATATCTGGCGGCACCATTGGGCTTGTCCAATGGCAGAAGAAGGACGAAGTGCCGTTCAGCCCATGACTACATGTAGTGAGTTGTTGGGGTGTCTTGAAGCCATTGGCCTACGATGTTGTCATCATTCGTCTGATTATGAACCTTCAATTACACTATATTGAAGTGTTCCGAACTGGTCTAGAAGGGCGTGAGAGTGTTGAGCTTCCAAGGTTTATTTCACTGACTCCTTGCTGTGAATGATTGCCACTACCGAGACCTGATCCAAACTTGCCTTCGCTCTGCCAGTCGGTGTTAATGATGAGTCTCGTTGGATGGCCTGTCACTGATGGATGGACGGGTTTTGCATTGAATATAAATATTCTGGCTTGCTCTGGCCATACCGCTGTTGTGGAAGCAGCCATCTAATAGCATTCCCATCACCGCCCTCATCATCCAGCATCTTTACCCCAGGATACCATAAATTCTCACACTTTCATTATCATGCAGTCCTCAAGACCAAGCTGGTCAGATCAACTGATGAGCAGTGAGATTCTCGCAGACCAAATCATGCGCCAATTGGAGTTGTGGGAAAGTAAATCGACCCAGTCTTCAAAACACCACAGCAATCTCAAGGCACTTCACCATGCGATTGATCAGAACGGAGATCAGATGAGCCAAGTAGGCAGCATCGTCCTTCTCGGCTTAAGGGACCCAGGAACAATCGAGCAGTTACGCGCCAGACATACAGGCGACCACACAGCCGTCCAAAAGCTATCTGCTAGTCAAAAACATGCAGAGGACGTCGCCTTGACGCAGCTCGGAATGGCCCAGGTAGTCCGAGATCATATTAAAACGACCTGGCGCAACGGAAACGAGCCCACTTTATACGTCTGTGACGAACATCTCCGAGGAAGCACCAAGTCGATGCTTAAGGAATTGGATTTCACCGTGATTGGCCGAGAGGGCTTGTCCAGGTATATCAACCAAGACACCCTTGTCTATGCTGTGAACATGGATGACCGAGAGCTCCAGATGCATGTCGACTTCAGCTGGAACCGGGACGTCGTGCCACCCGCGGCCGTAATTACGCAGATAATGAACGGAGCATTGGATGCGTAAGTTCGCGAGCCCTGTCCCTTATCGATGCCTACTGGATCGGCCAATGGCCGACATCAAGCTAAACTCGAGAGGTGCAAGTTCTGAGAATCTGACTGTATACAGTGACCTTTCAGAGAAATATTGGTTGACTCCGCTATTGGAGCTGTCGTTGGAGCCTCCCCCCTCCGTGGCCGCACCAAAGGGGCGGCCCAAGCGGAAGGGAAGCGCCTATAGCCCATCCTTACCCACCATCTATGAAGACATGGTGGACCAAAGGGAGTCTTATTCTCGGCAGGTCCTGCAAGGGTATTCTGAGCAGGCGGATGCCAAAAATAAAGCTATGAATACATACCTTTCCGACCCGATGGTAATCATGTTGTGTCGAAAGGATCGCCCGAGGCCGCCCCCATGATCCATGAGTGGAACACGGCTGCCAGCAGTAATGCCGCCTGTGTGAGGAGTGACAGCCAAAGTATTAGCAGGAAGAAGAGCATATGTGAGTGGACCCTTTGGCCTTGTCTGTGCGTCGCAAGGCTGAGGTCGTATGTACCTATCGTATTTACGCTCCTACCACCGTATGAAGGCGCCATGTATTGATGTCCCCGGACGTTTGCAAAATAGAAGCGAAACGAGGCAAATGCTGCGAGGAGAGAAGCTCGGGGCTAGACTATCAAAAGCTGACATCTAGAGGATATACTGGACAGAATCGATGATAATGACCTAAGCTAGTATTTATTAATTGGATTTATCTGAATTGATGATTTGAACAAGCATGATGTTGTTGTTACTGGCATTTTCCGTGAAGTCGTGCATTTACAGATCGGGGGTTGTCTCGAATACTTAATGATACCTCGGCCCCAAGATACCGCCGCACGAGCAGACTCGCTGCCAATGAGGGAGTCTCGGAGAAGCAGCTGTGGTCATTTGATGACGAGGATGTTTTATTAAACCTAGGAGAGAGTCGACTCAGCAACCAGAAGAACCAGCAGGCCCTCGGAGTAGCTTGATCACACAAGACGGGGTGCCTGGTATAGACTATAGACTGACCGAATGCTTTTTTAAACAATGTGATTTATTTGGCTCACTCTCTCTTAATTTTGCACCTACATCGCTTGGTCCTACGAATGTGGAGTATGCTTTGGATACAGGATATAGGCCAGGAACCGCAATACCATGAGCGTATTGATGATTGTCATGGGCCATGATGTCCTACTTGAAAACCACAGACACAGGGGGTGAATGGCTAATGGGATATGTAGAGATCCCAGAGACTTGGGCTTTGTTCACGTGCATCTAGCATGCAAGGGGACGGCAGCAGCAAGTGGAGAGATTGTGAGGTGCGAGCTTGACTCACCGGCTGGCGGTTGGCTCTCCCTGTCCCAAGCCACAACGGGGAATGACAGCCAAGGAACGTACGAAGTGCCAGGGTGTCTGGGTGTATGGCATAAATAACCTGCCAGGCCTGCATGGAATCTGGCAGCACCTGTCTGGTGGCGGTGTAAGTGAGATACGGGAGAGCTTGTTTTCGTGAGCGGCACAGACACGAGTACTGTGTAAGAGCATAGGATACCTGGGCTGCCAGGCTGCCAGGGTACGCAGTGGAATGGCGGGCGGGTCACTGCCGCCCTGTGCATGCAGATGCGCATACGGGCATGCAGGTCAGCGATTGTATCGGGGATTCTGTTGGCTGGCCGCCTAGGCTGCATCTGGTAATGAGCTATTGACCGCCCTGCGGCCGTGTGTAAGCTCAGGCCACGGGGCGATGCGAGCTCCCCTTGCTCCCCCGACATTACAAGCCTCCCCCCTGTCTCAACAACCGATCTCCAACGTTGTTGAGGGAGTTGCTTCACCAGCCAGCCAGCCAGCTAGCCCGCCCCCCCTATCTATCCACTGCCACTGCCATGACCATGACCATGACCATGCCAACGCCAACGCCAATGCCAATGTGCTGTGCCCCCAGCTTGGTCAGGCACAACAAGAAAACGGGTGACTTGGCGGCATGGACGGTGCCTGGCAGCCGGTGAGAGAGCAAGGCTGATGGCCAGCCAGCCCGCCAGTCGGGTCGCTCTGGCAATCTGGGCGGACGTTGCTGTGCTCCCCCAACTGGCCCGCTGGCCCGTCCATCAGACAAAGAAAGAGGGCAGCACAAGGGGGCATCTAGACTCCAGGTTGCCTCCCTGACACCAACCCACCCAGCCAGCCCAGCCAGCCCAGCCTGCGGATCTGACCTGATCTCGCCTGACTAGACATTCCCCATCAAACCACGTCCAACGGCCCCCCGAGGATTCCATAGATATACTGTGCACTGTGACAAGCTCGCTCTCGGACATCCGTCAAACCCAAGTCCACATTAGCTCTCGTCCCATACCTGCGCCTACATACAATATACATATCTGTTGTTCCCGTCCGGACACCTCTGACACCTCTGGCCCTCCTCGTCCTGTCCCGTCCAACTGCTGCCACAACCTGTCAGTCTACCAGCCTGCCAGCCTGCCAGCCTACTCGTCCAGTTCCGCCCAGTCCCGTGCCTACCTCCAGCCCACAATGACCAGAGTAACAGCTCCCCGCGAGATCGCCAAGCTTGTCAGGTCTCTCAGCACCACATCCGCTGCCCCTGCGCCCAGCAGGCTCATCGCCAGCACCTCAACTGCAGCATCTGCCAGAGTCCGCAGGGAGCTCGGTGCTGCTTCAAAAGAAAATGTCCCGGCCTCATCAGAGGTGAGTCGGCCTGTTCTGAACCCAGTCTACGTCTGACCTCCACCTCTTGACCCAACTACGGTCACCGAAACCCGGACTTCACCTCGCTCACACCCCCCCCCCCCACACACACCCGCCCACCAATCCCGAAACCGAACTATCACCGATTTGATCCCCGACTAACACGCTCCCCCCCCCCCAATAGCGCACCCTGACCACCACAACGCGGCCCACGCCAAACCCGCACAGGGTGATCCCGCTGATGCAGGGCTTCCACACCACCCAGGCCCCGCGGTACGCCCAGGCCGACGTCTCCACCATCGACTTCATGGTCCTCCCCACGCGCGAGCAGCTGTTTGGCGGCCAGGACAACGCCCCCGGCCCCCGCGTGCGCGTGCCCTTGCTGCCGGACAACTTCGCCCCCGACCGCGCCAGCTTCGCCCCCGAGGCCGCCGACGCGCCCCTCGCCGCCCCGGAGATCGTGGTCATGGCCGCCGACCCCTCCAGCGTCAACGCCGTCTCCGCCCTCACAGAGGTCGAGGCCTTCTCCCCGGACGGCGTCGAGCTGAGCTTCGCACACGGCTGGGGTGCGGGCCGCGACGCCCCCAAGCAGGAGACGTACGCCGGTGGCATGCTAAAGGACCTGTGGGCCGGGCTCAAGGAGGACATTCTTAGTCCGAGTGGCCAGGCCAAGCCCGCCTTGTAGACCAGGCGCCGTGGGGCTCGTGGGTGTGTCTTGCGGCAAAGAGACACAACCAGCCTTGTGATGCACTCCGGGCTCGGGTGATGGCGAGGTGTATGACGGCGTTTTTGTTTCTTCTTCTTTGGCCGTGACAAGAGACCGGGACCAGCGAGGTCTGTCCGGCATGGGCTGTGTATTTGTGGGCTGGCACGTCTTTCGCTTGCTTTTCGGGCATTTTCATGGAACGGGAAGACGCACGATGGGGGCCCCAGGGAAGGGCCGATGACTTTGAGACGCAGTGGTCACTCGTTAGATTTTGTTTACTACGAGATCCTGCTTGCTATACTAAGATTGTAATCAAACCCAGGTGTTGATGGCGCTATCAGAGCTCAATCTTCCAACACGTCCTGAAATCTTGCAACAAGTCAATCATGAACTCATTGTTCTCTGGTGAGAGAGAGCCTTGGGAAGATCTTGACTGATTTTGGTGGTGGTGATATTATCCGCCCTATCTAGAGGCTATCTATCTGTCTCCCGGGCCGCTTCCCGCTTGTCAGCCCAGATTCGACAAAGAATTCCGCTCTTCGCTATGGGCTAGCAGTTCGTTAGTCCTTAGCGGTCGACTTCCCTGAGCTCTCCGCCCGAAACGGTGCCTTCACTATGCTCGTTCGCAGGGCCCCGAGCCACGGCCTGGCAATGCTATCTCATCTCTCGGAGTTTTTCTCTGCAATACCTTTTGCCCCGTTCCCTCAGCCACGCAGATCGTTGCATGATCTTCCGTCAGGCCTCTTCACCGTTGCGACACAGTCTTTGGCACCAATCCAACGAGCCCGAAGTTTTGGTGCCATTTCTCTAGTTTTCCATATCCATCCGCTGGACCATCATCTATCGCTTCTTCACGCTCGGCCGAGGCTTGCACTCGTCTTGTTGCACGGGGTGCAGCATGATCTTGATCGGCTGCTGCTGCGTGTTGGCCTGGTAGCCCTTGGACCAGTCGTAGCTTATGGCGTAGGCGAAGATGTTGCCGTTCTTGCTGAAGTTGGTCGCGGTGATGCTGCCGCCGACGTTGGGGTAGCCCTTGAGCCTGTGCTTGGCGTCCTTGTCCCAGAAGTGGAACGTTCCATCCGAGCCGGCCGTCGAGAAGGTGCCATGGACTGGGTGGAAGGAGATATCGTTGACGGCGTAGACATTGGTAACATTTCCTGAGGGTGGGTCGCGGTGACACTTGAAGGAGAAGTTGGAGCTGTGGAATGTTAGCACCAGCGTTTGTGACGGGGCCGATACCTGGAGGGTATCATCGCATCTGGACAACGTACCCGGAGTCCTTGTCCTCCACATATTGGATGGCACACCTTCCCTCGATGCTGCCGATCGCGAAGCCTGCCGCGTCGGCAAAGCAGCTGACAACCCGCGTCTGCCACTTGAGAGGGCTCTGCAGCGTCTTGTAGAACTTGTCCGGGCTGGCAAGGTTGACGACGTTGATGTAGCGATCGGCGGTGCCCACAACGAGCAGGTTGTTCCTCACGTCCATCGTGTAGACGCGGTCCTGGCACTGCAGGGTGGCCGCCGGGGTGCTCTGCCTGCAGTCCCAGTACTTGACAGTCTTATCCCACGAGCCGGTCGCGATCATGGGCGTGCCGTTGGCTTCGAAGCAGCGCACCACCCGGATGGGCTGGTCATGCCCCGCTACCTGCATTGTTTGCTGCGTGGCGAGATCGCATAGCTTGACTTGCTTGTCGGCGGATGCGGAGACGACTTTCGAGCCGTCCTGGTGCGCGGATGACGGTCAGTATCATGGAGATGCAGGGAGGGGTTGGGGAAGGGGCTGCGGAACAGTGTGCAGCGGATTAATTACCTTGAACCAGTCAACGCTGAAGACGGGACCTTCGTGGTCGTAGGCATGACGCGGTTGCGCCTGGCCTTGGGGCGTGACCTCGTAGAGGCGGACTTTCTTGTCCCAGCTGGCGACTGTCAGGAAGTCCTGCTGGGAGCTCTGGTTCGGGTTGAAGGAGAGGTCTGTGATGCCGTCGGTGGGTGGTTGCTGGACCTCGACATCCTGCTTCAGGTCTCCAACCGTGTTGGACGTCGCTGCCGAAGTGGACGGGCCACCGAAGAGACCAGACATTTTGGGCGATCTGCAGTCCTTCGTATGGTCAAAGAAGGCAAGAACTGGAGTGAAGAGCCAGCCACGAGTCCGGTAAACACGACAGCAGGCAGTTGAGCCCCGTGACTGTCGCTGTACTTCAAGTGTTTCCCTTGAGATGGACGCCTAGGCGGGTAGGCTGCGGCCTGCTGTGAAATTCGACGCGATTGGGCTGGCGGCCAGAATGCCAGGGCCAACACAAGAACCCTGTCGGTTCTCGAGCTCGGGCCATCCAGCTCTGTGCCTGAGCACGTAATCAACACTTGATTGGCTAGCCCGTGGCCCCACCTCCGACCGCTTTGCATCAAAAAACTTCGGTCGCAGAGCCGCACCTCTTGATTTTTCTTCCTTCCCTTCTCTTTCAAGTTCCCTCGCCCGACAAATCGCCATCGAAGCTCCAGACGGAGACGCTCTTCGGAGTGTCTCATCCACTTTGCTTCGGGAGAAAGTCCCCGGACAGTCTTCCTTTTCACAAAGGGAGAATGCCGAAAGGCGCCGCCATAGAAGCACCAAGCGGCTGATCTCTGCCTTCCCCCGTTCCCTTGTCTGGCTTGCCTGCCCTGCCTCGCCGCTACATCTTTCTGGTTGTGTGCTCGTGGTCTCAGTCGCCGGCTTGGTTCGATGTGTCGCATGGACGAAGATATGAGTCCGACGCGCAGAGCCAGGTCTGGCTACCGTGGGCTTCTGGGTGCACCCGCTCGATGGCCGGGTGGACGTGATGCGCGGCCTAGTGCTGGGGGCGCTCTGTGGGGAGGGCTGGAGAATATTTCGTCGAGATATCATAGGTATGCGATTGCCCCACGTCAGGCTCTGCCTGGCTGGGTTTACTCGATGGGGCTCATTCTCGGTGCGAGGGGACTTCACATCTCACACAAGCTGGTTTGCCTGCATTTGGTTCGCGTCGGTCTGTGGCTGAGTTGACAACCAAACTTCTGGGCCTCGTGGGAGGCCTTTTCCTGTCAACCAAGTCTCGGGCTGACGAGGACCGAGCACAACACATCTCAACTCCCTGAGTTTCACATGATGAACACCATTAATAGAGTCAAGCACTTAGACGGCACCTACCTAAAATGGAGGTGCTGTCGCTGACGATACAATAATGCGTTATGGTTTCTGACAAACTCATCCCCACTTCACTTTCCAACCCTCCCTCTTCATTATCACACATTCATAGTTGCCGGTAGCGCGTACAAGTCATGATAAGTCATGATGGCGGCCATCGAAAGAGGGTTCAGACCCGGGGCACGTGCGGTTCAGACTGTGACACGCCATGTCTTTCGGCATTTCGACCGCCGGCGAGCTTTTTCAACGCTGTGGTAATTCAAAATATAGAGCGCCTTGATCGCATGGCCTCAAGGTGTCCCTGGGCATCCATGGCGCTTGATCGGGCCCAAACAATGACCCATATCCCCACATGACTCCAAACCGATGGATATCTTCCCTTTGTGCCTCAAACCCAGCAACTATAACGGCCCGACGAAGGAATAGAAAATGGTATCATGTCACTGAGATGGTCGCGACAAGACCACTCGCGTACTTGTGTCAGCCACGCCGTCTTGCGTCCATCACATCAGCCCACCGAGCACGATTTTGCCCACGTTGGCCACCTCCGTCTTGACCCCGTTCCTGCTGGTGTCCTCGAACTCCTTGACGATGCCCTGCACGATGATCTTGCGCACCCTCGAGTCCGCCTTGGTGAACAGCTCGGCCACCGAGGCGTTGCACTCCCTGGGCGTCGGCAACAGACTCAACAGCCGCACGTAGGCATCGATCAGGACGTCACACAGTGTCGCAAACGTCTCGAAGAAGTCCGGGTCGAACGGTAAGGATGGCGTCAACAGGTGCACGTACTCCTCCCCGGGCAACAGATCTGCCTCGCTCTGGCCGAAGCTCACCACGCTGGCCGAACCCCCCAGCCCGTTTCCCACCGTGAAAGCCCCGTTTGACGCCGACTGTCCCGACATGGAGCTCCCGTTGGTGCTGGTCAAGCCGCCGTCGCCGGCCTCGTATAATATCTCATTATTTGCGCTACTGCTCCGCCTTACTTTTGACGAGGGTGTGGCGCGCCTGAACATCTGCGGTATTCTCGCGCGGGAGAGAGAGGAGGGGGTTGAGCCTGTGTCGGAGTGTAGTTGTTGGAAGGAGTCGAATTCTGTGAGCAGGACGTTGAAGGCGCGGAGGAACTCCATGGGGGTGTTTGAGTTGAGGTCGATAACGGTGGGGAGCGAGAGGCCCAGGAGGAGGTAATTCGTGGCGCGCCGGGCGAGGCGCCTCGCGTCAAAGTAGGGCATGCGCGCGAGATCGGGTTTATCGAAGAGGAGGGTGTTGAACCAGTAGACACGGCCTTCATGGCTGTGTGATAGCGGGGAAAAGTCAGCGGTTACGTGAGGGCAAGCGACAGGAGGGGGGCCGCGGCTGACACATACGCCTTTCGTAAATACTCCAGGGTGGATATCCTTTTGTTGGCCATCTCGTGAATGTGCTGATGCACCATGCTGGACTCGTTCTGCATGCCTCCTGCCGAGGGCGGGGGCATCATGGCCCCTCCGGAAGGGAAGCCATTGACGGGGGTGGTGCCGGAGCGGCTCAGCATCCTGGAGTTGGATGTCTGGATATAACCGCCCGAGATATCCATGGAGGGCTTTGCAGCAGAGCTGGGGGAGGCAAAGGCGTCGGTATCGCGGCTCGGTCTCGCAGCAGCCGAGAGGGCAAAGTCGGGCAGGGCAGGCGGGTTCCCCCTGCTGGTCACGACAGGCTTCTGACTGGATGATCCTACGGCGAGCGCGGCGCCGGCGCCATCCCTGTCCCGCAGCGAGGAGATGGAGTTGGCGCGACGGCGCAGGCCCCTGAAGATGGACTGCGACTGCTGCTGCGACGAGTGCGAGACAAGGTTGTCGAAGGACTGCTTGCCGCGGAGCGAGTTCTTGCGCAAGAGGTTGGGGCCGGGCGGTGCGAGAGCGGGCTGGGCTGGGAACGGGTCGCCGTTGGAGGTGCCGTTGGCTAGCCCGCCTATGCCGGCTGAGATCGGAGGGGCGCCGCCGGAACTTGTGCCTGGCCTCGTCCGGGAGTAGGAGGTGAGATTGTTGGGATTGGCGGGGGTGGTGGTGGCGGCGGTGGTGTTGGCGTTGGGAGTGGTGAAGAAGGAGAAGTCGAAGCCGGTGGGAGTTGGCGGGACGTTTGCGGCGGCGGAGGGCCCAGGCCCAAGTGCGGCTGCCATTGCAGGCGCAGAGACGCTGGACCGCCTCCTGGTCCTCTGCATGGCGCGGGGCGGTATGGGGCTGATGAGCGGCGCGGCCAAGCAGCCCAAGCCAGCGGGCGTTCCGAGCAGCACCCCCACAGCCTGCAGGCGAAGATCGGCCCAATCTGAATTTGCAGGGCGATGTCCACTGTGGGCAGCCTGTGGCCCGCGGGCTATGCGAAATGGTTCAGCCCTATAAGACGACAGGAGAGGAGGGCCCGAGGAGACTGGCACTCGGGAGAGTGAGGGCTGCACCCACTGGTCCAGCCATGCGTGGTCTATTAGTATGATTTCGAGGGACAGCAACACCACGAAATAGTGGTCAAGCCTCCGCTCAGACTCGTGCCGTGGCAGGATTGTGTGGTAGAGCAGGTAACAGCCTGCCACCCCCCGAGCCCGGGTCAGATATCCGGATCATGCCAGCAGCCAGCTGGTGCTGCACCATCGGTATCAAAGCGCAGACGACCTTGGTTGCTTGGTTTGTTTATCGTGGCATGATCGACCGTCAGCCGGCACACCGAGGCAACGAGGCTTTCCTACCATCGTAACATTGGCCCCGAGCCGACATGCTGCCGTTTGCGATTGGCCTGTGGGCCTCCTCGCCCCAGGGTTGCACCTCCTGTATTTGCCAATGCCAATCTGTCGCTCGGACGGGTCAAGAACCACCATCAGATTGGATTCGTCGGAAACGTGGTAGCCCATGTGCAAGCCAAAGCAATGCAAACCAAACCAAACCAAACCAAACCATGCGTTGGTCGCAAGGCTCTGCACGTGTACCCAGGTACTCTGTAGATCAGGCAGCCCGTCCAGAGGTAAATTGCAGATGGGGAGTTGCATTCTCAGGGGCACAGGGGTTCTCCTCTTCCCCTGGCGCTGGCAACCTCCGCTGGAAATAACCCAATCCAGCAATCGAGGGGCACTGGGGACCTCAAACCGAGCTACTTTGCCACAGCAGCACAAAATACCCAATTTAAGTGCCTGTTGTGTCTGGTGCTTTGCCCAGACCAAAGGACACTCGAAACAGTTCTACCAGTCCAGAGGAACCTTAATCACCAAATCAGTCGACCGACGGGAAGACACAGCTTCTTATACCCGCCCTCTTCTCCATCCTCCTCCCGCCCGGCCGCCGCCCAACCTGGACCATGTCAGCAACAGATCCCATCTCTCCTCCGGGGGACCCTGCACCAGACGTCTTGGATGGCCGTATCTGGGTTGATGGTTGCTGGGACTTCTTCCACCACGGCCATGCCGGCGCAATGCTGCAGGCCCGCCAGCTGGGCGACGAGCTATACGTCGGCGTGCACTCGGACGAGTCCATCCTGGAGAACAAGGGCCCCACCGTCATGAACCTTCAGGAGAGGTGAGCCCCCCCCTCCCAAGGCTTGTTCAGTATCATCGAGACATCATCATGGTCTCCCTAACGCCAGTACAGACTCGCCGCCGTCGATGCCTGCCGCTGGGTCACCCGCTCTGTTTCTCACGCCCCCTATGTCACCCAGCTCGACTGGATCACTCACTACGGCTGCCGATACGTCGTGCATGGAGACGACATTACCTCTGACAGCAGCGGTGAGGACTGCTACCGCTTCGTCAAGGAGGCTGGCCGCTTCAAGGTCGTCAAGCGTACCCCCTCCATCTCCACCACTGACCTAGTCGGCCGCATGCTGCTCTGCACCCGCACCCACTTCATCAGGTCATTGCGCCGGACACTTGCCGGCAATGACGGCCATGGTAGCGACTCAGAGCGCAAGGCCGAAGGGGCCGCCATGACGGAGCGGATGAGACTGTATGCCACGGATGAGACGGCCAAGAAACCCGGTGCTAGCGTTTGGTTCTGGGAGACAAGCTCGCTGCATGCTAAGACAGGGCATGACGGTATAGACGACAACGGGACTTTCACGCAATTGTTTGAAGGACCCACGCCTAGGCCCGGCCAGAGGGTAGTATACGTCGACGGCGGCTTTGATCTGTTCTCGAGCGGCCACATCGAGTTCCTGCGCCTGGTAGTCGAGGTCGAGCAGAAGAAGGCTGCCGGGAACGGGTGGAACAAGGACTACCCGCCTGTCTACGTTGTCGCAGGTGTCCACGATGACGAGGTCATCAATCACTGGAAGGGCGTGAATTACCCAATCATGAACATCTACGAGCGAGGCCTCTGCGTGCTGCAGTGCCGGTACGTCAACTGTGTCATCTTTGGGGCACCTTTCACGCCCACCAAGAACTACCTCACCTCCTGGTCCTGGGGAACCCCAGATGCCGTCTACCACGGGCCCACTTCCTTCATGCCTCTCACCTACGACCCATACTCGGAGGCCAAGGGCCTCGGCCTCTACCAGGAGATCGGCCAGCACAGCTTCCAGGATGTCAACGCGGGCAACATAGTGGACCGCATCATGAAGAGCCGCAAGCAGTACGAGGAGAGGCAGAGGAGAAAAGGCGAGAAGGCCGATGTCGAGGCGGCTGCGAAGCTGAGGGAACAGCTGGAAGAGGAGCAGAGGAAGAAAGAGGCCCAAGCTTCTGCATAGCGACGTCCTTTTGGGGGCAACCCATACCGCTGCCCATCGCATCGCAGTGTGAGTAGCACCTTGATCTTCAACAGTACCTTGACGGAGTCTGGCCGGGGATCCATAGACAGGCGAAAAGTAATTGCTTCTAATTAACATACTAAGAGAATGGCTGCAGAACAGGTGCGCATCTGCTGTTTGGCCTAACAGGCTTTGCTGTGTGCTTCTAAAGCAGACTCGCAAGTGCTTGTCCCACAATGGAGAGCCACAAATCAAATGTTCTGTTCAACAATCCATAATAGCATCCCATAGTACCTAGGTATCTAGCATGGCGTGTTGAGAATAGGCAGTGTAATAATATAACACGAAAATACCAAGTCAGATGCAACCATATTAACACAGACCGTTGCAACTTGCATGATAGTTTCAATGTTGATAGGAGGTTATATTGAAGGAGGTCATCCCATTTGAGTCTGTCCTATCGTCTCGTCAGGGGTTGTCCGATACGAGTATCATATCAGATGGGTTTCCTTGGGATGCTTCTCTCAGGGCATATTTCGATTTTGGCCCAATCCCAGCTTGTCAACAGCATGCCTCTTTAATTGATGCTGAATCCTCCTTGAGCAAGGTGTGGGGGTTTCTATTCATATTCACAGGTAGAGATCCCAACGCTTGACAATGGCCACTGGAACTGTCTTCCATTAATTCTAGAGCTCTTTCATTCCATACTTGACAGAATCATGTGAGCCCTACCAGAATGCATTCATTACAAGGGTACATAGAAGAGGAATGTCTTGAAGCATCAGGACTCATCAACAAATCATCCCTATCCCTGCTGCGAATTATTTCTATGCTGACTTCAGGAGTGCATACGATTCATACACAAGTACACTTCTACCTTGGTTACATCAATTGATGACTTCACATATGGACACCGTAACTGACCATGTCTGCCTACTGCCTTAGTTCTGTTCTGGCTTACACGAGATTGAAGCGAGATTGAACCTGAAACGGACCTTGGCGTACATGCAGCTTCAACCTCTTGTCTTCCGATCACGGAAAATGCAAATCCACAAAATTGGACACACCATGAACTGCAGATGACGACGATGGCGGTTCCAGGTTCCCAGGGAACGCAAGGTCGCGGCAGAAAACCGCCCTCGTGATAAGAAATTATTCCCTGGGCCGTCGGCAATTGGCGTCTACCTGCGGCTAACTGCGGCATCATATCTCAACTTCCCACCTCTACACTCCAAACTCCAAGGTCTTCCCACCCCGGACGACTTGTAGCACTCTAGAATTTTCTGCCGCAGGAAATTTTCAAACAATTTCTCGCCGAGCACGGGATGGCCGGGAAAGATTGGTTTGTTTTCTCCTACCAAGCCTTCCCGGGCCCGCGTTGCGGCCGCAGCAGGGCGACCATGATATGAATGCGGTGGACGGGACGGGACGGGACTGCAACATTTCAGGAACAAGACTGACTCTCGATATGAATAGCACACATGTCAAGACGGGCACAACACCAAAGGCCATCTTGTAGTTTATGATACGATCAAATTCTATCTGGCCTTAAATTAATTATATTGGGATTTGGCTTTCATCGGAGTGAATCTGACTCGAAGGCACCAAATGCACCGGCCGCGATCTGGACGTCAGAGAACCACCGGCCGTCCCGCAGCTATCAGAACACATCAACGCCCAGACGCCCAGCGATATGAGACGTTGAGAAGCATGACCAGTAGTGCAGGGTTCTGGTAAAAGGAAGGCGCCAGTCTTGTCAAGATGAGGAAGGCGGTAGGAAAGGGGTAGGACTAGACCAAGCGCGCCTAGATCCGGCATACCACCTCAAGTGCTCCCATCCATTGCCGCACAGGAGGGAGGGAGGAGCCTCACCTCAGCAGCACTGCCTGTCCATGCGCATGTGCGCACCAGGAACAGCCGTTCCGGTACACGGAGCCTGTATATCTGTGTTTGCATTATCAGACTAACTCACCGTCTATTGTCCATCTGAATCAAGCTGCCATTGGCCAATGAGTCACCTGCCCCCTGGATCGGGATGAACGTGTGTTAGTCCTCCAGGGTACCAGCGTGTGCCCGCTCCTGGAAACTAAGTACTTAAGTAGGTAGCATATTCTTATAAGATCAATTGATGCCTCGCTTGACGTTTGCCAGGCTGTTTACTTGCTTCTCCATACTCACTACCACGTTCCATTGTGACCCGTAATTACACCGTGACTTGACAAGCTCTTGTGTTGGTCCCCATTGTCGACTCCTTGCTTTATCCATCACCTCCATCTTCTCACTTTAGTGGGTAGTGACACACCCACCCACCATGGCTCCCGGCTTGATCACCCCTACTACACCTTCATCGGAGGTAGACCTCACCACCACGGCCATCGAGCACAAGCTGGAGAAGATCAACGCACCCTCCGAGCTGGCCGAGCTGGACGCCTCCAAGCTCACCTACACTCTCACCAAGAACCCACGTCCAGTGCCTGAAGAGGCAACGGCCTGCTCCGGAACGGAAACAATATGCTCCGATCACAGTCAGTATGCCTCTTTTCTCCTGCCAAGGTGCCCTGCCCCTTCGTGCTTGAAACCTCTCAGTATGCCTCCCGAAGCTCCGTGAAAGGTTACTGACAAGCACCAGTGATTACTGCGTCCTGGTCCGCCTTCACTGGCTGGGCTGCCCCTGAACTCAAGCCCTACGGGCCCCTCAGCCTGATGCCCACAGCCTCGTGCCTCCACTACGCAACCGAGTGCTTCGAGGGCCTCAAGGCTTACCGCGGCTTCGACGGCAAGCTGAGGCTGTTCCGCCCCGACTGCAACGCCGAGCGGTTCCTCATGTCTAGCACCCGCGTCAGCCTCCCAGGCTTCCCCCCAGCAGAGCTCGAGCGCCTCATCATCGCCCTCATGGCCGTCGACGGGCCCAAGTGGCTCCCGCGCGACCGCCCGGGCAGCTACCTCTACATCCGGCCCGCCATGATCGGCACGCAGGCGCAACTGGGCGTGCAGGCGCCCAAGGAGGCCCTTCTTTTCATCACCATGTCCTTCATGCCGCGCATGGACATGCCCCACGGCGGCATGAAGCTGCACACCAACCCGGACGACATGATCCGCGCGTGGGTGGGCGGGTTCGGCTACGCCAAGCTGGGCGCCAACTACGGGCCCAGCCTGCTCGCGACCCAGGAGGCACGCAACCGGGGGTTCGGCCAGATCCTCTGGTTGTACGGCCGCGAGGGCTACTGCACCGAGGCCGGCGCGTCCAACTTCTTCGTCGTGTGGCGGTCCAAGGAGACGGGCAGGACGCAGCTGGTCACGGCGCCCCTTGACGACAAGCTCATCCTCGACGGTGTCACGAGGAGGAGTATCTTACAGCTTGCGCGCGAGAGGCTGGGCGACGAGGTGGAGGTCGTGGAGAGAAAGTACACCATCGACGAGGTCCTCGAGGCAGCCAGCGAAGGACGGATGATTGAGTCATTCGCGGCGGGCACAGCTGTAAGCTTTCCTTTACTTGGCCATGCACATCAGACCCTGCTAACAGTCATGATCTTTAGTTCTTCGTCTGCCCTGTATCCCTCGTCCACCACAGAGGGAAAGACATCAGCTTTGGCATGGGCGGTGGGGAGGGGGGAAGGTATACCCAGACCATCAAGAAGTGGATGAAGGATATCATGTATGGCGGCGAAGACCACGCATGGGGTGTTGTGGTACGAGAGGAGGTATAAACATTTGAACTAATACTTTGGTCTTTTTGGGTCTCAATTTCGGTCGGCAAAAGCATCACAGGAGGCGTTGTGGTCCTGAGGACTCAGGAGTGCGTATATTTGACAAAGAAATTTCAGTCAGGGACGATAGTCCATCAGTTTTGAGCTAAACAAGCAATACCGGATAGATGGACTTTTGTTCCAAGAGTTGTATGGTGCCTCTTTACATTAGCTCAACCCCTCCGTGGACCATTGTTCCAAGTGACCCATACCCTGGTCGAAGAACTCTTGACTGGTAACAAGACCGACCTGCCTGTCGTACCTAGGTATTTGTCCTCCAGAATTAGTCCAGTCTGCTGAAGTTGCACCCCAAAAACGAAACTTAGAAGGCGGAGAAATGCTGGCATGTCTTCGCCTTCACTCAGTCTTCCAACAGATACTGCTGCAGGAAGGCAGACATCACACCATATATCTTCTTGCCAAACTCCTAGAGGTGATGTGAGCAGATGTCAAAGGAACACACACCGAAACCCCACTAAAGGATTTGAAGCGTACCTTCTCGCACGCCCGAATCTCCTCATGTGAGTCTTCAATAATACCCTCCGCTTCTGCACCGAGGACTTCCATGTCGTCCGCCATGGACTTCCACACGCCCTTAACACAGTCGCTCTTCCGCGCTGAGAGATACGTGCCACCACTCACTTCAGAGATCTTGGTCTGGACATGGTGGTCAGCCGCCTCCCAAGCGTCCCATAACTGGTTCACTTCCGTTTCGAGATTCAGTACGAGATCGTTGACCCCAGAGACCTCGTCGCCGATGCAGACTTCACGACGAGTTTCATTCCCCACATCGTCGCTGTAGGTCTTTCCAACGAATGTCTCCGAGGGCGATTTGATGATTTTCCTTTGATTGGATTCCACAAGGGCGATGAATTGATCATGCACCGTGCTCGCATCGGCCATGATATTGCTCAAAGCTTGATAGAGGTCTCTGATCCGGGCGAGTCCGTGGTTGTAGAGGTCGCTGGACTCAGCTAAGACATTGCCTATTGAAGAGGACGTCAGTCTAGCTGGTACGGCTTACCATACGAATCGATGAAGAAAAGGGAAGCACCGCACCTGCCAGCTCCTCTCTGAGCTCCTTGGCCACCGATGACTCATTCGCAAATGAACGGTGCTTCTTTGATTCATCCCCCACTTCTTGATGGCGTTGCGATTGGGCTTTCTGCTGTTGTACCGGACGAGGAGGGAGTGGCTGTGGTGGCAACACCTGGCTGTTGATCTCCTGCGCCGGGCGTCTCTGCTTGCCAAAGAAAGCTGCCGTCACATCGACGTATCGGGGTTTCTCGGGATCGCAAGGGGCAGGTGCTACTGTCTGTTCCTGGTCTACTGAATTGAGGCGCTCGAGAAGGCCCTTGTGGCCGCCGTTCTGCTGTTTGGGATTGTTTGAGGAACCGAAGCGGACCCGTTTTGCACCGTTCCGACTCCAGCTGCCCGTGTCGGTAGACATCTTGGAGAATGGACCTGGTAATCTTTCCAGGTGGTGATGGGTAGAAATTTGCACAATCAATCTTTTCAGCCTAGCGGTGGCTCATCCCTGGTGTCTCTGATCGAAATGTCGCCCAAGCCGTCCGCGAAGGAGCCATGTCCGTCACAACGAAACGACAAGTCCTACTGCTGACTGGCCGAACAAGCTGACGTCTGAGTCGCAGATCGAGAAGAATGAAGCAGAGGACAGAGCCACCAGTGCCAGGGCCAGAAATGCGGGTGGTGCTCTGTCAATTAAGGAAAGGGCAGGAACGCTGCGCGGGCCCCCATAATCGCCAAATTCGGCAACAACACTCATGTGTGGCAGTCCCCAAATTGCGAGCACTCAGACTGATGCCACACAAGGATCCGATGGCCACGAAATGCACGAATCTGTCCCCATATTCATATTTCCGGTATGGTCTGCCCCAGTACAACGCCACATCTAGCATCAGCGCCGGGAATTGGCTGCCATGCCACCACAATCACCAACACCCGTGTCACAAGGCGCCGCCACTTTCCACGGAGTGTACCCGCAGAGGCAGCTCACGTTACCTTCTGGAGAGTTCAAGACATTCCCGCTATCGAGAAGTTGAGAATTGGTATAGGGCAGGCATGGGGAAAATCAAGATTCATATAGCTGAGCCGGGTACTACCTCAATGTCTCGGCTGGATTCCTCACCGCGACCTCGCGTCAGAACTCTGAACCACCATCGACTGAAAAGTCTCGGCCATCGACCTGTCTGAAACAACACTTTGTGGCGCGCTGTAAACTTGTGATAGCGTGGACACATGGTCCAACGAGGCAGCCAGGCAGGCCAAGCTCCTCTATCAGAGGACAGGTCGACCGCCCGATGCGGTTGCTCACCGCCAGCACATGTCCTTGCTCACTTCTGGAACGACACGACGGCATATCGAAAGCTACCATTGGCATATCCTCTCCGCATAGCACGGAACGCCTGCAGGAAAGCAATTCCATCCCTGCCTTGGCTGAGCGCGAAGGCCCACAATGATGGGTTCTGGACCAATGACCACGAGATGTCCCTGAGGCGCAGCCCCTTGTTAGCCTGGCTCTCACGAACGCTGCTGAGGGCCCGTGTCACGAAACACTCACCATGTTGCCTTGACATCCTCGGAAATGTCCTTCGGCCCCCCAGACACACTCAGACCAGCATCCTTCGCGTACTTGACGTAGTCGGCTTGCGCGCATAATGGCGGCAGGAGCATACCATCTGCCACCAGGTCAGTATCGCCTAGCTCCCTTCCTCGAGACAATCTTGGCCAGCACAACTGGGCAATGCATTTCGGCATCTCTATCCCGGATCCACAGACCTTCGATCGGTTTTATATCATCGGTGAACTCCTTCTCGCCCAGGCCCTCCGCCTTGAACCAGTCAGCAAGCGCCAGCTTCCCGCCCTGCTTCAGCGACTTGTACGCATTCTGGAAGAACAGTTGCTTGTTGGGAAAGTGGCTCAGCGCCTCACAGATCCAGACGGCGTCAAACGATTCGGACTGTGCGGCAAAGACGTCTCCCATCTTCTCCGCGTCAAGCTCCACAAACTTGACCTTGCCCTTGCCGATCTTGAGAAAGCCCTCTGCATCTGCCTCCTGGTCTGACAAGCCGGCGTCGTCCTTGGCGGCCTCAGACTTGGTAAGGCGTGTCGCCATCTCAACCTGCTTGGTGGAAATGGTTATGCCGGTAACCGTGCAACCCAGCTGGGAAGCCAGGTATCGTGAGGTGCCTCCGATCCCACATCCTACGTCCAGGACCTTGCTTCCCTCGGATACCTGCGAGGTCTGCAGCAGCAATTTGATGAGGTTAATTTGTGCCTGTTCTTTGGTTTCACTAGCCTTCGACTCTGCCGTCGGCCAGTAACCGTGGTGGATGTGGGTGCCCCTGCGTTGTAGAGGGCATCGTCAGCAAGCGCGGTGGCACGGTCAACCAAAGCACAACTGTCTTGGCAATCGAGATGGGCCTTTGCTGACCGTCAATCGACGATAGAGTCCGAATAGCTGTGACTCGGGCAATTCGCGTCGTGACGTACCACAGGCTCAGGTAATACTCGCTAGCCAGATCATAATGGGTTTTGATCCGGTCCTTTAGAGCTTGCATAGTATCATGCGCAAGACCGAGTGGAGTCTCATATTGCTTGCTAAGCGCAGTGTTGTCCTCCACTGTGCTCGTCGCCATGTCGAGTCAAATCAAGGCTGCGTTTGCGAGGACGATAAGATGGCTTGTGAGTACGTCCAGTTGTGGGTGAGGAAGCTGAGGTCTGTCAACCGCCCAAGTTTCTCATCGGAATTTCCGTCTTGGATAGTTGCAAGGTCGCATCGCGAGTGCTCTCATGCACCACCTGAAGTTTGAAGCTCAATTGGAGCTCGTGATTGGCCCACGCCAGGGGCATGAAGCATGAAGCTCGGCCTGCTTTGGGCTCGGAAGGCGCTTCCTTGCTTGTGACAGAAGAGGGACCAGAGCTCCGGGGCTGGGTGCCCCGCTCTGTTCCGTCTCAGCAGTCTCAGGATCTCAGCAGTGGCCTCAACATTAGCTTTGCAGTACACACACAGTACACTACGAGCCTGGGTGGCGCGGCGCACCGCCACAGAGTGCAAGCTGGGAGGAGGCCGGGAAAGGCAGGGGGTGCCTGCCTGCCACTGAGCCGCGGCTTTTAAACACCAGTGGAGTTTCCCGTGGGTCGCGGGGGCGTTTTGTCGACGATATTGTGCATGTTAGCACCGACCTCACCGGATGAGGCCGACCGCAAAGTTGTTCCGGGCTCTCTTGGCGACCCCTTGTCGACCGTCGACTCTCGGAGGCCTTCACGCTCCTGTCTCCAGCGAGTCGGGGCGCAACCACACAGTAGCCGACAGAAGCTTCGGAGGGAACTTGAGCTCCAGTGGGGAATTGGAATGACGAACTTTACGTGCGTTCAACAAATCTGAGACAACTACTGGCGGTGAGGCGCAAGGTCCTACACGTACTGCTGTGTGCTCTGGGACACTGCGCATTGGTAGCCAACCCGACACACGCGTCTTTGTAGCTTGGCTGGTCTTGTCGCAGGGTCTCATCTAGAGGCAGTTTGCCAGAGACTCCCTCGAGGGCGGCGACTAGGCTGGCTGGAAACTGAGCTGGAGATGTACTGTCACTGACCGCTCGGCCTTTGGGGCAGAACTCAGTGGTCAGACGTGTGAGCGACCTGATCTGGCCTGTCAAGCGACCTATGGATCGATCCAGAGCGGACCATTGTGTTCTTGGCTGTCTCCACGATGGCCTGCTTACAGGTGGCCTTCGTGAATGGGCCCGGGCGAAAGTGCAGCAAAGGTTCCGACATCCTGACACCTCGTGGTTCGCCCTCTACTGTACAGTGACAGTTTCGTCTTGGCGGAAACAGGGCGAGCCGGCCGCCGGCGACCCAAAAGGCAGAAAGGGCAGTCAGTGCAAGGCTAGTTAGTGTCTGGGTGTCTGGGTGTCCGGACCAATTGCGTCACTGTAACCCATTCATCCCATGGGACCATCATCCCGGGAGGTCACTTGGCTTTCTTTGCCTTCCCGCCGCGGCGCGCGAAACGCCCGGCGGCAGCGCGGCACAATAGGAATAATATGGCTATGCGCGAGAGCTGAAGGCACATATCCATTGGGCAGGGCGGGCACGTTGGCTTCATGCTGCTGTTCTGCGTAACCAACGGACTCAGTAACAAAGAAGCACTCACAAGAGATACTGTCCCGATACTGCAGTGCGGCATCTCGGCTTCCACAACCCAGGTGACCGGTTTTCTGCAGGTCTCAGAGTGGCCGACTTATCCAGAAATACCCTCACGCCCCTCCGGATTCCTCGCCACTGCCGTCAGATCTTAGCAAAACGGAACCTGGGGGCCACAGGTTGACGCAACACTGCTGCGGTGCACGGATTCAGGCACCGCAGCAAAAGTTGGCCAGAAGAAACAAGAAGCGCCTTGTATCAAGCTCTCACCTCACACTTGCTCATGCCCTGCCCGCTGCCCGATCCGCTTGGAGGGTTCATGCTTCCACTTACGACTTCTTCTGTTCACGCTTGTGCTGGCGTGGTTGATCCTCATAATAAGCAAGCCAGGTGCCAACCTGCCAACCTGCTAACCAGCCCAACCTGCAGTCACCACCCCCTCTCCAATGCTGACCGACTGCCTGGGCTTGCTTTCGCGTCCGTACAGCCATCTTGTGGTATTGTTCATCTACCCCTCTGGCAGCAGCGACCATCACCCGGCTGTGTCTTGGTTTATTAGCCCCCCCCAAAAGGAAGGGCACCACCCCAACCTTGTCCGCGGCCTGCATCTCTCCTCCGCCCCAGCCTATGAGCTTCCCCCGGATTTGAGACTATCCCTCCCAAGCTTCCTATTGCCTTGGGGCCGCCTTAGATCGCCCTAAGCTCGCGAGCCGACTCGACGCTTTGAGTTCTTATAAGGGCCGCTTGACCGCCAGACCTGTGCCTGATCTTCAACACCTTCCAGGCTCCCCAAACGTGCTTCTCACAAAGGCCGAGTCAGCGCTGCGTAACAACTCAACTTCCAACCCGCCGTCTCTGGCCCAGCGATCTGGCCACGCCACGTATCCGATCCTCGACAGTCAGCAGGCTCAGAAGAGCCAGCCAGTGACCGCGAACGTCTTGGCCTACAAAAGAGTGCAATCCGTCCCTGTTGCAGGCCAGAAACAGCCCGGGTGGGTCACGACCCAGGCCAACGTGTGCGAAGCCGGTTCCAGGGACCACAGTCACCAGACAGACCAGCCAGACAGGCCAGACAGACAGACCACCCAGCCAAACCCAAGAGACATCCGTGCCGTTCAGCCGGTGCCCCGTCCGCCAAGCCCCGAGGGTGGCTCCAGTTAAACGGCCGCCACGCAACTACCACCACACCCACCGGCTCCACCGCCTGGCTTTGCCCGCTAAACCATTTTAGGTGAGCCTCAGCCTCCCCACGCTTCCTGACACGTCCTCTACACCACTCGTTTCCACTGCGCCGCATGCATCCGGAGTCGCGCCCTCCCCTCCAAGCGGATGGCCCACGAGGCCTGCGACGGCCACTCAAGCTGGCCTGGAACTCAACTCTGCTGCCCTAGTGCACTGGGCTCTCTGGCACCGGGCGCCTGAGGGTGGGCATTCAGGCCCAGTCGGCCGATGCGCCCTTCTCAAATCTCCCCCCGTGCGTGGTCGAAATTGTTTGGCATGGGTCCCAACAATGAGATCGGCTCACGGCTACACGGCTCACGGCAGCCTCAATGCGGCCTTTCTGATAATAGGCCCTCTTGTCCCACCTGAAAGGCCCTTTTTACAAGTCGAGCCCATTGTTCCAGAAACTTCGGGCCGCCCAAAGCTTCACCGAACCGTCTCACTTCTCTTTACTGGCACCCAGCCTGTTCTCACATATTGTTGACATCCATCCTCTCTTCGCTGACCTTGCTGTGTTGAGGAGCGGTCGTGAAATGAGAATACCCACTGTGCACTTTCTCTAGTTGTCATCACTGTTTTGGTTTTTTTAGGAGTTTCTTCATTTACTACCCGACTTTCCCAAGTGCGCAGGTCGCAATTATTGCAATCTTCAGGCAGGGACAATAAAAACCGAGTGGTGCCTCTCTCTACCTGGGCCTCCCATCGACATAATTTACGGGCCCAACCTGCTGTGGCGCGAGAACACACATTTGCTATTTGCTACCACTACTCGGGCATCGCACTAAACAAGATGGTTTCCGTCCGCAGACCTCGTCGGGCTCCTCGTCACTCCAGCTGGAGCACCCTGGAGACCAGCAGCATGACTTCGATGCCCCACAGTGACACATCCTCGCGGCCTCGGAGCCGAGAGACGGGCTTCCCAGAGCCCTTCTGCGGTAGTAAGTCTCGGTCCGCACCGTGAGATCTGCGCGCACTATATTGACCCAGCCCAATAGGTCGCAATACAACTCTGCCGCACCCTGATGCAGACACGTCGCCAAACGCCTGTATCTCGCAAGATGACATCTCCATCAGCCGCGTCGAGTCTCGACAACGTCGCTCTTTCCGCGCGAAGCACAAGCGTACCATCAGCCACGGTCTCATCACGCCGGAGATGGAACAGATGTACAGTATGGTTGCTGTGACCAGTGATTCGGACTCGTCACCCACGAGGGAGGATCTCGAGCGGCTTCCGACCATCCCCGGAACGCCAGCCGTGGGTCACATGGCAAGGCCTCCGTCAAAGGACGGCGGCATTAGCATCGCCTCTACCTCGACGGGCGACAACCGAAAGTCAATGGACCATCACAACACCTTTCGGTCGCGGTTATCGAGCGACAACTCCTCTGTCAAGTCACGGAAGAAGGGTTTCATGCAGAGGCTGGGCATCTCACACCACAGATCCTAAAACAACGAAGAAGCCTGGGCTGAATAGACTGTCCCCCCGCGAGGAGAAGAGGATGAAAAGAAGATGCTGCCTCTTACCTCAAACACCATTGGGGTGCGGCCGCAAATTGACACTTTTTTGTTTTGTTTTGTTTTTCCCTCAAAAGCGGTAGCACGGAGTTGGGTATCTTACATTTTTGGAAACTGGATTGGATTGCGGGGAAGGGAATGTCTGGAATAGGGAGGCAGGATGGGCAGGACGACGACGTTCTTTTGTCAACTGGGTGGGATCAAACAGAGCCTCGCAGACAGCAAACAAGTGGCACAGAAGATGGCGGGGGAGAGAACGGAAGGGTGCGTCAGAAACCCCCGGAACTCTGAAGAGACATACAAGTCAGGCATTTGTCTACACATGTCTACACAGTACTACCTAGCTATTCTCCGTCACATTCGCTGCATAGCCTAGCTTTTATTTGTTAATCGGACCTAGATGAAGATTCACCAACAATGACCTTGAGCGAATATGCCTCGTGTAATGCTGAACTCGCATGCTATGTATGTCCTCTTGACGATGAGGCCCCGGTGATGAAAAGGGGCGAGAGAGCGCTATGCTACAGACCACGACACTGCTCCGGCTCCAGCTCCAGCCTCGGTCCAGACGCACAGTCTAGACCACCTCGGCCGTTCCCCACTGATGCCCATATCAGCTGCCACGGTAGGTGCTGTAGCTAAAAGGGGCCAGCAGCAGGGGCACGTGGTAGTGCTGGCCCTCCTTAACCTCGAAGACGACGGTGATCTCTGGGAAGAAGGTCTCCTTGCCCTGGGCGGCGAAGTAGTCCCCGGTGTCGAAGCAAAGGGCCCAGCGGCTGGGGCCCTTGATGTCGCCCAGCACGTCGTCGAGGCTGTAGACGGGGACCTCGCCGGGGGTGTCGGGGCTGCTGTAGGGAAGCCAGGAGCGCACGCGGCCGTCGTCGTCGGTGGACGACTCGAAGACTATGGGCAGGCCGGACGGGTGCTTGTTGGCGGCGGCGCCGTTGCTGGGCTGAGGGGCGCTGGTGGTGCTGTCCGATTTCAGCTGGAGCCGCACGCGGACGTTCCTGGCCGGGGCGCCGACTGTTGTGTCGAGGATGTGGCAGGTGATTGGGGCTTTTGCTGGGGAGGCCATGGTGGATGACGGGGCGTTGAGTGCTGGGCAGGTCCTTTGTTGCCTGGTGATGGTGGCTGGCAGTTTTGGTGGGCTCGGCTTGGGTATAAGTGAGGAGGGGGGTGGCGATCAGCTCTGGCGGGGCTGGGAATACCGTGTGCATACAAGCAGCAAGCAGCAGCCTGAGGGGGGCCGGCTGGACCAGCTGAGTGCACTCGGGTGTTTTGCCAGGGCCTGCAATGCTGTGCCTGGCTGGGTCTGAAGCTTGACCTGCCCGTGGACTGCTGAGAACGATATGCTATGATGATCACCGCGGCTGTCTCAAGCCGAGATGAGGTCGGCTGTGCTATCTGCTGCTCTATATATCTACTAACAACATTGAAGTACTGAAGTACCTACCCGTGCAAGCAAGGTAGGAAGGTCCAAGATGGCGGGACGCCGTCGGAGCCGAAGCGGCATGCGGCACTCCGTATGTGGCATGCGGCCACACCCCACCATCCACGACACGCCGCCGGTGACGTTGCCAAGACAAGCTTCTCTCCCAGTCCAGAGGCCACGAGAAGGCACCACGCCCTACCTCGCAACCACTGTCGGCTCGCACGAGGCTCTCCACACCCAACAACGCCAACTAACCCCCAAGACCACACACACGAGAGCGCTGTCAGCCAGAGAACCCCACCAGAGTCAGGCGGTCAAGCGTCGACAGAAACCAACCCATCGCTTCGAGAGCCGCCCCCTTGAGCAGCAGCGCACCATACCCACAACCATCATGTCATCCACCGCCCTGATCGACGTCGATGACGACGCCCTGGAGCCCACCCTCCAGTCCATCCTCGACCAGCGCTCCCTCCGCTGGATCTTTGTCGGCGGCAAGGGAGGTGTGGGCAAGACCACCACGTCGTGCTCCCTCGCCATCCAGCTCGCAAAGGTCCGCCGCAGCGTCCTGCTCATCTCGACCGACCCAGCCCACAACCTGTCCGATGCCTTCTCCCAAAAGTTCGGCAAGGAGGCCCGCCTGGTCGACGGCTTCACCAACCTGTCCGCCATGGAGATCGACCCCAACGGCAGCATCCAGGACCTGCTCGCCGGCCAGGCCGGGGAGGGCGAGGGCGGCCAGGATCCCATGGGCGGCATGGGCGGCATGATGCAGGACCTGGCCTTCGCCATCCCGGGCATCGACGAGGCCATGAGCTTCGCCGAGGTGCTCAAGCAGGTCAAGAGCCTCTCCTACGAGACCATCATCTTCGACACCGCCCCGACCGGCCACACCCTCCGCTTCCTACAATTCCCCTCCGTGCTGGAGAAGGCCCTGGCAAAGGTCTCGCAGCTGTCGTCGCAGTACGGGCCCCTGCTGAACGGCTTCCTGGGCTCGCAGGGCGGCGCCCTGCCCAACGGCCAGAACCTGGGCGAGATGATGGAGAAGCTCGAGTCGCTGCGCGCCACCATCTCCGAGGTCAACGCCCAGTTCAAGGACGAGGCCCTCACCACCTTCGTGTGCGTGTGCATCCCCGAGTTCCTGTCGCTCTACGAGACGGAGCGCATGATCCAGGAGCTCGCCTCGTACGGCATCGACACCCACTCCATCGTCGTCAACCAGCTGCTCTTCCCCCGCCCGGGCAGCGACTGCGAGCAGTGCAACGCCCGCCGCAAGATGCAGAAGAAGTACCTCGACCAGATCGAGGAGCTCTACGACGAGTTCAACGTCGTCAAGATGCCCCTGCTCGTCGAGGAGGTCCGCGGAAAGGACAAGCTCGAGCGCTTCTCCGAGATGCTGGTAAAGCCCTACGTACCGCCCTCATAAGCGCGGCTGTGTGTGCGTTTGCGTTTGCGTGGGTGTGGTGTGACGCGTGCCATTTGGCCTTTGGGATGTAATATAGACAGCCAAGTCGGGTGCAGGTAGAAATACGGCGCTCAATAGCCATGACGATCAACTTGATGTCCAAGAAATCCGTGCCTACGTGGCGGTGACATGCTCGAGCCTCGGCAGATGCTGCAGTCCTCAAAATGCCTGTGCAAGGCGGGTCGAAGGAGCGGGCGTCGACAGCGCGAGGGTTGCTAAAAGTCGTCGATTTCACAGGAAGATACTGACAGACTACATGTCACTCGAGTAGCACAAACAGTCGAAGAGAACCGTCATTGCATTCATGAAGCTCATAAACTTAGTTGAGCATGCTCATCTACCTGGGCATTCAATTCTCCTCTTTCATTTCTGTCGCCCTGTCGAAACTCTTCCAGGAAGTCCTGTCCAATAACGGCATTTCATTTTCATGATCGCCCCTGAAAGTCCACCTCGCCAATCGCCAACAAAAAAGAAGAAAAAAAAAAAAAGAGACTCAAGTGCCAAACCAAACCAGCAGGCATTGCGCCTTATCTTCCAGTCCCTCACAGCCTAGATGCACTTGCCGTGCTCTTGCTGGCCCGAAACGCCGACGCCTCTCCGAATGCAGCTCATTTTGCTCTGAAGATCATGTTGTGGCCCCCCAGCCTACCGAAGAACTTGATATAGCACCCTGGTCATGCCACATCGCACGTCCTGGCCAAGGCCATGGCTGTCCCGCGAGGGCAAGCCAGAAAAATGCATGCATCAATTGCAGACACGAATAGTGTAAAGGTAATGTACAGCCGGTCGTGGAAGTCGTGATGTTCTAACGTGGTCGGTAACCCTGGAATGGTGGTGTCGCCTTCACGTCGCCCGCCTAGAGCTCGCGATAGTCACTCGGCCGGACCCGACGCTGACGGTTCTGGTGACGGTGGGGGTTGACGGGCTTCCGAAAGTAGGCGTCTTCGTCAGCGCCGCCGTTGTTGTTAGGTGCCTGGGGGAAATTAGGCTGTCTAGGGCCGGTGGGTGGGCCAGCGCGGTTGAAGCCAGAACCTCCACCGTTCGCTGGGCCACCGCCATTCATGGGCCCATTGAAGTGGTTAGGAGCACCACCGTTCATAGCACTAGGGCCAGTGGGAAAACCGCCGCCATTCATGCCGAACCCGTTTGGGCCATTGAACCCGCCATTCATCATCATGGGATTCATCATGGGATTAAAGTTGTTCATATTGAAGCCGCCGTTCATCATGCCCATCGGCATACCCATGGGAGGAAAGCCGTTCATTGCGTTCATGCCCATTGGCATGCCCATTGGCGGGAAGCCGTTCATTCCATTCATGCCCATGAAATCGGGCATCATGCCGTTAATCCCCTGCTGCGGCTGCGGCTGCTGCATCTGCTGTTGCTTCTGCATCATAGCCTTCGGACCCTTGGGTATCTTGATGTCCGGCTGGTTGCCGGCGGGCTCCTCCGCAGGCCGCTTCTTCGAGTTCGGCTGGTTGCCGTTGACAGCGGGCGCATCATCCTTCTTGACTGGTGTTGACTTGGAGGACACGTCTCCCGCTGGCGATTTCGCCGAGGGAGGTGGTGTGGGCGATTTAGTCTTGGCCTTTGTCGTACCGTCTGTGCCGTCGACAGCTTCGTCGGACTTCTTGTTCTCCTTGGACTCATCGGCAGCAGGCGACTTGGCTGCCTCGGGGGTCTTGGACCGCTCCTTCTTGGCCTGTTCCTTCTCCTTGAGATACTCCTCGATCTTGGCTGTGGCCTCCTCGTCAGGCTTCAGGTCGTCGATGAGCACACCTTCAGTCTGACATGATGGACAGACCAGGTCGCCCTCGATAAGCGCATTAGTAATGCAGTCATTGCAGTACGTCTTCGCACAACAGGGTGTCTTCATTGGGTCTATGAACATTTTGTTGTCGATGTCGCACTCCAAGCCCCTCTCCTGTAGCTCTTTCTCGCCCTGGGCGGCAATCTTCTTTGCCTCAGCCGAGCCCTGTGCTTTGGCCTGGAACTTCTGCCAGGATGCCTTGTCGGGCTCTGCGATCACGAACTCCCCATCCGCGTTCACCATGATTCCTGCAGGCGTCTTGGAGTCGTCACCGTCCGCCCCTTGAGCGAGGACAGTTGCCTTGTCCACGGTCTTCAGGAATGATTTCGGGATGCCAGTGGTTCGCTTGACGCGAGGGCGATTGTCGTATTCGGGGTTGTCGTTGGTCGGGCATTGTTGGATCCAGTGGCCCTTCTCGCCGCAACGATGGCACACATAACCGTTTGGAGGCTCGTGGTCGGGGACGTTGGCCGGCTTCTTGGAGCCTGGCTTGTAGACTGGTTGCTGGTGAGACATCTCCTCTTGTTGAGCAGTCCATTCCGCTCCCTGTGCTGCAAACATGGCCATCATCTTCTCCTCTTCGGTCATAGCGGAGGCCATCTTGGCGATGGCATCGGATTGTGACTTGGCTGCTGCTGCGGCTTTGGTGGCCTGCTCCCGTCGAGAGGCGTTCTTTGCATTGGTGGGCATCTTGCCGGAGACATAGCGGGCGGCACGTCCAGCGCCAGGCCTCATGGCGGGAAGACGCCGCGCGAGCACCGTGGTCGAACGGGGGATGACGGTGGTGTCATCGTCGTATTCTACGAGAGTCAGTGATTGCTACACCCATCAAGAGGTCTATATTCGTACTCACCTTCGCTTCCGTCCTCATTGAGGAGGGCAAGGTCAAAATCCGTTCCGCTTCTGTCAAGGCCGTTCTTGATGATGATGTCCCGCTTCAGCTCAAAGACAGATATGCCGGTGCCGTCGAATTCTATTCGTCGCGGCTCTTTCTGCGACATGAACTTGACAAAGACTGAGGACGCCATCCTGGCCTGTGATTACTGGTTCTGAGGGGCAGTCGGTTGAGATGATCCAGAGACTGTCGATGCTGTCGAAGACCAGTGTGTGCGAGTCCGCAAGGAAGCGAGGGCCGCAGGACACTTACGGGCACTGGAAGTTAGGCGCTGTGTGGAGCAGCGTTGTTGGTTGAAGGCTTCTTTTCGAAGATGGTCGCACGACAAGGGGGAACGTAATAAGGTAGTTGATGTGTGTTCTTGATCTTGTTTCTTCTTCTCTGGTCTTTTCTTTTTTTCAAGACGAGTGACTTCTCAAAATCGCTTCTTTTGCTTCAACTTGACCAGACTTTTGCAAAGCGGGGGGAAAATATCAATTCTGATTGTACTCGAAAGGACAATACTTGTTGAACGGGGAGCCCAGCGGATAATGAATAGAAAAATTATTACAATCTGCCAGCAGGCCGCCTATTCGCCCGATGTTCGAAAACAATCGAAATGGAGTGGCTGAATAGCAAAACCCTCCCTCAACAGTCGCCCAACGTGTCAAGTTTCCTCGAAGGCCAAGCCCTCCCGTTTGCCAGAATGACCCAGGCGAAAACTCTAGCAGCGCAAGGACCGTCGTCTCATGCGAGATGGAGGCGAGGGGGACAGAAGCTGGGAGCGTCTTGTCTCGTCTTGTCACGGGGGGGAGCGGCAGGCTGTGGGTCAGTAAGTCGGGTGATTAAATGCGTGGTTGCGACGCGCGAGGGCCGTGGAGTCAATTAGACGCCTATGGCAGACCTCAAAGGAGCGATCGCAATCAAAAGAGCGCACCAGATCGATGGTTTGGGGGTGTCGCGATGGTGTTGGCGATGAAAGAAGGTTGTCAAAGAGAGTGTTGACTGACGGGGGAAGTGGAGGGTTGGAGGGAGAAGACCTGAGAGGGAGAGCGAGCGAGCGAGAGCGAGAGGGTCAAGCAGGTGCAAGGTGCAGCGGGAGCGCCTGGCTGGCTGATAAATTGGGTCTTTCACGGCCTGCCTGCTTATGTCAGCTACATACAGTCACTTCTCACCCGCTAGGCACCTGGGCAGTTAGTTACCTACCTCGGTAGGTACTTGAGTGCCTAAGTATCTGGGTTGGTGAGTCCATTAGGTCGGGCCTGCCGTGCCTTTGCCCATTTGCCTCCGTCAACTAAAAAGGCGTGTGTTGCTTTTCTGCCTTGCTGGTATTGACATGTACTGCAGTAGGGCCCTCGCGACTCAGTGCCGATGTGAGCATATTCAGGCCAGCATCGGGACGCAAACCAATGTGTTGCGAGTCGGGCTTGTAAGACTGGAGATGGAGAACCTGGGCGTCAACAGCGACCGCATCCTGCCGTGTGGTGCGACCGCTTTGAAAGTACGGAGCCTATAGGCACTAATGTTGTTAGTTGAGCAGCATGGCCCCCAGCCGGGCCCCCACCAAGCAGCACCAACACCCTAACAGGTCTTTCCTCAAGTGCCTCTCTTGCCAATCGGACCAGCTCTGGCCAGCTCCGACGGCCCTCTGCAGCCTGCCGACTCGTGTGACAATTCGCCTCTTTTGATTTGGCTGGCGGGCCAGGGCGTCCACCCCCCCCCTGCCGCAGAGGCAAAAACGCCCAAGCTCCCGCTACCCCAGATTGTCAGACTGTCAGTGCATCGTTCGATGCCATACCATCTCCGCAACTCTGCCTTCCCTCCTCGACTGACTTGACGACATCACCACCTCACAGCCGCAGCCGTCCCTGAAGCCCTTGCGTCTCGGCCTGAAACCTTATCTGCACTGGCCGACATCTAAGCTCTCCGGCTCCGGATGGAGCGAGCAGCCTCCGTTTGAATTGGCACCCGGAAGAAAAAGCCCAAATTCCTCGCCCCTCCCCACCTCCAGCTCTCTCACTCAGGCTTCACGTGCTGGACGACCTCACGACCTCACGACATCACGACTCCACGCCACAGGTTACACCTCGTGAGGGCGCCATCCTCAAACAGCAACCCTGTCTGACGTCGACAACGGGCTACGGACTCTTGGATCAACAACATCCGTCCCTCTCAATCCCTGCAGCTCTGCTCCAGCCTCGTGCCCCAACCGCCACAATGGTCCTCACCCACACCCAAAATCACACCTACGCTCATCCCTTCCCAACCGTCACCCTCGCCTACTTCCTGCGTTACTGCTCGCCGCAGGTCAATCCCTTCGCTGCACACGTCTTGAGTACCGACACCATCTCCAGCTATGTCGACCCAAACACCGGCCGGCTGCACACCACCCGTATCCACTTGAAGAAGTCCCGCATACCTTCTGCAATTGTCAAGCTTCTGCCAGCCTCCATCACTGGCGGCGGCGGCGACAAGAAATCTTATATTCTCGAGACCAGTGTCGTGGATATCAACAACGGGTGGATGAAGACGGAGAGCCGCAACCTAGACTTCGTGGGTGTGTTGTCCGTGGTCGAGAAGCAGGAGTATACGGCGCCTACCTTACCGGCCGCCAATACAACGAGCACTGATGTCGCAACAACCACCATATTCCGGTCGAGAGTGGGCGAGCGGATTCGGGAGCGCATTGGGCAAAAGACCGAGGAGGCCAATGCCCAAGGCGGCTGGCTGGCCAAGACTATTATCCAGCGCAGCATCGAGAATATCGCCAGCCGAAAGACCCAGGATCAACTAGGCAGGAGCCGCGAGGGCATGCGGGCTGTCCTGGAGCGCTTGCGTAACAACGGCGTCAAAGGCATTATGGATTTGACTCGCAGAGCCAGGGAAGAAGGCTTGTAAGCCGGCTTCCTCTGTTGGAGGAGCACAGTAAAAGACGCTAGGACATTGCTCCATCAAGTCGCGTCTGGAATTTTTCTATATACCATCACCAATCATTTCGAAGCATGGCGTTCTGTTTAGGTTGGCTCGTGACAGCCGGAGTCTCGGCCTCGGAGAAGATTGTGTTTGTGAGATACGGCCCGGGTGGCTGGCCGCAAATGTATGGACCACTCTCGCTTGAAGCTACGCTGGCATCTTGTCTGCAATTCATCCAGGTAGCACAGCAGGATAAGTTAGGGCTGTGCAATAGGAGAGGGAGGGAAGGCGCGAGGAAACAAGTGTTTGAGAAATGGCAATTAGGCGTCCCAAAAACATACATTTCCCCTCATTTCTGTTCATCTTGCATGCAGCCTATCCACCTTACCTTCCGTGTGATTCACCTGACCACTTGCTTGAACACTTCTCGGGACTTCCCATTTATGAAACATATTCATTTCTAGGATGTGTGGATGGGAAGTCTAATGTGAAATGTGCGATCCTTATTGTCTAAAACACAAGTGCTCTAGCATAGCACGCTGTGAAATGCTGCCACGGGTAAGTGCTCACTGATGCTTCGTCCTTCAGCCTGGTGGTGTTCTTACGATGACAGGCCTGCGACACCGGCAGTATCTGATCATCACACATCTATTCTCACTTTAGACTGGACATATCGACTTCTCCGCCAGGACTTGATTCAAGTGAAACAGTCTGTACGGAAAAGCGTCACTCGTTGGCTTGGGCAATGACGGTGTTACCGCTCACTGATTCTTCATTCAATGTCATGCTATTTCAAACGCTGGGTCTTGAGCGTTTGCCACTATATGAAGGCGCCACACACACTTTACATGTATGGGGATTGGAAACGAAACCACCTACCCCTCTCACAAGTAAATCCCGCCCTGGGCCGCCAGCTCTGAAGCAGACACCTGCGTCACGTTGGAGTCCGTGGTGAACGGATCTACAGAGTTCAGGCTGCTCACGCGCCCCAACAAGACCTCAAGCTGCCGGTACGCCGCCGTCGGCTGATACTGCGGGACCATGTGGCCGGAGAGCGCGATACTGACGTAGGTGAGCCCGCGTTCCGTATGGGTGGTGCCCATAACGCCAGCCGCAGCGACGGTGCTCAGTGAGACCTCGTCGTGGTACGGCACGTAGAAGGGGTCCTTGGGAGTGGTTTGGAAGCCCTGTGCTCCGCCCCAGGTCATGTTTTGGATAGCCAGGAGCGTCCCGTTTGCGATCCTTGTTTGGATATGGTCAGTCTTGAATCGTAGAGGAGAGAGTAAGTGCTTGGGTTAGGGCAGCCACGTACAAGACCATGTCCAGAACTCCATGACCAATGATCACGTTCTGTGTGCGCTCGATCACACCAGGCAGGACGGTAACCGAGGAAGGCAACGAAGAGTCACCACCGTCGACGAAAACGTCTCCGCTGGCACACTCTTCCCATATCATCTTCGGGGCGTTGATGGCCTCCTGCACATCGGTGCGGTTGAAATAGATCGAGGCACCTTCGGGTTGATACCCAAATGATCCAGGGACTACCGGTATATGCTTGTCAGTTGATTTGTTTCCCGGCAAAAGTAGAAGTATAGGCATTGGAGCCTTTGAGAACAGGACACAGCTGGTCTTACATCCTAAAACATCCCACAGCAAGGGGCAAGTAGTCTGGACAGCATATATATCAAAGCAAGGGTTCACAGCCATGACCGCGTCGTATATGTCTCCGTACAGCGCCTGGCATGACTGATTGTTGCTCCCAGGGAGGTCTTCCGGCGCGGGAAGGAGGCTCGGCGGAGGGAATGAGAGGAACTCGTTGCGGAAGTCGGCATACCCGCAGTCGGCATCGCGGGCTCGAATATCAGCCCAGAAGGTGTCATTGAAGGGGAAGACAGCTGCGGCAGACTCGACAAGTGGCAGGACCGTGACCCCACTCTGCAACTCATCATAGGCGATGCTTGGGTCGTAGATCATGATTCCGGAGACGTTGTAGTAGGTGGTGTCGTTGGCGTCCAGCATGGCGCTCGCGATGTAGGGCACAAACTGGCCGGCATAGCTCTCGCCGGTGATATAAACACTATAACCCTGCATGGCGAAGGTATCGACAAAGTTTTGGAACCAACTCATGAACTGCTTGGCGACGTCCTCCTCCGAGGTCGCCGTGGGGGTGCCTTGGGAGAAGCCCGTGCCGACAGGCTGCTCGACCCAGACCACGTTGGTGAGCTTATGCCAGCTCCAGGGATTGGCGACGGGCTTGTAGGTTCCATACTGCCACAAGAACGGGCCGTTTTCCTGCAAGAATCCCTCGAGGGACGAGCAACCGGGCTATTTCTGCATTAGCAACCTTGTTGGCTGTTTGGATCAGGAAACGCTGGGGCTTTGTCTCACTCCTCCGTTGAGCCAGATCAGAATCTCCTTCTCAGCTGCCGGGTTCTCGGAGGGGAAGAACCAGAAGAAGAGATTGTCACTGGAGTTGGTTGCCAGGGGAATGGAGCCGGCATAACTCTCGCCGACGTCGAAGTCGACATCTGGGATGGCAGACCCGTTGACCACGAATTCTGCAACAGAGACACAGGGTTAGCAAGGGACGTGAGGCCAAGAATTGTCAAGCTTTCAGAGTGGGTTCGCTGGGTTCGCTTACTTGAGGTCGTGTTAGTGAGGAATTGAGATCCGGCATTAGCGCGCTTGGCAGTTGCTTGGAATTCGCGCGGCATCAGCGGCGTGTCTGCCGCGATGCTGCGGCCCGACTTCTGGAGCCGGTCTGCGAGACCGCCGACATGACGAGTAGATCTCCCGGCCGCGGCGAGGCCGCCGAGGGCAAGGGCCGAAAACAGCTGGAGCAGGTGCATGTTGGGGGGCCGTCGTGGGGTAGAATGACGGTTGACAGAGGCACTTTGGGGACGAGAGACCTAGAGACACATCACGGGCGGTGGGAAGGACATGTTCAGGTTATATCAGGGGGACGGGGGTGCTACTGCGGACGCGCGTGAATTCCGAACCCTGACTTTGTCACTGCCTACTCTACTACTCCGTACTTGAGTAGGTTCCTATGACTACGTTGTAATTAATAGACCAATGGAGGGTGAAGATAAGCGGTGGTATTCAGAGCTTATCCCCTGATAAAAGACTTGAGAGAAGTGAATGTGGGTGTGGGGGTATGGAGCTCGGTAAGTCGCCCGATTCAAGAACCATACTGTCCCCATTGAAGACGCATCTGATGCTAATTCTATTGGAAAGTCGCCACGCCTGCAAAGACCTGTACTTCCCTCCTGCGTCCTGCAGAAGGAACGCAGGCGTGTGGTTGGAAATGGGAAATGGGACAGGAATTGAGGTGCCGCTGCCTATCCCTATGATCACTGCAGTGACCAAGACTACACAATGTGCGTGTTCAGCGCTTGTCATGTCGGTGATGAACGAGTCGGCCGTAACGATCAAAGAGGGGGGCGACGCCCCACAGGGTACGACGTTGGAAAATGACGATGCAATCATGCATGAACGGCGACGGGACCCACATCGAGTCTTGGCCCAATCCGGCAGGTGAATCAGAAACGAAAAGTGATGAACATGGATATGCTTGCAAAGTGTGTCATGATTTGCACTGGCAGACTGGTGAGCGATCAAGCCCGGCGGGATCCTGCTGAGAAGATGAGGAATACTTTTGCAGTTTAATAAAAGGAGGACGCATGGACAGGCACGCAGACACGTCACTGAGCCGGTCGTCCATCATGTGGGGGACGTTGAGGGAAGATCACTGGGAGCTCGGGATTAGTGAAGGGTTCAGCCAGGGATCAGAATTGTAACATCGGACGATGTTGATTGTGGATGAGTATGGGATGAGAATATATTTCCTATGAATAAACCCCCCGTGTTCTGCAACTCGCTGTTCGTATCATGACGGCAAAGCCACGCATTCATTTCCGGATAGAAGTTCCCAGCCTTGCTTTGCTGCACTCAACTCAAGCAGTCAACCACTTCTTCAGAAAGATGGTACACATTTGATATCAACATTTTATCCAGACACAATAGGGTATCCCATAGTCCATTATCCTAATATAAATCTCCCATACCGCTAGGTCTTCATTTGTGCTTCGGCTAGATAGATTCATACCTAGGTACCTATAACGAGGCACTCTCGGGACAGCTTCTACCTAAATTAGTTAAAAAACTAAATATATATAGTTTCACTTCTATTCTATATATATTTAAGAATATATATAGTATCTTTATATAATAGTAAGTACTTAAAATTTAATATTTAAAAAGAATATAATATTAATAATAATAATTATAATATAATAAATATTTATAACTTTAGTTTTATAATATATAAATAAAATTAAAAAGTATTATTTTAATAATAATATTAATTAAAATTATAAATAAAAATAGTTTATAATTTAATTATTATAAAAGTTATATAATAAAATTAAATCTTTAAAAATAATTATTATATAAATAAATTATATTAAAAGAAACTTAATTAAAATTATCCTTTATATATTATAATAAAACTTTTATTAAATAAATATATAAAGTTAATAATATAACCTTTATTTAAATATATAATTATTAATTTTAAAAGAACTTAAAATAAAAAATAATTTATAATATATTACTTTTAAAACTTTTATAATAAAGTATTAAAACTTTTAAAAAAGTTTTAAAATAATTTATAAAAGATAAAAAAGGGTATAATAAACTTATTCTCCTTTAAATTTATATTTTTATTATTAATAATTATTAACTCTTTAATAATATAAAAAAGTATAATAAAAATAAAGGAAAAAATAAATTTAAAGTTTCTTTTTAAAAGAATTATAAGGATATATATAAAGCTATTAAAGACTTTATATATAAGTTTTAGATTAGGGAAAAAATGAGTAGTTATATAGTGTAAAGGAAAAATATAGTGTGGCTAAAGCTAAACCAAATGTATAGTTCTTGCAGTCAATTCGTTTAAACGTATCTCGTCTATGTGATATCATCCAGAGGAGGAACTACAAGCTACGGGAGGCTATAGGGAACATTTGAAAGTAGTGTAAGCTAGCAGGCCTGATTAGGTAGTCAACCCCAACAGGATTGAGAGTGTGGCACTCCGCGCTGTCTTGCATGTTTATGACTGTGTGAATAGCCCGGAATCAAGATTCGCCACACAGATTCATCTCTCACTTCTCCGCAATTGTCCCAAAGTTAAACTTAGCAGTTGATCTTCACCCAGTCAGACGAGACTAGGCACGATGGCGCAGCGGCTGATGACAGCTGTGAGTTTGTTCCCATAGTTGATCTGCACGTCGGCAAGGTCGTCCTGAGCCCAAACAGCATGCAGCAATGCAGTAACATGGTTGAACGATCGCGATGTAACTCTCTTTTCTGTCCTCAATATGAGGTCCATGATGATCTTTCGTTGTCCGTCTGTCCGTGCTTCGCAACCCAGCACGAATATGGGGAATTGTCGCTCGCAGGCATCCATTTTGGAAAGTAGCATGAAGCCCTCATCAATGTCTCTCTGCGCCTGAGACTCTTGGTTGAGAAGATTGCTGCTTGCTCGATGAATATAAACAAGAGCAGCCAGCCTGTAAAGCTCTATTATGGTCATCATCTTTGCAGCTTCGTCAGGCTTGAGCAAGACTGGAACTGTTCTGATTCTCCAGTCGAGAGCCTTGAGAATGCTTTTGTGATCATCGATCGCTTGGCCCGGCATCAACTCACAGAACTCGGAGAGTAGTTCTGGAAGGGCGGAAGTTGAGGATGGTTGCTGGGATATGCAGCTTCGTTTTAGATCAATTTTCGGCAACTGTTCAACAAAGACCTGTGTGTATGAGCAGAGAAGTGTCCATGCGGACGTGGTATTTGAGGGCAGCACCATAGCCTCCCCATTCCAGTGTCGCAGAGTGAAGCGCATCATCACATCGTGATAATACACCCAGTCGAGCAGGACCGCCAAGTCCTCGTGCTCTTGTGGCTTCTCAAGAGAGGACGCACTGAGCAGCTGCTTCACACCGGCCAGGTAAACCGCCCATTGGCTTGAGGTGCATGAAGCTTGATGGACCTGACCCGGTGATCACATTAGCACCATCACAGATATCAGCAGCCGAGCTCAATACTGACCTCAAAAGAACACAGCAACATCCCCGTGGCAACATGTTGAATCACCAGTTCAAGGTCCAAGCTATTTTCCGCAACGGAAGCCGCTGCCAGAGCTTTTAGGCTCGATATTTTCAACTTCATCGCCTGTGATTGAACTCCGTGCCGATGAAGTGAGGACAAGGCCAAAAGCGAGTGGAGGACGGCGGTAGCAGAGCTTGAATTGTTTGAGCAAGCGGCACGCATGAGGACAGTCCCCAAAGCATCAGGACTGCGTCCGAAGCTGGTCAGGGACTGTGAGGCCGCGAACTGGACTATGGTTGATCAGTCTGACCATGCGCCCCGAAAGAAGCAAAAATGTGGGTGGACGCACAATAGTGGAAAAGATCCCCGTCGCTTGCGGACATTTCGGATGGATTCCATGACAAGGGGACTGGGATGATCAGACGGGGTAATTGCTCTAGAAAGTACAGTCAGAAGCTGTCCCTTCTAGATCAACTGTCTCTGTGGCGACTCTGGGGTTGGCTTACCTTCTCGGGACGAAGCTGTCAGGTAATGATGCATCTCGATGTCCCAGGCATTAGTGTGGATTATGCTCGCTGCAGAAATCCGGTGAACTGGGCTCCGGACTGACAGCTTGGCGACCATGGCACGTCGGCCGTCCCCTGCGCGTGGCCATGATAGTCGGAGACCATATCCCTGGCACACACGCTTCGACCGGGAGCACTGGGAGCATGTGGGAACAGCTCTATCGCACAGAATGCGGCGCTCTGTCATCGGCATCATTAGTGTCGTCTTCCATCTGATTCCATGGTCAAGTGCAACCGGAACTGACCTCTACAGGTACCACAGCTTCTCTTCGCAGCCGTCATTTTGGACTCCTGTCCGAGAAACTGCTTGTGGTGTGTCTTGTTGTCTTGTTGTCTTGTTTACCTGGGTATGGAGCTTCACAAGGACAACTTACTGAATTCGCGGAAAGTTGCCCACACTACTCAGCTTCAAAGTGAATACATATAATTCAAAGTTGTAGAAGTGATTGATAATCCACGACGTGATTACCCTCGTGTGGGACTAGCGAGGATGCTTACCAACCCACACCGCGCCTACCTAGGTTCTATAGAGGCTGGCTGCATCCTGTGGATAAGCTCTGGGCTCCATAGTCTGGCAAGTTTGCGCGGCCCTGGTCAATTCAGTCTGACCACATGCATACAGGTCAGAAGTTTGGGGTTCAGCCCACATGGACGTACATACGTATGTACGGCAGCAATCGGCCCACAGATGCACAGATGTACGTCAAGCCAAGATACGGGCTTCAGGCAACTATTCGCGAATTTGTTTGTGTGACTGAAAATAATCGTGTTTCGCATCTCCACCTCCGCTGCTTGATTAAGAAGAGTCATCTTTGGAATGACTAATTTGAAGGTGCAGAATATGTTCAGTAATACATCTCCAAACCATAGAGGCTCAGAAACAATGATGGGCCACAAAGTATATATATCATCGTGTTGTGCCGCCTATGGCCATGTTTGTGATCAAGCAATCCAGACATCTCACCAGCACCCTTCTACCACTATCATACAAGCTACAGCTAGATTACCGAGGCTTTCATCATATTCCAGATTCAGCAGATCATTTATCAGCGAAGCCCCGTTCTTCTATACATCATGGCCACATATGTGATCACAGGCGTTTCTAGGGGTCTTGGTGTGAGTTCTCGCAAGAAAACCCGGCATGAGATTTGAATTCTGTCTAAAGGTTTCATAACAGTGGGAGTTCCTCAACCAGATTTCGAGCAACTATGACAACACTGTCATTGGAATTGTGCGAAACAAGCCGCAAACCGACAAGAGGATCGAGGAAGAGCTAAATGGGCGGTCGAACATCACCATTCTCGAGGCTGATCTGACCAATCCTGACTCCATAAAGGTAAGAGAAATCGCCTGTTCAATGGTGGCTTATTAAACACAGCTGCTGAGTAAAGTATTAGAAAGCTGCTGAAAGCTCCGTCACGGCGACTGGGGGGAAGGTCGACTATCTAATCGCCAATGCTGGCTTCGTCCCCCAGGAGCGCATGTTCGACGGTCTTGACGTCCGGTACGCTCTATCACAACAGAAATTCCATCTTCAGGAAAGGACATACTAACCTCCGTCTCTACCCAGTGGGGAGAAGCCCGCGGAGCTCGAAGAGGAGCTTTCCAAGCTGATCCAGACCAATGTCACCGGCAACATCCACCTGTTTAACAGCTTCATGCCGCAGGTACTTAGGGGCAAGGTGAAGAAGGTTGTGACCATTTCCAGTGGAATGGGTGATCCGGAGTTCATCAAGGATTACGATATCTCGGAGAGCCCTCTTTATTCCATCAGCAAGGCGGCCATGAACATGGTGACGGCCAAGTTCAGTGCCCTTTATAAGAAGGACGGCGTGCTCTTCTTGAGCATCTGTCCCGGTATGGTTGAGGTCGGACATTTCGATAAGAGTAAGCCGCACGTTGACAGCCTGCTGCAGTGATCCGGCAATGCAAGCTAACCATGTCCTCCTCATAGTGACCCCGGAGCAGCTGAGTGGCTTGGAGAAGATGGCGGCCAAGTTCAAGAGATACAACCCGGACTTCACGGGCCCCGATACCCCACCGGACTCTATCAAGGCTGTCATGTCCGTCGTCGACAATTCCAGCATTGAGAACGGGCAAGCTGGTGATTTCCTGTCACACTTTGGGACGAAGAGGTGGGTGTGAGTTCGTCATGGCTTTCGCTCGAGTTCTGGTTAGGACTGGAGCCAGTGAGAAGGGATGGGGGTAAATGGTGTTCTACTGTTCTGCCGTGGTCGCATTCTCACTTGTACTCGTTCTTGAATTTAAGTCCAGATATATCGGTTTGATCATACCTGACAAGAGTCCTGGTTGAAACATTAGCCCATGAGACGGGTCATTGTAAGGCTGTGCATTTCTGGCCCTCGCGAGGACTGAGGTATCATCTATGTGTATGGGATCAATATAATACAGGATTATTAACGAGCCTATTTATTTCCTTTTTGCCAGTTTCTTGGCCGCCAACGCGAGAGCAACTTCCTCCTCCTCGATGACGGCCTCGATGTCCCTGGCCAGCCGCCATTCCTTCACGCTGTCCAGGATCCTATCAAAGGTCCTGCCGCCCTCAAGCACGTCTGGGAGGTTGTTGACATCTAAGCCACTCCTGTGGTCCGAACAGCGGTCCTGGCTGTAGTTGTATGTCCGGATCTTGTCGCCGCGCGTGATCTTGTCCTTGGAAAGGACGCTGTCCCTCAAGCTCTTCGCCTCCTCCTCCCTGGCCTCGCGCCTTGCGATGGCTATCCTCGACCGTAGAATCTTCCACGCGGCATCCCTATTGGCCTGCTGCGACCGCTGGTCCTGCATGCTCACTTGGATGCCGGTTGGGGTATGAGTCAGGCGGATGGCCGACTCGGTCTTGTTGACGTGCTGGCCGCCAGCCCCTCTCGCCCTCATGGTTTCGGTTCGGACCTCGCCCGGGTCGATGTAGAAATCGCTTTCCGGGTTGTTATAGTCCGTGGCACCGGCGCCAGTCTCGGGGAACGATGGTAGGACCCAGACGGCTACCGCGCTCGTATGCGTGCGGCCTTTGCTCTCCGTGACGGGTACACGCTGAACCCGGTGGATTCCCGCCTCGGTGCGGAACAGGTCGTACGCGCCCATGTCCTGGATCTCCAGGACGGCCTCTTGGAGGGGCAGCTCTCCGTCGGAGCCCTTGACGTCACCGGCCCCTTCTGCCGTGTCGTACTTGACAACCTTGGCACGGAAGCCCTTGCGCTGGCAGTAGAGCTGGTACATTTTGAACAGAGAGTCGGTAAAGAAGCGCCCCTCAACGCCGCCAGGGCCGGGCCGGAACTCGAGGATGCAGGGCAAGTCCGCGTAGGGGTCCTTGGGAGTGAGGCTCGCCGAGAGCTTGTGCCCAAGCTTGCCCAGCTGCTCGTGGGTCGTACCGAGTTCATCATGCGCCATCTCACGTATCTCGGCGTCTTTGGACTGAAGGAGGCCCCTCAGCTCGGACAGAGAAGACTGCGCCGCCTCCCATTCTTTCAGGGCAGAGGCGACACCGGCTATCTCGCCGGCACGCTTGGCGATCTTGGGGTCGAAGGAGTCGGCGAGCTGCTGGCTGAGCTGGCCATGCTCGACAGCGAGCTTGCGGGCGCGCTCGAGGAGGACGGCTGGGAGGGCATATGGGGAGTCTGCACGAGCAGGCTGTTAGATGCTGTCCAACATGGGCGCTTGGCGAAGCTGCTGCAGCGTACCTGTACTAGCCCTCCTCAGGAATTGACGCGATACCGAGGGCGTTTGCGACCTCAGACAGCGCAGAGATACCCATGATGCTGCCAACATAGTCTCACATCAGTAGATATGTCGAGGATGGACAGGTGGTACCGCCAGCCAGCCAGAGCTTTGCAGATCGAAAAAAGTATTGCCTGCCGCCGAGGAATGATCATGACTGATCCCGCCACCCCACGGGCGTGGGCTGATTGATGATGGTCAACCAGTTGCTCCCAATCGAACCTCTCTTGCCAATAAAATGCCGAGGTGCTTTGCCTGTGAGCGAAAAGAGTCATAATCATGCCTCAGAGAAGCAGTTTATCAGAGGAGCAGCGTCGCAGTCATGGCGATCAATGGGGCGTTGTTGACTCATTATTGCCAGCGTAGTTGAATGGCTTTGACCAGGGACGGAGGGGAGGTTGCCCCGCCAAACTGCCTTCCATATTGACCCCTCCAACCTTTTGACACTCTGACATTGGTCCTGTCCACGAGCACCCTCCGCCTGTGCACCCTCTCCTGCGGTGGCCGCCTCCTCAACCGGAACAGTGGGCCTGCGACATCCCACAACAGAGCTCCCTACTACCACGTCCTGAGGCCATCCTCATCACGCTCGTCCCAGCATGAGCGTCAACAACGCCGAGGCTCTGTCCGAGTCTCCTGTTCCAGCCCACACCGGCAAGCAGTCGGTGGACCCCTACAATGTGCAGGGGGAGATCGACGAGCACGGAAATGTCAAGGCGATCGATTACAACAAGTTGACCGAGGAGTTTGGGACCAAGCTCATCGACCAGGCGCTGCTGGACCGATTCGAGCGGGCAACGGGCCAGAAGCCACATCGCTTCATGCGCCGAGGCATCGTCTTTAGCCACCGAGACCTCGAGGTCATCCTCGACCGCTACGAGAAGGGAGAGCCCTTTTACCTGTACACTGGCCGCGGTCCAAGTTCCGACAGCATGCACATTGGCCATACCATCCCCTTTGCCTTCACAAAGTGGCTGTCCGATGTGTTCGACGTCCCGCTGGTCATCATGTTGACGGACGACGAGAAGTTCCTGTTCAGCGAGAAGAGAACAATCAAGGAGGTCAAGGAGTACGCCCTGCAGAACGCCAAGGACATCATTGCATGCGGCTTCGACCCAAAGAAGACCTTCATCTTCTCCGACTACAAATACATGGGCGGCGCCTTCTGGGAGAACGTGACCCAGGTGGCCAAGCTCATCACCTGGAACCAGAGCAAGGCCATCTTCGGTGGCGATGGCAGCACCAATGTCGGCAGGGCCTTCTTTGGCGCCGTCCAGGGCTCGACGGCATTTGCCTCGACCTTCCCTCACATCTTTGGCGACAACGCCGAGCTCACCAACAAGATCCCGTGCCTCATCCCGTGCGCCATCGACCAGGACCCGTACTTCCGCATGACCAGGGATGTTGCGGCTCGCCTTCACTGGGCCAAGCCTTGCATGATCCACGCGCGGTTCCTCGACGCCTTGCAGGGCCCAGGCTCCAAGATGTCTGCATCCATCGATTCTTCTGCCATCTTCATGAAGGACACGCCCAACCAGATCAAGACCAAGATCAACAAGTACGCCTTCAGCGGTGGCAGGGAGACCGTGGAGGAGCACCGGGAGAAGGGCGGACAGCCCGAGGTTGACGTCAGCTACCAGTACCTAAAGTACTTTATGGAGGACGACGAGGAGCTGAAGAAGGTGCACGACTCGTACAAGAAGGGCGAGATGCTGACGGGCGAGCTTAAGGCGCTGTGCATCAAGCACCTGCAAGACTACGTCAAGGAGTTCCAGGAGAACAGGGCAAAGGTGACGGACGAGGTCCGCGATACCTTCATGGCCTTGAGGCCACTCGAGTGCAAGGGCAATCCCAAGGCCCCAATTGAGATTCCCATCCGGGCCAAGGCGGCGGCGGGCTTCGACGGGGCCGGTGGGGAGGGTGCTGGGGATGGGAAGCTGACCAAGAACCAGCAGAAGAAGCTCGAGAAGCAAAGGCTGATAGAGGAAAAAAAGGCGGCCAAGGCCAGGGACAAGGAGGCCGCCACGAAAGAGTAGATGGCAGGAATCAAGTGGATCCAAAGCCGCCGCATGCCGGGCATCCATCCTGCTGTCAGTTCAGGCAACCTGGGTTCATTTGCTGGGGCCTATCGCAAGCAAGCTAGCACCACAGCCGAGGGGGGAGCTCTGTTACGTAGTAGATACCAAGGAACCATTGTCCTAGTCTCCCAGACTTGTCCCGACGTGGGCTGCCTTGTGTCTGGTGGAAAGTGGTCTCGTCGCGGACGGGGCATGCGGACCGTCCCGGGTTCCATTGTGAGGCCATCACTCCCGTGGGTCCATGCACATCTCACCGTCAAAGTAAAAAGACAAAAGGAAAAAGAAAAAAAGAGAGAGACAAATATATACAGAGGCAGTATACGGATACAAGATTGGCAACGACCAGCGAGTCTGCTGCCTTCCCAGTCCCATGTCGTCCCATGTCCGCGTCGCCCAATCGAGGTGTATATAGTTAGTTACCCGAGATGCCCCCAGCCCCCAAGCCCCCCCCCCAGTCATAGGGACGAGACGAAACCCGCCCCAGTTGGCCAATCGTAACCGGGGGAGTGCGGCGCCCGGCTTGGTGGTTGCCGGTTCGGGCTGCCGGTGCTCCACATGTCTTCTGTCGTCTAAGCTTCCTTCCGAGCGAAACCCGCTGGGCGCCGATGTAGCTCTCTCCCTCCCTGCTCGCCCCTCGGATGGGCATGCTTGGCTAGCCACCGACTCCCGGCCCTGCACTGGGGCATCCAGGGAGGGGTCGAGGAACCATGCCTCTCTTTACCTGAGCCATGAGCCGTTGAATGACTAGGTGGAGTCCGCTAGGAATGCGGACTGGGAACCTTACTATTAGGTTACTTGAGTAGCTTTCTTTATCCGAAGGCGAGTACAAAGCCCGCGGCACCCTCTCGAGGCAGATGTTTTCTTCGGCCACCACACCATACAATCTTTTGTTGTCTACCTAGGTACATACTCGGGCTGCTGGTCCTGTCGTCGTGGAAGGCCTGCGTCTACTCAGTCGCGGTATTCTTACTCTCTGGCACCCACCTGCATATTCCCAGACTACTACACATTCGGGGCCGGTGACGTCCAGCACAAATTCATTACAAGAAGTCGGGTTCGCTTCGCCAAAATTTACTACTACAACCCTCTATAAGCTTTAGGGAGTAGTAAATTTTATCTAACTTCTTAATTTATAGGTTATAAGAATTAATACTATTATTAGGGGGCTTTTTAAGGTTATTTAGACTTTAAATAAAATAAATTAGAGATAAAGTATAAAATAAAGTAGCCTTAAACTCTATAAGGGATTACTTTAAGTAGAAGAAGTTTTTAATTAAAATTATAATATACTTTATAAGGTATATTAATAATTTAAATAAAAGTTAAAAAGAAAGGAGAAAAGAATTTAATTATTTAATTATTAAAAGAAAGAATTATTATTTATTACTTAATATATTTATTATAAAAGTTTTTAATAATAAACTTTAATAATATAGTATAATAATATAATTTAAAATATTATAATAATTAATATTATAATTTTAATTATTAAATATAAAAAAGAATTATTAAATATCTTTTTTATAAATAAAGGTTTTAATATATCTTCTATTTAAGTTATCTTTTTTAGTTTTTTATAAAATAGTTTAATTAAAATAAAAGCTTATTTTTATAAAATAGGTAATTAATTAGAGATATTTAAATAGATTAAAAATAGTTAGAGATATTTTTAAAATAAATTAAAATATTTAAAAAATAGATTAAAAGATAATTAGAGAAATAACTTATAAGTTAACCTTTAAATAGCTTTTTTATAAAAATATATTATTTATAATATAAATTAAGATATTTAAAAAGATAAATAAAGAAATAATTAAAAAATAATTTATAAATTAACCTTTAAGGAGTAAAAACTAAGAAATAATTAGAGTAATAACTTATTAATTAAAATAATAACTTATTAGTTAAAAATAATTAGTTAGTTAAAAATAACTTATAAACTAACCTTTAAATAGTTTTTTATAAAAGTATATTCTTTATAAAATAAATAATAAAATATAGGTAAAAGATTAAATAATAATTAATAAATAAATAATAATTATAAAAGATTAAAAGTATATAGGTATAAATATAATTAATATTTTTTAATATTTTAGTTTATAAGTTTTAAAAATAATACTTTAATTTATTATTATTTATTTATATTTTATAAATTATAAGTATTAATTAGGCTTATAATTTATAAAATATAAATAAAATTAATATATATAAATTAAATATTTTAACTTTAAATAAAGTAATTATTTTATAAATTATTTTAAACTTTATTATAAAATTAATTATTTTTAAATTAATTTAATTTTTATATTTTATTATTTAATAGATATAATTTCTTATACCTCTTTTTATAATCCTTATAGTCTTTATACTCTTTATAGTCTTTATAGTTTTTATAATTCTTATAGTTTTTATTATATATTATTATAAAGTTATTTTTATTTTTATATAGTTTTAATTCTTATAACCTTTATAGTTTATAACTTTTATTATATATTATTATAAAGTTATTTTTATTTTTATAAAATTTTAAAATTAATAGTTAACTTATATATTAAGTAAGATTTATTATAAAAGTTTAAATTTTAAAAATAATTTCTTAAGGTTAATTTAAATTTAAACTTTTATTTTTTATTTTAAAATAATATAACTACTATCTTTACTATAATATTATTAAATAAAGGTATATATTAAAATTATAAGTATTATTAAAGGTATTTAATTTATATACTTTAAGTTAACTTATTAATTTAATAAGTTAGGATAAATATATTATTTTTTATATAAATATTTTAATTTTAATAAGTTTTTAAGTTTATAATTATTAATTTAAGTATTTAAGCTTTTATTATTAAATATATATATAAGTTTATACTCTTATTATTTATTAATATATAAATAAATAAAAATATTTTAATTTTAAATTATAAATTTAAATTTAAATTTAAATTTAAATTTAAATATAGTTATAATTTTAAATACTATATAGTATAGTATAATATATATTAATATATAAATATAGTATAAATTATTAAATAAAGTTTTAAGTAAGTATACTTATTAAATAAAAGTATTAATTTATTATATATTAGATATTTAAGTATATTTAAATAGTATTATAATTAATTATTTTTTTTTAGTAATATAAGTACTATAATTATAAAATCTAGCTAAGGATATTTAAGAAATATAAGTTAGTAATTTAAATATTTATATAATAATAAATAATATATATACTTTTAATCTTATTAATATAAGCTATTAGTTTAAACTTTAACTATAAAATTTACCCTTAAAAGGAATTTAAAGTTAATTATAAGTTTATTATATAGTTTATAAATTATTAAATATAAGTTATTTATAAAATATAAATTTAAACTTTTATTAATTTATTTTATTATAACTTTATATTATTTTATTCTTATTAATCTTTTAATTATTATTTTATATTTTTAATTAATAAATATAATTATTTTATTTATTAAATAATTTAATAATTATAATAGTATTATAAAATAAGTTTTATTTTAATAAGTTTAAATAAATATATATATTAAAGTAAGTAACTATAATAAAGTTATTATAAATTTTATTATAAAATAAATAACTTTTATATTAATTTAATTAAAGCTATTACTTACTATATTTAATATAATTAGTATAATATAATAGGTTTTAATATAAAATTATTAGATTTTTAAGGTTTTAAATAATTATAATTAAATTTATAAAGGTTTATTATAAACCCTACTTAGCGCCTTATAAGATACATACCTAAATTATTAGTATACTTTATAAAATATAGGTTTATATATATATAAATATTATATACCTTAATAGGGTCTATTAGCTATTATATAAAGGGCTTTAGGTAAGCTTTAAGGTATAAATATAGCTTTAAAGTATTAATAGCTTTAAGGTGTTAATAGCTTTAAGGTATTATTTAGGTAATTAATTAAAATTTACGTTTAAAGAAATATAAAGTTAATTAAAGTATATACTTTTTTAAATATAAATATAAACTATTTTAAATTAAAATAAAGTTATAGTTTATAACTTATTATTTTAAATCTTATTTATAAAACTAATATTATATTATATTATATTATATTATATTATAACTTTTATAAACATTAAAAACTTTTATTTAAACTTTTATTATCTTTTTTACTTTAAAATAAAGAGTTAAATATACTTATTATTTCTTACTTATTTATATATTTTAATATATTATTATTATTTAAAAATATAGTTATTATAGCTCTTAATAGTATATATAAGTCTTACCCTTATATATATATTATAAAATACTATTAATATATTTATAAAGTTTTAAATAGTTTAAAATATTATTTAAGTTACTATATTTAAAGTATAATAAGTTTATTTTAATAATATATTATTTAATAATATAAGTATTAAATATATTTAAAATCTATTTATTATTTATTTTTAATAGTTAGTTTATTTTATTAAATAAATATATATAGGTTTTTAAGTTTAAAATCTTATTATAGTTATAATTTAAATTATTAGTTATATTAAGGTATTTTTATATTAAAAGTATACTAATAGTTATAATTTATAATTAAATTATATAATTAACTCTATTATAATTAATTTTTATATAAAATCTTTATATTTTATTATATTAATTATATATATAATTATAAGTTTACTAATTACTAGTAGTCTATTAGTTTAATTTTTATTTTAATAGGTTTTATTATTTAAATAATATATTTTCCTAGCCCTTTAATTTCTAGCCTTATAGTAATCCTTTTTCCTTTTTTCTTTTTTCCTACTCCCCTTCTCCTTCTATATTAATATTTATTTAATTATAAAAAAGTACTTTTAAAAGGCCTTAAATATATTAATATTAATAAAATTTATTTAATTTAAATATTTTTAAATTATATTTTTATAACTTATAATAAAGTTAAGGTTTATAAAAGTTAAGATTTTATAAAAGGATTCTTTTAATAATATTAAAATAAATAATATAAAGGTTAATAAGTTTAAATTTTTAAGTTTATTAAGTAAACTCTTTTATTTAAAGAAATTACTTTATTAATAATTTTTATTAATATAGGTATAGCACTATTATTCTCCCTTTTAATAGGTATAAACTTAAGTTTAAAGGTTTTAAAAGAAAAGTTAAAAATAAACCTTTAGAGTAATATTTAAAAGTAATATAATTATTTTTATATAAATAGAGTTAATAAAATTATACTTAAATAGTTAAAATCTTAACTCTTTTATTTAAAAGTATTTATTATTATTTCTTTTAATAAGTTTTAATAAAAAGTTTATTAATTTAAATAATATTAATA